TACTCATATCTATTTCCAAATATGTACATGTATTACAAAAGTAAAACTAAGCTTCTTTTCACCTCTAAATTCCAAAAACAATAAGATGATTTGCCTCTTCCTTGTGAGTACTACAGCATACATACTGTCCTCTGTTCTGCAAAAAATCCTTGTGTTCTCTGCTACCAAGCTCTGTCGTCTTCTTGCACATCACTGCACACATATCAAGTCCTTCTTGACATGGCCAAATGTATATGCACAAAAAAAAACTACATCACCAAATCAAACACGAAAATGTATTGGAATTTACTGCTAAGACATATATTTTTTACATATTGTGGATCCTTATATTCACTTATAAAGTCTACATGTAAATATATTGTCTCGTCAGACTCTGCACGTTTTGGTGATGTATTTCTTTAATTTTATATTATGTAATTTTAAGATCAAGGGTCGGTATATTGAGGTGAATCGCACATGTACAAGTGTGCTGGTCAAACCTGCACGCACGATTCACCTTGCGATTCACCCTCTAGAATCGCAAGGTGAATCGCACAGAGAATCGCGAGGTTTGACCACGCCTAATGTATCACATTGCATAAGAGCGGGTATTGAAACTTCACGTCTTTCAGCTTGGCGGATAAGAATCCTCACTTTCGCTCTAGTTTTCTTCTCCGCAATATCATCATTCGCAATACTTCATGGAGTTTATGTGATGTATTTGAGTTGAGTAATTTACTAATTATTTGGACAGCTGAGCGTTGCTGCTTTGGGCAATAAAATCTGTACTGGCGTCTAACCGATTTTGTGCAGATCATCGGCTACGTTGCCTGGTTTGGAAGCTGAGCTGGGCAGAGTCATTCAAGAAATTTGGGCGTGCTACTTTATATATGCTGCGAGCTGTCCTCTTGCTGCGCCTCTCTCATCGATTACTTCCCCTCACTACTCCTAGTATACGCTATTCCTCTAGAGGCTTGTTGACAATGTCTTCCGCTACCGAAGAGTCTCTTTCTCAAGAAATTTCTGAGCAGTCCACGCTCGTGGCGAAGCTCAAGACTGACAGCTCAGCCGTGGCTGCTCTGGAGGAGGCCAAAAAGAAACTTGCAGAACTGAAGAAGAAGTTAAATCTTATGAAGAATGCTGCTAGTGGTGGAAAGGATGCGAGTAAGAAGAAGGAGCGATTACTGCTCAAAACCGCAAAGGTGTGCGCCTCAACAAAATTATAAGTCCTCGTGTAGAATATTCAAACTTTGCGTGCACAGGGAACGAGAGACTACGGCCCAAGTGAAATGTTCTGCCGAGAACATGTCGAGCGTATCGTGAAAGACTGCTTTATAACATACGGAGGAGGCCAACTCGACACACCTGTGTTCGAGCGAAAAGACATCTTGACCGATAAATACGGAGAAGACGCAAAACTTATCTTCGACCTTATGGACCAGGGTGGAGAGCAATTGTCATTACGATACGACCACACTGTTCCTTTGGCTCGATATCTTGCAATGACGCTTGCGAACAACCCGCAGTCGAAAATATGGCAAGTCGGGAAAGTGTACCGAAGAGATAATCCTGTTATGTCGAAAGGGCGTATGAGGGAGTTTTCACAGGCGGTGAGTTAAATACACTATGTCATAGCGTTGGTCTTGGCCTGACAATATTTTAGGATTTTGATATCTCAGGAGTATGGGATACAATGATTCCAGATGCCGAGATTCTTAGTTTAGCTTGCACGATTCTAACTCGATTAGATGTTGGCGAGTTCACCATCAAAGTGAGTTTACTGTTCGCTTGAAGGGACGTCTACAGATACTAATCCTTTCTTCCGCAGTTAAATCACCGAAAAATATTAGATGGTATTTTTGAGGTATGCGGAGTACCTTCAGAGAAGATTCGCTCGATTTCGTCGGCAGTGGACAAGTTAGACAAAGTAATAATCTTTTAGTTTTTTATAAAACGTCTGACTCATAGTTACTCATATTTTTGTGTGAAGTCACCGTGGAGCGAGGTCAAGAAGGAGATGTGCGAGGAAAAGGGCTTAGATCCCGCCGTAGCAGATAAGATCGGCGAATACGTGAAGCTCAAAGGTCAGTTACCCTATTCAACACCATTCGGAGGATGTATACTCATTTTTCTAAAGGCGGCGAGGAACTATTGGATACTCTTCTTGGAGATTCAGCACTCACGGCAAACGCAAGCGCCAAAGAAGGTCTTTCAGAAATGTCGATACTATTCACGTTACTCAAAGCGTACAATGTCATGAACAAGGTACGGAATCTATGTTTTCGCTCCGCATGATTTCTCCCCTGACATAGTATTAGATCTCATTTGATATGTCCTTGGCTCGTGGTCTTGACTACTACACTGGTATCATCTACGAAGCCATCGTCGCCGCCTCTGCACCACCAGGCTTCAAAGCAGACGCAACTCTAGACGCCTCAGACGCCCCCTCCAAACCACAAAAGAAACCCTCCAAGAAATCCAAAAGTGCAGCAGAAGAGGAAGAAGAAATCGATGAATCTACCGTCGGCGTCGGTTCAATCGCCGCAGGCGGGCGATACGACAACCTCGTTGGTTCTCTAATCGCAGCTGCTTCAGGTTCAGATAAGAAAAACGCAGGAGTACCTTGTGTTGGTATCTCGATCGGTCTTGATCGCATTTTCGCGATTTTGTACCCGAAGTGGAGGGAGAGGGGGATGAGGCAGAAGGAGACGCTTGCGTATGTTATGGCTGCTGGGGATGGTTTGTTGGAGGAGAGGATTAGGTTGGTTACGGAGCTGAGGGAGGCAGGGCTTAAGGTCTGTCGTTTAAGTTTCTTCACTCATCGTTAAAATATTAACTCCTTTATTTAATTCCAGGCGGACTTCCTCGCTAAGAAGAAACCCAAGTTACCAACACAATTCGCTGCGGGTGAGAAAGACGAAGTACCGTTCGCGATTATTCTCGGCGACGAAGAGCTAAAAGCAGGGCTCGTCACTGTGAAAGAACAGAAATGGGAAATGAAGGATGGGAAGAAGTCTAAGATTGAATCTGCGGACAAGGGAGTCAAAGTCAAACGTGCTGAGTTGATCGAGTGGTTGAAGAGTAGTCAGGCGTATAAGGATTTTCAAGTAGGGAATTGGTAGTGCATGAGGTAGAGGATGAGTAGACGTCGATGTTAAAGTTAACTTGCTTTCTGATTAGATTTTTATCTCTATATTCATTGCACATTCGCTGATATAAGTTAACATTTGCCCACAATCTAAAGTACCAGGTTCATACACCTAAAAACACAGCACGCAAGAAACTGAACTAGTCAGACATCTCAGAACCTGAACCTTCCGATCCTTCGTCATCATCATCTAAAGAAATAAGAGATTAGGCAATGTATCAAAACGTACTATTGTACGCGACTTACCATCTTCAGCGATATCCGCTCTTGATATATTCTGATCAGCTCTTGCTTTCCGTACCATCCTAATCAGCTCTTGATCCTCGGTTGGCGAAAGTAAGTCTAACATAGTATCGCCCTCTTTGTCTTTAATACTGATCGCACAACATCGTACCATCCACATATTAATGAATTAACGAGTGTGTAAGTCAAGAGGATAATGGAAAGACATACGTCGTATCTGCTCCAGCATCAATGAGAGTTTGGAAGACGTAGTCACGGAGTTCTTTGTCCTCTAGTTTCACCGCAAGGTGGAGGGGAGTAGCACCTTCTAAGCGGTTGATCGGGTCTACGTCGCAGTCGTCATGCTCTAGCAGGTGTTCAAGGACGTCCGTTGAGCCGTGCGACACACTATATGCACCTCATATCTCAGCTTTCTGCAAAAGGATGCTGGGTGTGGAACGTACGCGTAGTGTAATGCTAGCGATGCCGCGATCCAGTCTTAGATTCATGTATTCCGCATTTAATCACGTATATTAGCGTGCTTGCCTGTATTTCCAAGACTGCATGAGCACGACATCCAGTGAGAACATTATAGAAGTGGATGTAAGATAAGTTGGCTCACCTGTCCTTGAAGTTTATATCGTAGTTCCCCTCTTTGAAGACTTCAAGTAGTAATTCTTCGCTGTCCTCGCGCGCAGCAGCGAGTAACCGTTCATCTGTAGTGCATTCAGATGGACTGTAGATCCGAGTTTACTTGAGGATGCTTGCTTACTGTTCGATGCACCACTAGTTTCTATTCCATTTGTATCCATTATATCAATTTAGTAGGGTTCAAGTGTGGAATGATAGGAGTGGGACGTGGCAGATGAACAAGCACACTTACCCTTGCGCACAGCTTGAGCGCGTCGGTAGGTAAGAGCATCGCACGTGATCAATTTTGGAGGAATATCTCGAGCTGTACCATCTGTACCTTGGTTAAACCGACCCATGCAACTTGTAGACAACGAAACGGTGTGTACGTTTGGCCATCAGAACCAAGTTACATATCTAACATCAGCTTAGTTTCTCAAGCAGCTGGCGTCTCTGTTTGAGTCCTCAAATCAGAAGGGTTCATCAATATGGCTCACTCACAAACGACGTACGTTCTTCATCCGAGTCGTTGGCGATCATTTGCTTAAGATTGCCTCGGATACCAGTCACTTATGATGGTAGGGTTGCTTCGATGAAGAATGAGGTAGGCGAATCCGATACAAAAGAATATCCTTGTCTTGTGCGTGCAACGGACGGGAAGAAGGTGAAGCTATCAACTCATGTAGGTATTCTGGCCGCTCCAATAATTGTGAAAGACGCTCACTCAACCTTCCTTGACCATGCACAGGTCTTGCCTGAGGAACTCGACAAGTTCCACGCTGCTTACGGAGCATTACTCAAAAGCTCGATGCCCACCCTCCGAAAACGAGACAAGAAACGAGAAAAAGAACGTGCAGAACGCGTTGCCCGAAGTAAGAAGCGCATGACGGAACCAGTTAAAATCGAGGGACCCAAGCGTGGTTCTGGGAGGCGAAAACGCCAACGACGGATAAAGGCGGCTAAAAAGCAGGAAGAGTCGCGCAAAAAGTTTGAAGAACGGCAGGCAAAATTACAACAACAAAATACAGCAGCTTCATAAATTGTTCCAGACTAGAGCTAGTATTTTCCTCTCACTGTAGCCTGTCGTCGCTGTTGCTGTGTATCCCTATAAATAATAATGATACTTTGCCATGTATATTGCGTATGAGTTTATTTTGATTGTAAAAGCGGAATGCTGCATCCGCATGTTTATGAAGTCAGCGCGCGTCGGCATCTCAGGTCGGACTACGCTCCCCCCGCTTGTTTCGCACCACTGCTCTCTTATGTCTCGCTACAACTAATCTCTCTTCTTCTCTTCTCTGCTTGGCTAGAGGCGCTCGTATTGGTCTTAATACAATCTTAATTCAATGCTACCACCACCAAAAGCAGGCACAACCTCGAGCGCTGATGCTTTCCTCGACGATGATGATGACGGATGGCAGGAGATGCCTGTCATCCGTGATGACTTTGCGAACGGATTGGATGAAGAGGACAGAAAGAAGTTCCACTACGTTACTCCAGAGAAAGACGGCCGAACAGTAAACGCTACTGGTAACCTGATTGACTTTGACGATCGAGGTCAAGAGTGGAGAGAGAAGACCGTCACAAAGGAGGACGAGTTCAATGATTATACCCGTTTACGGCTCAACGAGGAGGATGACAACGATGAGATTCACCTTCGCACGAAGTTCTTGTTCGATGAGGACAAGGCAATGACGCCGCTCAGCCAGATGCAAGCCACCAAAGACATGCTTACTGAGGCACAACGAATAGCTTATGTCGGTCTGTGCTCCCTCGTTGCGAAAGGTATGAGCAACACGCTCAGGCTTGTCAAGAACAAAGACCTCAAGCCTGCATTGGATTCTATGGAGTTGTGGAGGCTGAAGATTATGGGACGTCTCTACTATCATATGGGGCTCGAAACTCAAGGTAAATCAGCATATACCATTCAGTTGGTTGCGTTGCTGAACGCGTTATTTAGAGCAGAAGATGATTGAGAGCTTAGCCGAACATGGTGTGTTACCCGAAGACCTCGTACCGTCACTTATGACTACACATACTGTTGCCAATCCTGAGTATGATCCGGTTGAAGGGAAAAAGAAGGAAATTGCACAAAAGGAAGCCCAGGAGGATCGGATGCGTGAAGAGGAAAGGCGAGCTGAAGATATCACCGAGGATGTTTCTACTTCAGAGGCTTCAGAGACGGTTCCCAAAACACCTCAAATACCAACTGTTCCCTACCAGACGACTGCCAACGTTCTACCACCCAGCGCTCCCGATGCAGTGCCGGGTGTCAGCACCTCATTATCAGCCGCCGACAAGGACGTGACTCTTGATATTCGATGGACGATTCTTTGCGATTTGTTCCTTGTATTGATCGCCGACAGTGTTTATGATGCTCGATCGCGTGGTCTGATAGAATCCGTCGCAGTAAAGCTTGGGGTGGGTTGGTTGGACGTTGTTAGATTTGAGCAGCGCGTCACGGAGGCGCTGGAAATACAGGAAGCCGTTGAGAAATTGGAACAGAAGGACATCATTGAAGGCCGAGTGAGGGCTGCGAAGAAGAGGCGCTATGCAATGCTCGGTCTTGCAACATTGGGTATGCTATAAAGGCTAATGAAAGGTGTATTCACTGATGGTGCTTTACATGCTAGGTGGTGGCTTGGTTATCGGGCTTTCGGCTGGTGTCCTAGCTCCTTTCATTGGTGCAGGACTGGCAGGAGCATTCACGACAATAGGTGTTACCGGAACAGGGGCGTTTTTGGCTGGTACCGGAGGAGCAGCGGTCATTACGACAGCGGGTACTCTAACAGGATCAGGAATAGCTGTTCGTGGAATGGCTCGCAGAACGCAGGATGTGCGAATCTTTGACCTTGTGCGTTTTCACGCCTATTCTTACATATCGTCAGGTGCTAAGAAGTCCTGTAGTTGCCTTTACATAACAACAAACGAGTGAACTGCATCCTTACTGTCTCAGGGTATGTGTTTCGTTGTTCAAGGTGGAAGTAATATCAGTTAAGTCTAGCTCAGATTTATGACCTCGTCAAAGGACGATGTTCGTCTGCCGTTTAGCGTCCTTGATCCTGTCGTTGGCGATGTTTTCAGTGTTTTATGGGAACCTGAAATGCTCGGCGAGACTGGAAGTGCATTGAAGATCTTGACCTCCGAAGTCCTCAGTCAAGTTGGCCAGTCGGTCCTTCAAGCAACTGTCATGGCTGGTCTCATGTCTGCACTTCAGTGGCCAATTTGTAAGGACTATCGTTACTTTCGTTACTTCATACATGCCTGACGTCTAGCTAGTGCTAACAAAGCTTGGTTACCTGATTGATAACCCGTGGAACAATGCCCTCGACCGCGCGAAGGCCGCCGGCCTAGTCCTCGCTGATGTTCTCATACGGCGGCATCTTGGAGTACGCCCAATTACTTTGATAGGGTTCTCAATAGGATCGCGAGTGATCTTCTATTGTCTGCTGGAACTGGCGAAACACAAGGCGTATGGAATCGTTCAGGACGTGTTTATCCTCGGTTCGACTCTCACAGCGTCAAAGCAGAACTGGCTTCAGGCACGGTCTGTTGTTTCGGGTCGCTTCGTGAACGGCTACGCTCGCAACGACTGGGTATTAAACTATCTTTTCCGAGCGACCAGCGGTGGACTGCAAAATATTGCGGGATTGCGGCCGGTGAACGACGTGCCGGGATTGGAGAACGTCGATGTAACGGATAAGATCGCAGGACACATGAGCTATCGCACGTTCATGCCTCTGATTCTTGACCAGCTTGGCTTCCCTGTTTCAGCAGATTACTTTAATGAACCAGAGGTAAGCGTTCTTTTCTTGTGGACTTATCGCATCCAATGCGCTGGCGCGCCTTTCTTCCGCTTCCACTTCGCCGTGCCAAGTCTAAATCTTCTCTTTATATCTACCTTGGCTTCTATTGCTCGCCTTAAACACTCTATCCATTGTGACTCATGGGTGACTCATCATCCCTATCTATATTCATTTACAGGAGCCGGATTTCACAGGAGACCGAATCGTCGTACGAGAAGACGAAGAACAGCCGAAGAAGAAGACTAGTTGGTTCTCGCGCCGGAAGTCCAAACCTGACCCAAAAGTAGCACGTCGTGTATCTCGACCGCCGTCAGCATTGAACCTGCCAAAGAATCCGACATCGCCAAAAGCTGAAGACGACGAGTTACCGGAACGTATCGAACATCCTAAAACGCCGACTACACCCACGTCTGCTGTAAAAAGCTCTCCGAATACACCCATCCAATCACCACCTGCGACACCTCGTGCATCCGATGTCAGCGAGGCTAGCGACGGTCCTCCTGTTCACGCCGGGTTTGATTTCAGAGCAATCCATGAAGTAATTGCAAACGAAGGCACTGACCCGAACGTGTTACATGCGCCAATTGCCCAGACACCTCGTGCACAGGTCGACTTATCACTTCCTCACGAGCCGTCAGGACGTCCTGAGAGCGTGCCACCGCCTGTACCTGCAAAGAACCAGCCTTTGGAAGAAGACAGAAGTGCTACCTTACCACGACCCGGCCGAAACTCAGATATTCGAATATCAAGTACGCCGTTGTTTGGATCTGGTGCAGGTTTCGGCGAGAATGAAGATGACGAGGATGATGGTGACATATCGTCCGCACTTGGTTCGAGTCTGGGTTTCGCAGGTCCATCGGCTTCACGTCGGGACCTAGCAAGTTCGTTCGTGAGATCCGTTTCGCTGACCGAATCAACGGACCACGGCAAAAATTACTCCGATACCACGCCCGGCCCATCCGGCGATCGGTCAGTACCACAAACTTCACGTTCTGACTATTGGGGCAGCCCCGTGTCGTCTGGAACGCGAGATGCGTGGTCGGGCGGGATAGGCGTCGGTTTTTCAGATCGATTTACATCATCAGAAAATGGCAAAGTTGTGGATGAGTCACCGAAGTTGAGTTTTGGCGGACCGGGTGGAAACTTTTGGGAGCCGTCATCAACGACTCTCAATGAGAGTACGCCTGTGGACACGGCACTCCGAAGTCCATTTGCATCGCCACCTGCAACTGCATCCTTACCCGCGGACATTCTCAACCCCTTTGCAATTTCTACTACGGACCTTAGCTCGGGTACTGAGAGGAGCAAGACAGATGATCATTGGAGCTCACCTCCTTTACCATCGAAGAGTAGCACGAAGCTGACTTCATCTACGCTGAACATCAACTCGAATCCGTGGAGTTGAACGCGAGTATCGATGAGATTTCGGCAGCACGGGACAGAACGAACGGGTCAACGGCGAAGATGTCATCACAGCTCAGCTTTCCTGATCGTATTTTATTACTTAGGGGCGCGGATATTTAATCTGGAGGGTTGGAGAGGTTAATCACAGATCACGAGGAGCTGAATGCATGAGCATTATGAGCGGCAGGTGGAGCTCGCGGAAGATTTCGGGGCTGTTTAGGATGTTTGTTCATCATGCGCGGTTTTAACCCATCCAGCGATCCGGCGACAAATAGTGCTAATTGCACAGATGACGACTGCGCATGTTGTGAACGATATTCAAGAAGGGCGAATTCGTGCTCGCTTCCGGTAGCGGACTCTTTCAAGACGCAATCACGAGCTTCCGTGCGGGGGTTTGTTTCAATTCGGTTCGTGTTACCCCGTTCAGTAATGAGTAATGTTATTTTCTGAACATGAAGCTTCGCTTCGAACGGGGAGCAAGGCACTGGGGCTTTTGTGGAGTCAAACGGTATCTCAAGCTCAATCTGAGTTTAGGGAAGAGGAGAGGAGTGGGAGTGTGCTGTGTATGTGGGCTTGTAGGTCTACATACGGAATTTTTCAACGGAGATGCAGGCCCGTACTGCTGAATTGACTATACAGCGGTCGCGCAAATGTCCCTTGCTCATCGCCGAATTATATGGATGCTGTGCGTTCCGAATTGTATACTCTCTGCTTCCCTAGGGCCTTCCACGTCCTCCTCCCTTAGCGTCAGCGTCATCATTCCTCACTTGCCTTGTAATAACTTCTAATCCTGCCGTTGCCCCTGCTTGTCGGGTTTCGCGATCAACGCCGTTGTCGTCATACAATACGCTCGTCCGTTCTTTGTCTTTATTATTTTTGTCCAATTCCTCCTTACTTTTTATTTTCCTTGCTCTTTGCATTTGCCGTTTTGTCTCTTTGAACAACCATCATTTTAGATCCGAGACTGGTGCATCATCATTTATCTCTCGTTTTCTTTTTCTTTTTCTTTTACCTTTTTTGTTCTCGTCGATATCAAGACATTCTGCAACATTTTTATGCCTGTCTTTTGCTTCCGCTTGTTTCTGTTCTTTTGTGTGCGCAAGTAGTCGCGGAACGGAATAAAATATTAACCCAATAACATTAAAAAGTGTGCACAGCCCGACATGCGAACTCCGCGTTGAACGAAATACAATAAATTTCACCATAATAGGAAAGCGGAAATGCAGCGTCGGCAAGCTGGGCGGAACATGAACGTAGGCATGATGGAAGATGGAGTGGTAATTGTACGTGGTGCAGGTGTGTTCAACGGCACTGCGGCAGTGCCAGTGTGGGGTCGGTCACCCGGACGAGGAAACGCGAAGGCCATGCATGTGTGGAGAGGAATCAGGAATGCAGGCTTTTGGCACTGCACTGAGTCGTGAAGGGCGGAGTGCGGCGTGCACCACTGCATGGACAAACCGCTCCTCAGACGGGGCCGTCTGTGGACATGGTGGAGGCACTGAGGAGAGTAGGATCTCGTTTTGCTGGATGTTGGCGTTGGCATCGTTGGTGTTGACGATGGAGAGCGCAGGGCCGCCACGCAAGCAAAATCACGCTCTTCTGTGTGGAGAAAAAGGGGAAAAGAGATAAAATCTCCCATCTCCAGGAGACCAACAAAAACACAACAGAGGATGACATCGTCATCGTCACAATCAAGTGTGGAGCGACAAATCACTTTATTTTATTGAGACTGAGTAAATCTGATTGATTTCTCATTTTCTGGGAGGAAGGAGAGAAGGACAAAAGGCGCTAGGCTATACTACTTTAGCGTCTATGCCCGGAGGATAGCTGGTCTGGTGAAGTACGGGTGCACATGGTTGCTGTATTGATCAAGTTATGGTATACGCTCTCGACGGGCAACGTGTTCCTGCACTTCGGTCGGAGATACAGGTAAGTAAGGAACATTTTGGTTTATGGATAGGGACAGGGCGGAAGGACGGGACGGGAAAGAATAACAACTTGTTACTCAGTCTCAGGGAAGTGCAACGTGGGGGAGATTCGAATGTTGATCATATGTGTGTGTATGCGTATGAATTGGACAGACAAATTGTCGATATCTGAAGATATTCATATATTGGAATTTGGAAAAATACAGAACAGTAACAATTGAATATGGTAATGGTTTGGGTCTCCGTTCAATACGGTGCTGGCGCCGCGGAGCATTGAGCAAGACAATGCTGACTCATCCTGTTTCTGCACTGAGCGGCAGAGCCTGTGTCCAGCCTTCCATTGGCGGTCAGACACCAGAGCCCAGAGGTGTCTACGATCAGTCTCAGAGCACAGGTGTTCGGGTAGCAATCTGAGACGTGTAGCACAGTCGCACGCGGAACTGCAGAACAGCAGAATCGCGAAGAAGGCAAGGGGACGACGGTGATTAGGCAGGGCTCAAGCGAACATTGAGAGGGAAGAGAAACGGGCCTTGCGAAGGGAGAGATACGAGATGGACAAAGTGGATCCGGCAGTTACAAAAAATACAGGAAAAGCCGGCTGCCTAATCTGGAGAGACATCTCAAAGAATCCTATTTGGGGAATGTGGACACAAGAAATTTTGAAATTTTATTATTCGGAGCAAATCGGTGCGCATCACGTGGTTTGTGTGTGGGAAAAGTGGCAGAGAGCAAAACAGAACTGGTTACCCATTGGTTGCATGTCTCCTCTATAAAACCACCTCCTGTAATCGCAGTGTCCTCACTCAACACCGTTGGTTCACCCTACCCGTGCTTCACTCACCATGCACGAGCTTATATCTCAATAACCTCAAAGGACGGTTGGTCCTCCTCTCCCTCTTCCAAGGGCACGTACTCGCTGTACACGCCCCGTAGAGAGGTCTCCTCCCCAGCATTAACAGCAAAATACTCTCTCTCCCCCCTGCATAGCGCTCGTCGCGGAAATCTTAATCAACCCTCTTCACTCTTCACCTTGTATCCTCCTACAAGCAATTCTTCATATCTTCGGACTGCCACTGAGTGACTCGGTACTAGCCATGTCGCCACGCTCCATCCTCAAACAGTCCTCCTACTCGCGCCCAGAGGCCCCCTCTCTTGCGGCCGCCCTCCCATACCCACCACCTACTCCTCAAGTGCACTTCCCGCCTACACCTGCGCTCACGCAGACTCAATACACCCATTCACGCACAGCGTATGACAGAGCTCCGATTGTCGTCCTGCCCAATGACTGTGCGTTACCCGAGCGAGGCTGTCCAGGTCGCACCTATGACTGCAGATCATTGAAGAGCTCCCCACGTTCACCCGGGACCTCCAGCAGCATGAGTGGGAAGCACCTACATGTACGCGCTTTCGAGGCGAACTCTGACGGACGGATATCCTACTTTGACTGTCCCTCTGTGCCTGCCCCCGTCCCGTACGGACCTCCTGGATTAATCCCGGATATCTCTTCCGAATCTGACGAGAGTGACGGTATCGTTTCTCCTCCGCCAGAGTACAATAATGCTGGTGGCGCCGGCGCCGCGAGCCAAGCGTACTCGCGCGCCGTCCACATTGCCACGCCATCTCAGGAGGAACTCAACAAGCATCTTGCCTTCCTTCCTCATGCGCCGTCCTCACCCCCCAAGAAGGACTCGCAGAAACGGGATAAGGAACGAAAACGGAGAGGCGAGACGCCCCGTTTCAAGTCGGAAGACGGAGCGCGGTCGTTCGCCGCATCGTCATTAGATGGTTGCCTCGGAGGTTTTTAGACGGGATGGTTGCGTTTGTTGTGTGTTTGGAACGAATTTTTTTTGGAAGTTTGTTAGGTGCCACGGTGTACTGCTTGCGCGGTTTATTTCTCCCTTTTCCCTTTAACAATTATTTTCTTTTCTGTGCCACTCTCGACCTATTATTTTACACTTTTTTCCCGCCGTTTGCTTTGCTGTCATGATCATTACATCCATACCTCATACCTCGTCACGACCTCTACACATCCTCGATTTGCTGTCTTACTACACGTCACCTTTTTTTACTACTATACCCTGCTCTCACTGTTACTAGCACTCGCATATCAACATTGACGCTGGGGTTACCCTGATACATTATCTCAATCGTCTGCTAGTCTGCCCTCTACGACCCCTCGACGATATCAGGATACTTTGTGGACAGAACATTGCTATTGTTTTGCGGTTTAAATTGCTTTTATTTGCGCTGTACAATAATATGTACCTTACTCGGATTTTCTGCTCCGTCCTTCGTGAAATGAATTTAGTGAAGACCGCCGATAGCCGGCCGAGTAATTCGGTCCAAAGAACAGCCGCTCAGCAAATTGGTTAATGGGTTTCAGCGGGTTTACGTTGCAGATGGCTCCTCTTTTTCTCCTTGGAGGGTTCCACTAACTGATCGCCTGAGTGAGAGGGGCAGGGAGCCAGCGGCTGCTCATTCGGCTCGCTATTGGGGTGGCAACGTTTTCGATGGGCCGCTTACGCTTGCGTGAAATGTTGGTGTTATTTTAATAAATTAACGATATTACAGTGTGTCCGCTTACACTGACACGTTCGCGTGTTGTGTTTGTTCGTTACCACTGTGTATTACTGTGTTTCCCGTGTTTTGGAACTGGACGGATGGAGGATGCCCGTGTGCGGTCACGGTGAGAAGTGAGAAATGATGGAATTCATGAAGGAATTGATTGCTCGGTGGCATGTGGATCATTTGGATGAGCGCGGGAACCATGGAAGGATGCAGGATCATCTGTTGATTGATGTTGGTTGAAATTCCACCGAAATTCCAGGTGGGCAATGTGATTATACAGTGCCTTTCTGACTATCATTGTTTCCATTGCTACGTAGATTAGGATGATTGAGATGGTCAGAGGATAGAGCTTTTTAATTCTAGATTTTAGTCTCATTTATTTGCACAGGCATGAGATTTTGGTGAGTCATCCCGTGTCATCTCCGAGTCGTACGTAGTGATATGAGTATATATGCACATAATATTGCATATATTCCATTGATTGGTATGGACAATTTGTAACATTTGTTAGTTGCTAGTTAATATTTACTTGGCTACCGTCCCCAGTTAGTCTAGCACTAAGATTTGCGCTAGGTCAGTAAATAGTAAGATATGACTGGACGGCGGCCAGCCAAGCCAACGCTATTATTGGCAGTTGGTACGATACCAGTGCTAAGAAACCGAGATAGACGGCCGCGGACACGGCGTCACGGTATCTTTTCCCTCCGACTCTGTCAGACTGTCAATGTGTACAGTAGGCACAGTATCTCAGTTTGTCTCGGTGGATGATGATGCGCTGTGGTTGTCTAGGCCATGCTCACGCTGCCACGAGTACATCAACATAGCAAACATGTCTACACTCGATCGAGAATCAAGAACTTGGCAGCGTGAACTTCCCGCAAAAAGGACAGGCAGAATCGAACGAAAGTCCACATTGACCACAAACCCACCTCATCCACGCTCGCTCGACCCTGCGTGATTCTTGATTTAAAGAAGTTTTGTCTTCTTATTTTCGGATTTTCGACGAGCAGGGCCACCCGTGCATCTTTCGATCGCACTTTGAAATTGAATACATAACTTTGACTGGAATATCCCTGTCCAGATGCCGGAGAAAGGAACAGTATAAATTTATAGAAAGGGCATGTGTCTTGCCTGAGGGGGTAGGGGAAGAGCCTGAGGGTAAGCGAGGCACACGGCGGCTGATTCAGATCGGACGGAAGGACAGACAGAGAGATTAGAACAACAGACTCGTAGGTTCGAGATGGCAAGTACGTGCGCGTTCGCGAAGGGAAGGGAAGAGGCCTATCTATGTATACGATACGGAGAAGAGACGATTTTTCTTCGTTGGTTCAGCGCTTGCTTTCAATTCGACTCAATTCAATATACTGCGGTGGTGTTGCTCAAGGTTCCCGAGGCGCTCCTTTGCTCCCTTTCGGGATTTCGAGATTGTGAGACGTTCAGACAGGATACTACTTGGGTAATTTCAGTACTGCTGTAGAGGTTTGTTTTCTTGATTTGTGGAGATATCTTGGTTGCTTGTCTGTCCTCGCTCCAAACTCTCCAAAGCCGGACTTGGCTTCACACTTGCTTTCGAAATTATCTTGACAGGTCAAAGCGGGCGATTTATATGCACTAGCTTCTGCAGCTTCCGATGTAGGCAGAGGATAGACATGAATGTAGAGAGGAAGCGAGCGCAAGCTACGCATCGGAGATGAAGGCAAGATGCGGGACGCATGGCAATTGCATCGCCGCTTGGCTTTCCAGTCAGACTTCGACGAACACGGGCTCGGGAGGATAAACTGCAAACCGCGTGTCCTTGATTCTTGTCTTCCATCTTCTTCCCCTCTTTTTTTATTTACCATCCCCGAGCCCTCCGTTAAAAATTCTCTAGGCGTGAACAATATTTGTGTGTATGTGCAATGTGTTATTGATACGGTGAATGATAATCTGCCGTCGTTTTATTTTTATGTTTATCTCTTGATCTTTCTCTCCTTTCTGCCCGTGCTTCTGTTCAATTCCTAACGATCTTTATCGATTTTGGAGACCTGCTAGCAACTAACGCTGAAATGCCACCATTCTGCGGAGTATCTGATCAGCAACTCGGGGCAGTTCACTGCGGGCGTCTACGAGTGAATCGAAACGCTGACACCAAGTACCCGGCTTTCCAACAGTACACCACGACCCCGTAAGGACAACGCGATCCTGATAGGACACCTTCCAACTTGTCTCCCTGTCTCAATAAATTCCTTTCTCGCTCGATGCCGATGCGGACGTTCTATCTGTAATGCATCCGACGGCGAGGCAAGTCTATCACTCTCACTAGCTCTGATTCCCTTCATTTGTAACTTGCGGATGGTTCATTTCCAAGCTGACCGCGGGCGAGCCAACTTCCCTTGCCTGAAAAACGAGAAGTGGAACGACGAGGACTTTTTCTCTTTCTCTCGTTTTCCCCTTTTCGCCGAGATTCTCTCTTGAAGGGAGTATCCAGCTGCCAATAGCCAGTAACCAATAACCTCGTGTTGCACCGAGTGGCACGGAGGATCGACCGTATCTTCTACGGTTCCATGTGCTGTCGTAAAATGCAAATGCCACAGCTGTAACGGCGGAATTTCGTGTTCCTTCGTCGCGAACTGGTCAAAGCATTTCTTTGCTAACTCCGCTGCATGGGCTGCATATGGGATGCACCGATGAAATTCCTCTCTTAGTCTTGCGTTTTTATCATCAAGAGGATATCAGCGTACCTAATCAAAGGACCCCTGTTGACAGGCGAGTGCAAACTTCAAACATCTGAGCTTCCACCTCCGGCGATGAACTCCTCAAACAACCCGAATATGCGGTTCCATCCATACGCATGCTGGAGAAACTGTTGCGCCGACCTGAGCGCCATGAAATTGTGCCGAGGTTACAGCATCGGCTGTGCAACTTTCACAATTCCACTTCTATCTTCACTCTTTACTTTGGTGGTGTTGGCGATCCCGAACTGAGAGTCACATGAACAGCGCTTCTGACTTCTTGGCCTACCGAAACACATTTTGAAACGGAATGGAATATGACCTGGTAAGTGATGTGGATGGGTGTTTCCGACTTACTATGGGATGGTTTTTATGAACTACTCCGATCTCAACGAGACTTTGTTCTAAGCATTTAACAATCCGGAACGCCCCGTCTTCATTGATGTGCCGCAAATAGCTGAATCCACAGGAGTACAATCTGTCACTCTTCTATCTACCGGACTTACTCACTCTCTTCAGCTCTTCTCCCTCTCTTTCGCCCTTCAAATTCGACGAGTCACTGTAGCTAGCAGTAGAGGTTGTTCATCTATTTCATGAGATTTGGCTTTGTCCAGCTGTTCAAGTAATCTACGTTCGGGGCGGATCTGAGGCTTGATGCATTCTCTCAAGCTGCGGACTGAGCAGCACCTGTCTCAGCCACTCATCAACTGTCAAGTTGGCCCTTCATATGCATATTCTACCCCTCAGCCACAAATCAAGCAAAGGAATCAATTCTCACTCGGAATGCCCTTCTTTGTTAACGTCCGAAATTCCATAACGTACTCCTACACACTCGGAGTAGCGAAACGAGCTCAAAACTATACACGTGCAATCACTTTCCCCTCCGGTTCCTCGTTACCCAAACCTCTTCTAGCCTGAACGTTCCACGCTGTAATTTTCGTGGTTATTGCAGTGTTGCTGGAGACCAACCTGTCAGCTGGTCGAACCTCATAGCGTTAAGAACTCTGGAAACATGAAAATGCGCCGCCGGCCCGGAAACGACTCAATCGGCCCTGCAAGCTATGCTTGTGCTAACTGGAACTAAACGAAAAAAACGAGGCTGGAAATCTTCCCTTGCGCTATCTTAGCTTAACTTTGGACATGTGGATTACTTACCATAGGTCCGGCGGAGGAAGAAATCGCGCGAGTCAATCCGGAGAAAAAAATCGATGACGAAATAGCTTATTGATTTCGTCCAGATTCTGTTCTTTCCCTGAATTTCTCCGAATATACTATATATTAGCCTTTCTTGGTATATCAATTGCAAGGAGAGAACGAAGATAAGGGATGTACAACAATGCAGGCCGAAAAAGCTTCAAAATTCGTCATTGATAACAAATGTGAATCATATGCGAGAGTCATCTCAATAGCTATTTGAGTTCTTTTTTGCAGGTTGTGGTCAAGTGCCACTGATAGCGCTATATGTGGTATGGGGATAGTTTACCTCGTGGGTTTCATCTAGTAGCTCCTGTCGCTCACCTCTCCTATTTTAGACTCGTTTTTCTTCCGATGAGACATAGGACAGCTCTGCCATTCCTGCCTGAGAATTATTGCTAAGCTACAGTGTAGCTTTTCCACAGAGGATGCTCTGGAAGACGCCACGCCGAGCTTGTCAAGCACTTCCAGAGTGAAATGCAACTTGTTTGCTCGCACGAGAGCAAGACGGATCCCATGGAGTTATAGGATTAGAACAAGTTAGCAGTTAGAATCGCTCACGCTGACTAAATTGCTAGGTACTGTTTACCAGATCTATTTTTACCTACGGAAAGCAGCTGGATATGGACAATGTACGAATTGCAATGCATCTAAGTTTCTAGCTGTGCCAGGTGCTGAATGAACACTATTCCATGGAATTGAAGGCAACGCTCGAAACATTCTAGGCGGCTAAAACCTAAGCCTAACCCCTGCGGCGCCCACCTGGCTTTGTTTAACTGTTTTCGAAATCTAATCTGAGTTCAGAAACAACTCGACCGTGAAATTTGTTTGTGGGCACGCCGCGTTCATCCCATTCCCCAACTATTCCAGGCCCTTCATGTTCTATTTGAGGTCAGGTACCCATATACTTACGTTCCGCGTTCGAGGAACGTTGTCATTATAAGAAGCTTCATGCTATAAACCGCCACTTACGGAACCGAGATTCAGACACGTGCGGGTCCTTCGCACCAGCTAATAATGCGCCAGCATCTTCACACGACGCAGCGCTCAAGGATCTCGACAGGGTACGATCGTGGCCTGGAAATGGTCCAGACTGAGATTCTCGACTTGCATCTGGATACATATGATATGCAATTCCGCAATGCAGGTCCAACTGTGTAGATACGGACGGGTTAGCAAATTGTTGGGGTTAACTAAATTTCTGATTAGGAGACGCACATTCATCTTCCCGATGATCTCCTTCGCTATTTAAAGTGTCTTGAGAACGGTTCTCCGCGATGACCGTACGCTAGAAGTCTCGGCAGCGGCTACGTGCCTCCGTCGGGCCTGTCCCGTTGCGAAAATTAAGGGACCGAAGTCCGACATGCCTTCTTTGGTCGCACAAAGTCTGCAAATTTCCAGAACCGCGGACAAACGCACGACAGGCGAGACGAATCGCATGCCATTGTACCAGGGTCAGCGTACCAGAGGCTTGCAGGTTTCACAGAGCTGACCACAGTACGTCATTGTACGACAAGATGATCATCGAGAGCGACGAGCACCGTGCCCTGGAGAATCCAGTAGAAAGGACTGTGGAAGCTGCGGATCACGGGTCTGAGGCTCAAATGACACTTGATTATGGGTCTTGGACCAATCAAAGGTACTACGAACTCGGGATGCGAGAATCTATATTGTTTTGGCGGGTTAACATCTGCAGTGTTGGAAGAGCCGGGGCCGCCGAGCAGCATTCGTACCGTATTGGTAAGTCGAAAATTCTCATTGAAGCTATACATGCTCGTCTCGTCTGGTATGACCACTGAAGCTCTCAAGTTGACTAGAAGATTCCGCTAGAGAGTAGACGTCACCGTGCGTCGCCTGAAAAGATCGTATTCTCCAGTAGATCCGGCATTCCGGTACTTAAGTGGCAAACCACTCGAGCTTCATACCACAAGGTAAATGCTTGCTTCCCTACGAGAACGCATTAATTTACGTACAGGGCCGGGGACAATGAGCTGGCTACTTCTGGATTTGAGAATACGCGAACCAAGTGACTACGACTCGCATACCTCAATGACGCAACGCGGTGGATGAGAAGTAGGAAAGCCAGCTCTAGTTTTCTTGCTGCACGTGAAATTCTTGCTCCGTAAGACGATTCGCCTCGATAAGTAGGAATAACAGATAGCAGTCCAGAACCGTTTCGGTTACTTCGCATAACAAATGCAGAGTTGTCGATAATGTCAAATATACAACCGTGGATGTGGCTCTAGTTGAAGCGGGACCAGGTCGGGGAGAAGGTTATGTGAGGGAATCTCCCTATTCAGCATTCTATTGCCTCCTTACTGGCCTTTTACGTGTAGTCGTCTTTTGCAAACTGCTGGCAATCGGCAGTAAGCCACACAGCAGGGGCTCAGCAAGATATTGGAAATCCCCAAGCCAGAAATCCGAGGACAACCTACCGGTCGTTTATTTTCGTTCAATTGCGGGGAAATACGGAACTTACGAAGACTGTTCTGTAGACATTGAAAGTACGGAAGACTTCGCCTGTCCTTGTACTTGTAATAGCGCAGTGGGGATGGAAGTGTGAAAAAAGCAAGTCCAAAGACTCGACTAACACACGAGTTCCTCGGATAAAACAAAGTTCCTGTCGGTTCTCACCGCAAGTGGCGCTAGAAAGCTCTATCTTCATCAGCATTCATTCGAATCCGCAGATAAGGATTGATTCCCGACATTGTGCTTGGGATGATGAATAAGAAATAGCACCATGAGCACCGTAAGAGCAAGAGGAAACGTATTCGAGAAGCTTGCAATACAAATTTTAGTGGAAGTTATAAGGCGTCAGAAGCCCTCTTGCTGATTGAAATTGCGTCATACACCCGGGGATACGGAAAGGAAGCTGAAGCAGCATAAATTCAGCTCGTAAAAAAGCCCAGCTGCCGTGAGTTTGATTCAGCCTCTGCAGTCAGGAAGCATTTGCTTCTGTGCCTCGTGTGGGTAAGGAATTTGGGAACGCAAACGCTAGTTCTCCATCTGGACTCAGCATTTCCGATCTGAATCCAAGATATGCTCCATCTAAAAGTAGTTAGAAGGGGATGTACGGAGGAGAAAAGAACATAATCGCACGAGCGGCTGCCAGTGGCACAGGTAATAGACAGAACCCGTTGCATCTTTTCAACAAATTTGGAATTGGCAAAATACATTGACCACTTTAGGAAGTAAAGTACCACGATCGTCGGCATGATCCATCACGAATTTCGGCACGGACGAGGACACGCCGCGACCACTGCGCAGCTCGACGTCACGGACTCAATAATGTCGACCTACGACAACCTACGAAAGCAATGTCGAACGCTCGAATCTCTCCTAGACGCAAAACTCACCTCCTATTCACGACTAGCCGCAAATGCTGAGCATGAAGACCTCGAAGCCAGCGGCTCGAGTAGTAGGTGGAGCGATTTAGAAGAGGAGGTTGACGGATTACTTGAGAAGGTGTGTTTCTATTTCCTTGCGGATGAATGGATGAATTGTTGATGGTAATTGCAGCTTAGAGAGACGAATGACCAACTAGGAGCGTTATTGAACGATGCTGCCTCTCCCCCTTCGCAGTCCATGGTTTGGGCCATTAAACGACATAGAGAAGTCTTGAATGACTACGAGAGGGATAGTGCTCGGACGAAGGTAAGCATCGAGCAAGACGTCATCTTGGATGAATGAAATGCGTCTGGACTAAGGCTGTATATCTCAGACGAATGTCAAAGCAGCGCTAGACCGAGCGAACTTGCTGTCCGGCGTACGAAATGACATTGAGTGAGTTATCCATGGAACTTTATATGAGTGCCGATTGAATTGGGGACTAACTTATGTTCTACTTCTAGTGCCTATAAGTCATCGGCGGCAGAATCATTATTGACAGAGCGAGGACACATTGACAATTCGCATCAAATGGCAGACGACATTCTAAGGTGACGAGAGTTATTCCCGATCTTAGATGGAACGCTGACGTGTCATATTAGCCAAGCATACGAGACTCGTGCAGAGATCAGTAGCCAAGGCAGGAGTTTAGGCGGGATTAGCACACGAATGACGGGAGTGCTCAGTACGTCCTCTACACATTAAATGGTGACCATGACTAACAAATTAATTTTGCTTGTAGGTACGATGCCAGGGATCAATAACCTTCTTGCGATGATCAAGTCGCGAAGGCGAAGAGATTCCATTATCCTTGGCTGCGTTATTGGATTTTGTGTTCTTTTTATCGTAAACTATTTGTTCCGCTAGGACACTATTTTATTTTACATTCCATCATTGATATAATTACATATTGCACTCCTAAACTACTGTACGGCAAGTCCGAGAGCAAGGATTGAGGTTGAAAGACATGTGGATGCATGAGAAGTGTTCATGGAAGGCAAATAGATATTTCATTGCAACTCGCAGTTAAACTTCGGTCTCGACGTCCGGCTGACGAGACTTCATCTTGAACCGATTCTTGACTTTCTGACCTGTCTCCTCGACGTTGTTCTTCAGCCACTCGGCAGTCCGAGCTGGCTTTCTCTGCATTATACCTCGATGTTGCTGATGCAATTCCTTTTCGTGCTTCTTCCATTCCTTTAACTTGTGCATGAGACCCTTGTTCTCGTCTCCATCGCTTTCCTCATCAGCGGAACCGTCCGCACTCTTGTTGACTCCGTCGACTCCATTTTCCTGTTCGTCATTTTCCTGCGTCTCGTCATGAACCTCCTCTTGACTGACTTCGGTATTCTGTCCGGATACGGCTTTCCCATCCTCGTAATATCCCACTTGTTCTTGCAAACCAACACTATCACGCCGATCAACTTCCTCCCATAGACGTTTCTGTGATGGCTCAGACGTATTCATAGTCTTCCGATGCGCAGTCCCAATCCCAGGGTTAATCGTCAATTCCAGTTGCACAGTCCCAATCCGCGTCAACTCGTCCCTACTCGTTTCCCAGGCACCCAAGTTCCCATCGGGTGGGATGTAATTCTGCTTGAGGCGGTCGTAGTTTCCTGCTTTGAAGAGCGCTACGTCGATGACGTTGTCCTCGTCGTCAACAACATCACGGAGCCAGAGTACAGCCATGCCCAGTTTGCTCGACTTGAGTGCGGTAGACTCCTTGAACTTGATGACCAGGGCTGAACCGTAACGCTGTTGCACAGGAATTTCCATCGGAGGATCCTCCTTCCAAACGACACTCCCATCGTCTTCACGTTCTGCGTCCTTCTTCGAAGCTTTGCTAGTAGACATGGATGCCTTTAGCTTGACTTCGCAAGAAAGCAAAGTAGAAAGAAGGCTCTCTGTATTTTCTCCAATTGGTTTTGCACGAAGTTTGCGAATGACCAGCGTCCCTGCATCAAAGCCCAACAGATTTGGCGGAAGCTTCACCTGGACTGGCCTGAATAACACCGAGACACGTACCGAGCCGTATCCGATACCATTTTCAATTGGGAAAAATCGAGTCACCTCAGACGCGTTTGCAAGGAGGTCGGACAGCTATAGAAAATAGTGAGTAAACAACGCATTTATCCGATAGCAAGAAGATAACTTACCTTTAGCCACACGATACCAAGAATCGGATCGTTCTCCCGCATCCTTGAGTCCCTGACTGTGACGCTAACGTGTGCACAGCGCCAGTCCCGAACGAACCTCTCAGTGCCAGCATTAAATATCGGAGTCGACGTGATGGGCTTAACACGAGTCGAATAGACCTGAAAAACAATGAGAAAACCAGCACCCATAAATTTTAAGTAGAAATACTAACGAAGTTATCATTGACGGAACTACGGGGCGTACGTTAGCATTGGTTCTAGGATGTGTGTCTTGCGCTTACATAGTGCAATAGGAGGATGGCAAATTACTACCCTCCTCTTGCTCTTCACCATCATCGTCCTGTCCTTTTGCACCCTCACCTCTTCCTCCACCAAATACATTCGTCTCCCTTCCCTCCATTCGAATCTTAAGGTCTCGAATTTCATGTACCTGGACGCTCAAGATTCCCGACGGCCACTCAGGGCTGGGTGGAGTCCTAAGCACGGCGGCTTCAAGGTCGTTCAATGCCACTGCACGGGCTTCCTGGAACTCTGGGTCATGTTTCTTGAGGTCCTCAGGTATAGCGGGGTCAGATCCGTCAGTCTTGAGTTTTTCATCAGGCCACATTTTCGTGTAGTAGCCAACTGTAAACTCTAGATGGCCAGACCGACTCTCGGAATCAGGGCTCGTGAGAAAACACACTCGACGAGTTGGCGTGTTCTTGTTTCGCATCAGTTCTACGAGAGATGAGTATGCCGTTCAATTAGATTAGAAAGACAGTCGGGAGAATTTACCAAGGATGTCAATTTCTACGAAGCCCATCATGTCGTCCTAAGTCCCACGTCGGTAAACGTGTTGCAGATTAACATGCGTGACGACTTACCGCACTGGCCCGATCGGAATCCCAGAGTTGCAGACAGAGCTTCTCTCGAATCTTGATTGCATTTGCATCAACCGTCACAACAGCAGTCTCCTCAAAGCAGGGGTTCAAATCCGCGAATATGATGCGCTAATAATGTTAAAGCGCATATAAGAATCGGGATCATGGTGTGATGACAAATAATGTTTACTAACTGTGCTATACAAAGGCCTCCCTTGACGAGAATAAACGACAGTAACGTATGGATCTGAAGATTCCGTGTCTGTTGAGTGAGCACAACATAAATCAAGAGGACCAGAGGAGGGAATGAAGACAAGGAAAATATACGATATCAAGACTAACCTGACGAGTTCCTTGAATCCATCTTCTTCAAATCTTTCGCACGGTGAATATGGACCACAATGACGCCAATTGATTCCGTATCTGAACATGGCGTCAGAACATTAAATAACCAGAAGAAAAGCGCCGTAATCATACCTTTCTTTATATCATCTCCACTGATGAGTTGCTGCAAGTCCAGCGCTAGACTACGTGGAGCTACATACTCCGCACAAGCCGCATCGATGGACTTTGAAATGAACGAAGACAAGACTGGAATGTTCATAACATTCGGCAGCGACTTCGACATCGGTACCACTTTGATTGATATTCGCGGCAGTCCCATGAGCGTGACGAGTGCAGTCTTAATGAACGGTGGATCTGGGATGAGTTCAAGCCTGCAACCAGAGTGAAGTCTAGTCGAAAGTCCTATTCGAGAATCAGAAAAATATTACCTTGCTCTTGCAGTTCCAGATACACCCGTCAACTCAACCCATACAGCTAAAATCGAAGGTCAGTCTGATGTATGACGATCAAACGCTTTGGCGAAATTGCTCACGGAAGTTGAACTCGTACGCGCCGCTCACGCCAAGAAAAAAATCAACGAGAAGACTTGGAGGAAAGTTCAGTCTTGAAATTAACATGACAAGGGCATGGTACTCACTGTGCATTATGTGCCTTACTGCTGGCCGTCGCACCACTTGGTAGAGCACGATATGCGAATGATACTTCAAGATTCTGGTTCACCAATTATAATGATTATTCTTCATATAGGATCACGATTTGCATTGATCTTACGACGTGTTCCCTGGAAAGGTTCTTCCTGATATCATCGTCAAGGTCCTGGAGTGCTTCGTCCGTTTCCACGTCTGGAAGAGAACGAATAGAAGTTATTCGTAACGGATTCAAGCCTTGACCTAGGTCTGCGACTCGTACAGAATGCTTGAGGGCAAATTTTAATATCAAAGGTTATCCACAAAGAGTCCCTTTTAACACGTACAGTGAACTTTGGAGAGCTAGCTTGCATAATATCTTCTAGCATGTCGATACCAGAATTAAACCTGCGCGCGTGCCTCGTTCAGAAAATGTTCGTGTCTATTATGCGACGACTTACATATCCGGATTGATTATAGGCCAGATACCCCTCAAAACAGTGTTTAGCCACTCAACACTCTCCTTGACACGTTCGTCCGTTCCGACCACTCCGTCTCCATCTTTGTCCTCCCCAGCGGCAAGTCCGCGAGCTCGCTCGGCGTCCCAAACGCGATCATCGAAGTCTTCTGCGGACTTTCTGCAGAGCGCAAACAAGAGCGTGTATGCGAATAGTGATGGTGGGACGAGAGAGAAGATGAGGAAAATTCCTAGGTTGACGTAGGGATGCGATTGAAAGCGTATCCGTGAAATGAGAGGAAGACCAGTTATGAAGTACAGCGCAAATGGGAAGCAGATGTAACCGGCCATGATTTTGACAATGGACGCTCGTGTGAGCTCTAGCACGTAGGCCCTATGTGCTGACCAGTCTGATATGAAGAAAAACAGGCGAAATATGTTAGTTGAGATATACCCTGCCATTGACATTGTTGAGTTTACCAGGTGGAGGATAATCCATGTTTAACACATTCTTTCCTTTGCTTCGTACATCCTTTTCGTCCCCTTCCTCACCTCCGTGTTTGACCGTCTGAACATGTCGGCATGAATAGAGTCTCCACCATCGAGTGGAAATTATGCTCACCGTCTCTTCCCCAGTGACCGGGTCCTTGACCACGACCTCTCTGCCTTTCTCCATTTGATTTGTCGACTTCTCGGTTTCATTTCTCTCCTTCTCTTCTTTCCCGTCCTTACCTCGCAGGTGTTTAGCCTTCGTTTCTGTCGCGCCGTGTGGGTCTAAGATACTCTTAAGAGCGACTTTCGGAACTGGCCGCGCAGCATTGTAGGTCTCATGTAGCTTGTGCGACATGGCCATGTATGCGTGTATGCCGAAAGAGACAAGTCTGTAAATAAAGTGCACGCGCCACCTTCTGGAGTTCACGCGTTCTCCAATTTACCTATTCAACGACGTCACTACTGTAACGTGATCCCTCTTTTCAAAGAATCCCTCTTTTCAATTTTTGCATTTGCACACTTTACACAATACCTTACACTACCAAAAAATTCAATGAGGTATATTTGTACTATAGAAAATATACTGTGTCTTTTTTCTGTAAAAAAATTGATGAAAAAATTAAAAAATGGTAAATACTACTTTTTCCAATGGTAGCTTCAATTGTAATTAGCTCTATTAATTTTATTAGTAGATTTTTTGTTACAATTAGGCTTCTTATGTTTTCTATACATGCATAAGTGTTCTTATTATAATTTGTGAGTAGTATGCTGATTGTTGTGAATTAAAATTGTAGAAAGATTGGTTGAGAGTGACAAAAGCGTGACAATTGTGCTAAAGTATTATAGCAACATAGTGTGTTCACAAAGCTTACACGCGTCAAATCATTGTGACAACTTGTGACAAAAATTGAAAAGAGGGATCCTCTCCCTTCCTGCCTCAAAAAAATCGTAAAAATTTTTTTGAAAAAAGGAGCATGTTTATAATATATAGATATACATATGTACAAATTTTACAGTTAAAATAATGCGTGGTTGTGGCTGTAGAAAAAAATTGAAAAGAGGGATCATGTTACAGTATACTGCACACTGAAACAAATCCTTTTATAACCATGATGCATTATGGGGGTTCCTTAGCCACATTAATCTCCACCCTTCTCATTATTTCGTTTCGAGGATAAACCCAGGCTACCAGCACACATCAAAAGTGCTTTTTAAATCCTTCCAAATCTTAGGACTGGAATCCACTCAGTATATTTCTAACGTTCTGGCCGATACTTTCAAGGTGATATCCACTGAAAATGAAAATATCTATATCAGCTGGGAGACTCGGCCTGAATTACCTAAACCTACCCTTCAAGCACAAACAACGTTGATCTCTTCACAGAGGAAATGATCCTCCTGATTTCGAGATAACCTTCTGTCGAGATCTTGAAGTCGGAGATGGGGTCTCCTTCATGCGTGTCGACGCCAAGGCTGTGCGCAAAGAAATTAGAGAGCATTTCCAATTGCTTTCTTACATTCGAACTTGCAAACCTTACGAGGAGATACACAGGATCGTACTCCTGAATACGACTTACAGCTTGAGTCAATGCTTCGAAGTATTCCTTATTCCCGGTAATTCTACGGGGTAGAGGGATGTTCAAGTTGAATCCTTCGCCCTCACCCTCGCCAGTCTCGGATGCAAATCCGGTGTAGTCCATTTATAAGAGTAATGTAAGCACAAATTGTTTGGAGAAGTCACTGGATACACACAAGGATAATCGCCTTCTGCATGCAAGGAGACATATAATACAGTTGGATCATCATAAAAGATAGCCTGAGCTCGTCATTTGAAATAATTTATAAGTCACTCTTGAACGGGCACATTGAAAATATACTCACTTCCATTGCCGTGGTGATAATCAATATCCAAGATTGCAACCTTTGATTTGTTCGAATTGAGAGACTGGAGAAATTGGGCAGCAACAGCGATATTATTAATGAAGCAGTAGCCTCCGGATAAGGAGGGACCAGCATGGTGTCCTGGAGGCTGACTTCACGTTGGAAAAGGTACATCTAAGGAGTGGTAAATAGTAATAGTTGCAGTATAGCTGACCATAGTGCAAACACTCCCTGCGCTAGTTCTAGAGAAGGTAGTTCCTCTGCTGCAGTCAACGTGACTCGCAATGAAGTGAGCGTGGACTTGAGTGTATCTATCCAACACATCAGCCGTCATCTGGTATATTGAAAGCCTGCAACTAACCCTTCGTAATCGGAGCGCTTAGGCCAAAGCAATAGAGGCCTATTTCAGGATTCATGGTCAAAGCGACATTCAACCTCCAGGCGGTCAAGCCTCCTAACCTGCTCTAGCTATCGGTGACATCCTTGTTGCAGCAAGTGGCTTTTTGGACAAGAGCGATACGTGAAGGAATGCCCCTGGAAAGACACCTGACTAGATGCCCAACTTCAGTGCGATCATTGCTAAAGGAAGAATATACCTCATGCCCTCCATCAGAGATCCAAGAGTCATACGCAGTTTCTAAATAGTCAAAGTAGTCTGGCTCGTGTACTGTCAAGATCCATTTCTTCAAATCCAGCCCGTTGTCGAGAGTATCAGAAATTTGGAACTTCTCTGGTTCTTGTGCAAGTACGTTCCGGACAATATTTATTCTCGATGGACTTTCATGGTATGGAGTTTGTCTTCCGTCGAGAATATCGTATGGTGGGCTGTGCAGTAGGCAATCCAAGTGATAGAAGACTTTCATGGTAAGAAGGAACCCGCGGACTATGGGAATGACGGTGTGTAATGCTTAAGTACCTTGGCAGTGCTCCCACGATCTCGTTCCGCACAACCGGAATAATCAGAGTGCATGGTCCAGTAAGAGGATGACAACTTACCACCGTCCTCTTCTTCTACACTATCGTCATCCTGTCCTTTGTGCCCTCCCTTATTCCTCCAACAAAAAATGTATAATTCGGTATACGTACATCCAGTAAACATCAAAACAGTTTATATGAATTTGAGCTCTTCTAGACTTTAGGACTGAAATCCGCTTAACACATTTCTGACGTTCTGACCGATGCTTTCAAGGTGATATCCGCTGCGAAGACAATTCTTAATATTAGCTAGGGGAAATGTGGTGAGTTACTTTAAAAGAAAACCTACCCTTCGAGCACAAACAACTCTGGCTTCTTCACAGAGGAAATAATCCTCCCAATTTCGAGATAGCCCTCTGTCGAGATTTTAAAGTCGGAGATAGGGTCCTCTTCATGTGTGTCGACGCCTAGACTGTACTTACGACATTAGAGAATATTTCTAATCGCCCTTTGTTCGCTCAACTCCGCTCACCTTACGAGTAGATACACAGGATCGTAATCTTCAATATGATTCACAGCTTTAGTCAAGGCTTCAAAGTATTCCTTATTGCTAGTGGTTCCACGAGGTAGAGGAATATTCAAGTTGAACCCTTCGCCCTTTCCCTCGCCCGTCTCGGAAACAAACCCAGAGAAATCTGTTCGGGAGAGAAATGTCAGCACGTCTCATTCAGAGAAGTTACTAGACACATACATGGATAGTCGCCTTCTGCATGTAGAGAGACATAAAATACCGTTGGATCGTTGTAGAATATAGCCTGAGCTTATTAGTGGAAATGGATTATTATTCACTCGTGAAGACTGCACTGAGGATATACTCACTTCCATTGCCGTGGTGATAATCAATATCCAAGATCGCCACCTTCGTTTGTTTGAGATTGAGAGACTGGAGAAAACGAGCAGCGACGGCGATATTGTTGCAGAAACAGTAGCCTCCGCTTAAGGAGGGAGCTGAATGGTGTCCTGGAGGTCGACTACAGGTTGAACAGTGTAAATCTAAGGAACAGCAAAAAGTTGCACTGTAATTAACCATAGTGCAAACACTCCCTCTTTTGGGTTTAGAAAGGGCAATGTCTTCGCTGCATTCAGCGTGACTTTCAGTGAAGCGAGTATAGCTTTGAATGTTTCTAGACAATATTTGAGTCATAATTTCGTAGATCAGAAGGTTGCGACTCACCCTTCGTTATCGGACTGCTTAGATCAAAGCAGTAGAGGCCTACGGTTTCGAATCCATACTCAGAATTGATTTAGTCTCAGAAAGGTGAAATCACCTAACCAGCTCTAGCTATTGGAGACAGGCTTTTTGCATCGAGTGGTCTTTTGGATACGAACGATACGTGGGGGAATGTCTCCGGAAAGACACCTATCTAGCTTCGATGCCAGTTAACTTGCTTGTTTGGATCGTTAAAGAAAAGAATGCACCTCATCTCCACCATCAGAGACCCATGTATCATACGCAGTTTCAAGGTAGTCTAGATATTCTGGCTGATGCACTGTCGAAGTCCATTTCTTCAAATCCAGATCGTCGTTGAGAGTATCAGATATTTGAAACTTCTCCGGTTCTCGTGCAAGAACATTACGGATGATATTTATTCTCGATGGACTTTCATGGTACGGAGTTTGCTTTCCATCAAGTATTTCATAGGGTGGATTATGCAGTAGACAATCCGAGTCATAGAAGACCTTCATGGCAAGGAAGGGACTTGCAGACTATGGGAACATAACGGAACATTTTAAAGTTGCTGCAACCGCGTCACAAATTCTGCGTGATCGACGCGACGCGACTTCTGACAGCAACCTCGATCTACAGCATTACTCTCACTGGGTCTCAGCAACTGAAGGCTTCAATGTTATAGCCTTTGTGACACCTGCTCTGCCAACCTACTTCGTGACTCAATACTTCGAAGTTGTTTCTCTGTCTAAAACTAATCGACTGTCCAATTCGAATAACTTGCTCGGGTCACCCAACAACAGACACTTTCTCAAGCCTTCTCCCCTTTACGCAAGACCCGGCACTCTCTTTCTTTAATTCTCCACAACTACGCGTCAACCATGTCTACTGGAGGCTTTGGCCCTGGTGCGATCGTCGAAATACCCGTGGGTCGTGGTAAACTTCGTTACAGCGGAACGACCCATTTCGCTAAAGGCCAATGGGTCGGAATCGAGCTCTTTGAACCGAAGGGAAAGAACGATGGCTCGATTGAAGGGGAAAGATACTTCAATTGTACGATGCCTTATGGTGTGTTTGTGCGGCCGAGCCAGGTCAAACTTATCAGCCCAGGTGAAGAGAATGGTCGTCCACAGCCACCCGCTGTAAGTCTGTTTATTTTGCTTGCTCTAAGTGCCGTTTTACTCATTCGTATTGTTTAAGGCGGCTCCTGTAACTGTAGTTCGACCTGCAGCCGGTCATGTTCGGTCTTCAAGCAGTGGACGTGTCCTTGCAAACGCTGCTCGTAGTCCAGTTCCTGGTAGCCCCTCACCGGCAGGTTCTCGATCTGACAGTCCGCGAGGGCGACCGAAAATCACTCCAGCTACTCCTGCAACTCCTGCGATTGCATCTCCCATTAGAACGAGACCCGTAGGTGCACTTTCTCCTACTAAACGGTCGAGTCTAGCTCCGCCGGCACTTATCACCCGACCGAATCAAACCCGCCAGAGGACTGGAACTGGAGAAAGCATCCCTCCAACTCCTGTAACTGCAACTATGAAACAAAGGTTGGCCGAACCGAAGCGCACCGAGTCTCCTACATCCCTTTCACCATCAACATCGCAACAAACCTCTTCACCTCCAATTCCTCCAATAAACTTCGATCAACCAGAATCAGGACGTCCACCTTCTGCACTTCAGAGAGAAGTTGTGAGTAGCTGCTTCACCTAATTTGCCAGAGCTTATTTATCAATGTATTTTGCAGCAACAAGCTGAATCTGAACAAGAAATTCAAGAAATCAAAGCAAAAATTCGAGTACTCGAAGCCAAGCGCTCCGACGATGCCAGGGTTATCGAGAAACTGGAATCACAACTCTCTGAAGTAAACCACTTTGTTGCCCTTCGCCCGAAGCTCCAACAAAAGCTTGCGACACTCCAACAGGAACTCATCGCGAACCGGCGAGCGTTAGCTGACGCGGAACAGGTTCAAACCCTAGGTGAAAGCCGTCTGCTTGACGCTCAGGAACAACTCGAATTGGCCATGTTGGATAAGGAAGTTGCGGAAGAACGAGCTGAGACAGCCGAACTGGAGCTGGTGTCGCTGCAGGAGAGAGTCGAATCACTGGAGGTTGAACTTGAAACTCTCAGGGGAGGAGGTCAAGGCGGCGAAGTCGACGATTCGGTCAAATCATCTCTTGCTTATGCACAATTGGAGAAACACAATGATCGGCTCAAGGAAGCATTGATTCGGTGAATGACCATGCTCAAGAATGACTACTGACTACGTACTAAAAATCTTGCTAGTTTACGTGACCAGAGTCGAGAAACGGAGCAAGAACAACGCCATCGGATAGCAGAATTGGAGCGAGAGCTAAACACCTTGGAAGAAATGAGCTGTAAGTAATTAGGTTACTAACTTCCGCTTATGTCGCTCGCTCACGAGCTTTCCGTAGCCCAATATGAATCTACGCTTGGCAAGCTATCAAACGCGGACAACCAAATTGATGAGCTGAAGGCCCAACTCGACGATGCTCTCGGTGCCGAAGAAATGCTTGAGCAACTTACAGAGCGCAATCTGGTGCTCGGCGAGGTCAATTCTTTCAATGCCTATGTTTTGTTTCCGTGCTAATATAATGCTTTAGAAAATCGCTGAGATGACCATCACTATCGAGGACCTTGAAGCCTTGAAGGAGCTCAACGATGAACTCGAAGAGAACCACGTTGAAACGGAGAAGCAGCTTAACGAGGAAATCAGTGAGTTTCAAACATCTACAGTTAGAACGTATTTCTTATAGTGTTTGGTCAAAATAGCGCAAAAAGAAACGCAGATTAGAGAGCAAGTTAGGAAGATAGCTGAGCTTGAAGGTGCTTGTCAAGACTTCGAAGGGACGATCAATCAATTCAGAGACCTGGTCATGCAGCTCCAAACGTATGTCGTATTCAACGACATGAACACCCGATTTCCACTTTTCAATACACTTTGTTTAGTGAACTTGATACATTACGAATGCAGACGCAAACGGCTCAAAACGAGTCGGCGACTGCGGCTTCACAAACGGCGGCCATGATGTCACTCAATATGAAGCTGCAGTCGTCTGCTTCTAAGCATCAGGCTCGAAACATCGAGATAGAGCTTGCGAGGATTCAAGCTAGGGAGACCAAGGATCTATATGAGATCGTCAAGGTAAGCATCGTCACAATTATCACCCATATGGGATTCTTAGCTTCGATCTTTACTCGCAGCCCTACCTCCCTCAAGTTTACATTGATTCGGACAGTGAAGCAACACAGTGTTACCTGTACTTCCAGCGGATGGCTGCTAAAGCTGACCTTATAAACACTGCGGTTGCTCAGAGTCACGGACTTCCTGAAGCTTTGAACGGACATGTTACCGAAGGATTGGTCCGAACATGCGAGGTGATTCCTTATATTTCTACTAGCCTTGTTTCTTTCATGCTGACGATACCTATAGCTGAGAGCACGAATCAGCCGCATGTCGATATTATGCAAACGCTTCGCGTCTATTCTGAAGCGGTGTGATGTCGAGACATTCCTAAATATAGGGCGGTTATATGCAGACGTTGCCCACTTTGAGAAACGTATCGATTTGCATATTGATATGCTTTGTCGTGATGAATTCCGTGACATCGAATGCGTCAATGACGTCCAGAGGTATGCTTCTATTACAGATTTCCAATGCGTACTTGTCGCTGATGGACGTGAATTAGGACTGCTCAAGCATTCGGTCATCTCGTCGAGATGTACTCCGAAGGCTTCGACTTTGATTTGGGAGAACGGGAGCTTGGTTATGCTCAGAGCTTTGATCATGAATTGGATAACTTGTCGGCATCACTTGCTCTTATCAGTTCGAACATCTCGGACATAATGAAGGACGAAGGTAGGCTCTTCGACATCTTATGATATAATGCATGACACAGCCGGTTAATTCTCCGGCTCACAGATGTTACGGTCGAATCTGATGACGACCCGGAAGTCGAGCTCATCCAGCCATTCAAACGAGTGTTGGATCAAGTCAAGGGAACGAAAGTCATGTCGAAGTTAGTGGTACCTTAGCCCATCAGTGACAGAGGTTTACTCATCCTTCGTAGGCGATTGACAAAACGTCTGGAAGAGCTGACGCAGGATTCTGCTGCTCTCAAGCCTCATCTCATCCCTCAGCTCGAGGCTCTGGGAAAGAAAGTGCCTGAGCTCGTTGATTTCGGTATCACTGTAAGTCTGTGAAGAGAGTATGTTGTGGATGAATATCTTATATCTTGACCTTTCTAGCTCGCACACTCCATCCTTCCTCATTTCAGCACTATTCAGAATGACAAGGGAACACTACATACAAAGACAGTTCTCGAATTCGTAAAGCAGAATGCTATTGCATTAAGCCCAGATCAGAAGGATGTCTCTCCTTGGGATATTATCAGCGACGCTATCAAGAAACTTACCCAAGAAGCCGCTGCTGTCGTTCCACTTGCGCTTGAGCCTGAGAATATCGTCAAAAGTAAGGTTCCAATCCATTCGGATAGTTCGAGCGTTTATTTACCCATTTATCATAGTTTCTGCTACACCTCCATGGGTTGTTCGCATCGAAGAAGTCAAGGCATCCTTAGCAATAAACGTCGAAGCCGAACGGAAGGTCGCCCAGCTCAGTGAAGAAATCCAAGGACTTGCTCGTGGAATTAGGTCAAGAGATCAAACTATCCAAGAGTCGAGCGTTAAGATCGAGCTCATGGAACGTAGGATGGATGCGGTCAAGAAGCAAGCTGATACAATCACGAATTTGGAAGCTGAGATCGCGAAGGCGCGGAAGCAGGAACGATCGTACGAAGACGCGATTGAACAGTTGCAATCTGATTTGGACGCTTTGGAGCAAGATAATGCTAAATTGAAGCAGCTCACTGCAGGGATGGAGCGTCAACGTACGTGTTTCCATTTCATTTTCTTAGCCATGTGTTATTCACTTCCTTGCGTTTAGCATCAGTTGGTCCGCAACAGCAAGAAACTGAACTTGTATCAGCAGAGAGCAACCTCGAAACATCATATCTTCTGGAACAGGTGAGAACAGACTCTGACACGGAAGCGGAGAATTGTTTCGTTTACATATTGCATAGATCGAGGCATTACGTGGCGCCGTCCGGTATCTACGCCGCGAGAATTCGTATCTCAAGGGTCAGGATCTACTTAAGGAAATACAGGCACTTCCTCCTCTACCAGACTTCTCTTCGCGGTCTACCACGCCAGAGCTGGACCCATCAGGCTCAGCAAGCGAATCAGATAGCGACTCAGAAGTGCCACAACCACCATCTCTTCGTTCATTAGCGACCGAGACAAGCATTCTTTATCGTGACGTACTCACCTTCTCTTCAACACCACGTGTTGTTGATTTATCGATGATCAACAAGAAACGGATGGATGCGATGAACCATGAGCGAAGTTGGTTACCGAAGAGGCTGATGCCCTCATATCAGCTTTTACAACGAAAACAGGCGGCTGAGGAACTTAGTCGACGAGTAAAGGGGTTAATGAAACGGGCTAATTCGATAGGCGTTACGTATTAATATTCCTCTTTCATTAATTTCCCGGTTAGAAGTTGCAGTTCTTCACTTCTTTACGTTTTATGCATTTTATTCTTATTATGCCTTCAAGGTGTACGCATAATACCCAATGTATCTAGATTATATACTTTCTCAAGTATAGTAATAGTATATTACACACCAACTTGTTTGAATCTATTTACGGATTAGGAAATGCCGCCGGGTTAAAATGTGTGCCTTCCGCCAATACGTAGCGCGTTTATATCCCTCGTCGTGCATATGCATCTCAACAACGCGACTGACGACGAACAGCATGGTGCGCGCACATGTAAAGCACTCAGTGAGTCATTAAGACGCGTCTGCTCTGTAATAAACATTCTGACATGCGTTTCGCTCTTTCTCAGGCGGAGGAGACAAAGGCGTCTCCCGGCAAGAAACGAGGGTCGAGTAAAGTCGCACTTAAAGCGGCGCAGCAGCAGGGACAGCAACAAATAAGTGGGGCATGGCTGTGTAAGATGAATGAATGTAACAAGCGATTTGTTAGAGAAGCGGATTTGAAAAGGCATCAGAGGACGTCGAAGGAGCATTCGAATTCGAAACCTACGTGCGTTATTTCGGCACTTGTGAAACTGGTGGTGTTTCTGAATTTGATGAATTGGGGTTTAGCTTGTGTCCGCAGTGCGACTCGACGTTTACTCGAGTGAGTGCCCTCTTGAAGTCTTTGAAGGCGATATTCATTCATACCATGCAGGCTGACGCCCTTCGACGTCATCAAAAGTCGCGGTATGCTGACCTTGGTATATCATATTCACTCACTCACCGAACCCAAATCTTCTAGACATAACGGCGTCATTATCGATCCTGAAGACTCAACGAACGGCAAAGTCGAAGAAGTCGAAGGTGAAGACACGTCTGCCCCGCAGAGCAGGAATCACAGTCCTAGTCGAGGTAAAAGCAGAAAGAGGAAGAGTTCTCCGATTGCCTCGGTTTCGAATTCCGTACCCGTACAAACTGTCCTTACGACTCCGAGTACTCCGGGACCCTCGACGGGGTCACAGAGTTATTATAGACACAATGCGGTTAATGCAGGTATGCGGAGTGATACTTACGACGTATCATTGTAAAGTTTTGGTAACTAACTAATTTTTAATTTTCAGTATTTGTTCCTCCCCGAACTCCTAATGGTACTTTAGACACATCAGCCAGTTACCAACCTCAACTACCAATGTCCACAGCAAGGTTTCATGCCTGGGCGCCTTCGAACACGACAACCACCAATAAAGCGGACGCAACGCCCTCTCCTCCCGGACTTGCGACACTGGTGCAGGCTCAGTCTTCTGGGTATTATCCTCCTGGTGCATACTATCGTTCTGCGGACGGTCAACCTGTTTTGCCACTGCAAATGACAAACGGTAGTGCCGCTATCCAGTCTAACTCACATCCGGCTGGGAATATTTCAAAAGGCAACACTGCCATATTGCCACAAAAAGCTTCAACCGAATATGATAGCAACATCGATCCATCCTTACAAAGCAATGCCACGGTTTCAACGGCCTCCGAAAGGAATGCAGAAGCGGAACGAAAATCAACAAATGCGAAGATGCAAACAGAAGAAGCTCTTGCAGAGACGGGACTAAGCCCAGCTGTTCAAAAGGCCATTCAGGCCGTACTCGCTATAGACTCGGAGAATTCTGTCCAATCTCATGCCTCCAACCATCAACGAGACTGTGAGAATAAAAAAGAGGTAAGCTGTGCATATATGCTTCAATTGGAAGGCATATAGTGAACCTTTTTTTTCTTTTTCTTAAGGGAGAACCATTGATTGACAGTTCAGAGGGACAGTCCTTGCATGTAGGACCAATGGATCAGCAGAATGGATATACGGGTGCCAACACCGAAAACACCATGGACCTTGACGCCGACGGCGAAGCAGATCCGGGTGGAGAAGAGTCGTTAAAATTAGTATGTTATCTATCACCTTCGCATCACGTCTCCACAACTTTTTGATTACGATTGCACGGAACCGACTACAGGACGTATCATCGCAGATCGAACCCGAGTCCTCATCCCTACCAGACGGTATGCGCATCTACTCTTGTATTATAGATTACTTGTAATTTTTCTTTTGCAGGTATAAAGGAACTGATAAATGAGGTCAGCACTGAACCTGACAATGCTCACTATAACCTTTGATACTGAAACGACATATCTAGGATTCACTGTCATATGCACCCCCATAAAACTCGTAAGACTCTAATCTAAAGCATTGTACCAGGATAGCAGCAGCAATCACTCATGTACATTACCACCACATTAATCCTCACGGACCGCATCAATTTCAGCTTCTCTTACTTTCCTCAACAACTGCAATACACGTTTCAATTGACAATTTCATTGATATCCAAAACTAGTATATCTATTTGTACATTAACCATTCACCGTGGTGGGTCTACAAGCTGTGGAAAGCTGGTCGTGAAATCAAGGAAATGGTCTTGCTGTTGAGAGCGAATTTTATCTAACACGTAGTTGACGCGTGATTCCTGGGGGAGGATCATGCGGATGGAGAGTGAATTTCTTCACAAGATTTGGACCTTCGGCCACTGGTATTGCGGGCCAACCTGATATCAAAGAAGTCAGACCAGCATTCAGAGGGAAGGACATAAAATTTACGAACCTGCTGAACACACATAGCACCCATCTTATGTCCCACCTCAACAGCCTCGTCAATAGACCTACCAGAAACGAGTGCACCAAGTACTCCTCCAGCGAACGCGTCACCAGCACCGTTCGTATCAACGATCTCCTCATCCTTAAGAGGCTGAACAGGGTGGATCTTCGGCTCCACGCCATCTACGTCAGTCGCAACGATAGTGCTCTCTGGACCTTGTGTGATGATCACTGTACGCGGACGCGCGGGGTTGGATTTCGGTAAGCCCGCGAGGGCACGCGCGACAGCTGGGAGGTCCTTCTTGTCAGGTTGGCCGCTGGCTTCTGCCCATGCTTCTGCTTCTGATTCGTTACCGATGACGATGTCGCAGTATGGAAGGACCTGGTCGAGGTTCGCCTTGAAGAATTGGGGGATGAATGGTGCGGAAAGGTTTAGCACGAAGGTCTACAGCGCATTTACACGCATTTTTAAGAGATACAACGTTAGTCCTTAACTTGATGAGTATGAATTGTAGTGCAGAACGTCACCTTTGCACCTTCGCTTGCCTTCTTAGCGAGGAACTTTACAATCTCAACGCCATGCGTGAGGAAGTAACCCTCTACGTAAAATATCCTCGCGCCTTCCACCAAAGGCGCAACCTCTGGTGTCGACAAATGCGCAATATCGAACATCTCTGCTGCCCGCAGGGTTGTGCATAGCGAACTACAATATGTAAATAAATAAACGAGAAAATCAAATTTACTGAGCGGTGGAGAGAAAATCGTACCGATGATGACCGGTGATAACAACCGCACAAGCACCCGTCTTCTCACCATTCTTTACCATATATACATCTGCCAAACCCTCCCTCTTGTTTGCCTCGCGCAGTTGGTTGGCAAGTTCATCATCGCCAACGCATCCAGTGTAAACGACCGAGTTCGGAGGGAGGAGGTACTATAAATCGCCAATAATCAGCCCGACATGATCACGATAAGTTGCACGTTTACACTGACGGCAGCCCCACGCGCAGCATTCTGAGCAGCACCACCGGCGACATAAGTAAGCTTGTAGTTCTTTACAAGGTCGTCATAACTTATCACAAAGAGTTAGAAGCTTAAACTGGTCTAAGAATGCGACGCATACATTCCTGCTTGATCATCCCCAGCAAGGATTGCATCATTAGCATTTAACTTGTATTTCTTGAGAAGCTCTTCGCCATCCGTAACTTGCATGTCGAGCAGGGGGTTGCCCATGCAAAAAAGTGGGTAGGATTGAGCCATGGCGAAGAAGTCGTTGGATGATTACGATGGACGAAGAAGAGTACGTACCTTAAAATGTTTGTTTTTTCAAGTCTTTGTATAGACGCCGATCCCTTGCCGAGTGACAAAAAGTGATGAATGGACGACCTCCCAAAACAGACATTATTTTATGACACCACCACTGGTTCTATCAGACTACTGGATCAACTGGTATAATGTCGGCGGAGCATCTTAAGAAAACATTCGATCTAACGGAACTACAAGAACGGGCGTGCTAATGGATACAAATATGTACATGTTAACAATACACGGGACTGAATCATTCCTGATCTGTATGCAACACTTTCACCAGAGCGGGCGAAACCAATGTGAAGTCTCGACATTCGCGGACTGTCGAACTGCCGCCTCTTGTCCGGACTTTGATTGCGCATACCGTGTCGTGTGCGACCGCAAAGGCGAATCCTCTTGCCAATTTTGACTTGGAACTGCCATATATGTGAGCGTAGGATGCCTTGACTTCCTTCACTAACGCTGCTGGTGCTTCCAGGGAATCGTCGGGTAGCTCCTCTTCAAACCTGCGCGCAAACTCGTTAGTTATTTGAGCCATTGGTCTCGCCTTCGCAGTTTTTGCTTTGGACGGGCTCTTCTGCGGGCTTCTGCTCCCTAGTTCACTCCCGAATTTCGAAACATATTCGTTGCATAATTTTACAACGAACTCCTCGATCTTCAGCAAATCATCTGCCAGTCTAGTGACCCTGTAATTCTCTTGCAACCTATTCGCAAAATCCTTCATCTCTTCATAGGGCCTGGACAGGTCGGTATCTCTGAATGACGAATTCCTTTCTGCTTCGTCGCAGAGTTTTTCGTAGCTTATCAGTGCATTGTCGCTGAGATCCTTTGCGCATTTCCGTAAAGATTCGAGGACAAAGCGCCCCATCGAGCGAGATCGAACCAACGGAGAACGAGCTGCAGGCATGTACTGGTTACGGATGATTTCGTCGCTCTTTTGCATACATTCAGGTCTCGGCGCGTCCCACCTTTTGCGGTCTTCAATGATGACGTCGCTTTTAATTCTTAGGCCCGATTTGCTTGCATCTAGACATGTCGTGAACCTGAATATCCATTAACAACCAATAAAAGCACAATTTCATGAGACCCTACATGTATGCTAGCCTGATTGCTTCGCTGTTATTGTAACCCGTCGAGTAAACACTGTATACAACGCAAGTTATTAGCAATATCCGACACCGAAACAATATAGGGTAACGTACACATTATCATGCATGTTGGAGTAAAGCCCAACTTTGCCATCCGACAAGCCGGTCAAGACTTTCTTTGCGATCTCAGTACGCCTCTCTTCTCTACCCATACCCTTCATTCTGTCTAGGAAGACAGAGACCTTCTCAACCTCTTCTTGAAACGCAGCACGAACTGTTGGTGGCTCAGCTACGTAGTCCGAATTACTGAATGCGTCAACGAGTGCAGGCTCCGCGAAAACAGTGACCGTGTCTATAGACTATTACTCAAAACTTGTCTAAGCGATATTTATCCAGTAGGGCGACTCACCGCCGTCATAATCTGTAAGTGTATCGGTAAACTGTAAGTAGATCTGCAAGGATTCAGATTTCGAAACATGAAGAACGCGCCTCCTCCACCAAGGTAGCCTAAAGTGATATTTCTCCATTAAATCAGTACCAATATCAGTTTTGAAGATACTTACTCGCTAGAGATCGTGCTCCCTTGACTGAGAATATTATTACATCCGTGTACGACAAAAGCTTGTCGTGGTGTACAGCCGTCACCTGGGAAACTATTCAGTGATGATTGAAAGCCCTGTATAAAGCCGTATCTTACCTTCTGTACGTCGGAGGCTACCCTGGTAGGGTTACGGCTTACCTATTGATCACATTAGTTCCTTGTGCAGGGAATGTAACAGCTGGGCACACCAGAACCGGCCCCAGGAACGTGTGTGGATCGATTGAGACGGTTGGATCGCTGATGGGTTCTGAGCATCGGAAAAATATCTCATCCTCCTCTAGTACTCCGTGGGGATCTGGATCTACCATGTATTGATTTCTTGCAACCAGATTAAGTGGATACATACCTGGAGCAATAAAGGCCTCTGCTGACCTTGGAACAGGCACATGGTAGTTGTCCTGGTACGCCTTGACCGTTTGTGTAAGAACGTTTTTTAGTTTCTCGCGAAGCACAGGACATTTCAATGGAGTAAATCCAGCCCTGAGCATCTCGTAGGTAGATTCATAGAGGGACAACGGGCACCCGCTAATGGGGTCACGCTCCACCAATCCACCACTAGTTATCTTATTCTCCTCAGCGTCCTCGTCCTCGTCGGGAACATAGTTGTGCAGACGTGCGTCAGCACCCGCACCACGACTGCGGCGAGATCCCATGATGCCCCCTGCTTCCTGAACAGCTTTTGCTAATAGTAGACATGCGTTATCAGCATCCCATTTGGTGAGCGCTTCGATCTCCTTTTTCAATCCTGTTTCCATGAGGTTCTCGAATACTTTGTCTTTGACACCATTATAAGACATGTTGATAATTGTTTGGAAGTTTAAACTGCTCGGGACTGTAAGGCGTGGGAGGCGCACGAGGTCAAATATCCGAAGAGATCGATCCCAAGTTTCTTTCGAGCCAAGTTTGATTTTCAGCTGAGACGCTCGAATCCACTGCATTTTGTCGCATTAGGCTGTTGTTGGAATAGAAAAATATTAGAACTACGTACTATTTTGGGCGGTTCGTCGTCCTTACGGTGCTCTGGGTCTGGATGCAAAATCCAGAGACCCTTTGCGCCGGCAATACGCCCCTGTACGACTACGGGACACGCTTGACCTGTGATTTCAGCAACTGAGTAATGGTGAGCTTCATTGCTTGAACACGTTTTCCAGACCAAGCAGGTAAACATACTGAGCTTGAGTGCCGAGAGGTTGATTAGCCCGCAGCCATCCGTCATAATACTTTCAGCCTTCCTGTTTACTGTCGGGTCACCGCCATCTTGAAGGGAATGAATAAACAAGCTATATGAGTATTATAAGTAAGGTATAACGCACAAATATCTTCCAAATCAAGAAATATGTTTTCATGTTGGAATTCGACAACAGGCCGTGTTGTTGACAATATCAATTGCCTGGATGATTAGACTGAGACTAGCACAAAAATAGAATGAAATAAATGCGCGGACCACCGTGTCAACCATTTACTCATAGCCTAAAGATAATATCAAGTTAGTTGACATCCTTCGAGTTCCACTTCGGATGCACTGACCTGTTCCTTATTCAATGCCATGGGGTTCACGGTTTGCACGAATTTTCTGAACGACATTCTATAATGGTCCCCAATACTTCGCATTGGCTTCCGCTCATATCCTTCCCTAATTTCTACGAAAAATGCCTTATTCTCCTTCGTGCAGAACAGGACGTATTGCCGACCACAAAGGATGAGAGGTTTACTGAATAGCTCATGCGCCAGATTCTTGCGCTTATCATCGTAAAGAGCACCATCATCGTATTTGACCTGCAAAATCGACAGTGATGTGAATCGTCGGGCTGCACGGTTCGACTTGCCAATCCCGAAACTGTTAAGGCGGATAGTGTATGGTGGGTAACCATCCTTATTGAAATCAAGTTTCGCAGTTAATTGCACGCGTCCACCATGCCAGTTTTCTTTGTGATCCCATGTACCCATGAGTCCAAGACCGCGCCCCTTGTTTTCTAAGAACGCCTTCTGTTCTCGATCGAGTTCAGCACTTACAATCACGTCAGTTGCAAGAAAGACTCGAATTAAGTAGAACGCACTAAATATCTTGTCTCGTCTTAATCACAGCGGGGCTCAGACGCTCCTTATGTTTTCCGCCAATTACCTCCGCAACCTTTCCAGCCTTCTCGAAATTCGTCCCTCGAAGTTGCTTGACAACGCCAATAGTAATATCCTCCCAAGCCCACCACCCGTGGGTGATACCTCGGGCGATCTCGTACTGTATACCCTTTTCAATGCCTTCTTCATCCAGAAGTCGTTGTTTCCGTTCGTCATGGGCGACGATTACTACAGGAAGTGGCTTATCAGTCGCAGAGAGCGACTTTGTTGGAGCCTTTGGGCCTGCACTTGGTCGAGGCTCTTTGGTTTTTGTCTGTCGTTCAGTGACGGCGGAGATCGCTTTCTTCGGGGTCGTGATTTCTACGATTTCTTCATCATCATCTTTAATTTCCACAATCTCAACTGCTTCTACTCGAACAACAGCATCCACGCTTGATCCAGTCTGCTTTGTTCTTGTTAGACAACTTTATATCATGTATCGTAATGTACTTTACCGATTCGAGACGGGTCTGGATGACACCCGACGTGTCGACTGGTGCACTTTGTCCAGGATGCATGCTCCGCGGGATGGGTCTATCCTGCTTAGTTTTCCTGCTGTGACTCGCCTCGATAGTGATAGCTTTATGAGGTATCTCCCTTCGACTGACGTCGGTCTGGGGCTTCTCCCTGAGCTTGGGTGAAGTTTCTCGCCTTGGTTTCGTCCGCGGGCAATCGCTTACAGGGCTGTCCGCTCTCTTACGCCGTCGAATATGGTTATCTTCGGCTAAAGTTGGTATGGAGCTGCTTGACATGGTAGGATTTGAGAGTGTTGATATGGCTGATGAAGACGAGTCAGTGATTGTTACTGTTGGAGGAAGTGTTTCCATGGAGGGCTATCAAATAGGTGATTGGAGAAAATATTCAAGTAGCATACAACTTGCTTACTTGTGGAAGCAGTCCACTTTTTGTGCCTATATTGAATTAGTAAAAAATTCGACGGACGATCTGGCACAAGATGTATACCTTCATGTTCCTCCACTTGCTTTAATAAATCCAAAAACTCATCATCCCCTTCATAATATGAAGATACCTACAGAAAAATGTCATGGCCCAGGTCAAAGTAGAGGGAGAGGGTCTAACTAACCTGGCTCGACGCCATGAACTTTCGTATCTTCTTTGCTAACAGCAACCCAGGCGAAGGAACCGTCGCTTTGTCCGGAACTGTTTCTGTCTTTTCGTCGATAATGGTGGTCGGGGTCTCGCGAGATACTAAAGGTTTCCTTTCCCCTACAAATGGAATTAATAGTTGAGCTTCGACTTTGCGTTGAAAGCATACTCTTAGACCCTGTCGTTCCAACACCTTTCTCAACCAATATGCGGTCCGTTTTCTTGGGTGACCTTCTCGGCGTCGTTGGAACGTCGCAAGTCAAAATAAGAGGTGGGGTGGCTCCTTTGATAGCGTAAGTATAACGCGAAAGGGGAGATCAACTGCGTACTTGGTGCTTTATCGGACTTGGAGGTATCGCATGTAGTTACACGCTTAGTGCCAGACGCAGTCTGAGCAACAACGCTGTGCCTTACTTCCAGTGTCATCCTATGAGGAGCTACTTTACTAGGACTATCTTGCTTTGACGTACAGAAGAAAGACGAAGGAGATATCAAGAGGAGCGCTGTGCTATCCAAGAGACTCGGGTGGCACAAGCGGGACCGAGAACTTGACGCGCTTCGCGTTTTTATCTATCGATCCTCCAAAGAAAATACGATAGGAGTATATTCCACAGGGGCGCAAGAAAGATCGCAGCAAGGAGAGGTTGGCGCAGTCGGTGATATTATTGTCGGGAGAGCATGAGAGAGGGAGATAGAGAGTTCAATGCTGATGTTGGACTTTGAGTTTAGTTTAGAAGCGTCGATCAATTTCTTTTTCCGATTTCGTTTTCGCAAATACAAATACTTAGCAAATAGTTCAGATTACGCTCGTTTTGACAAAGGTCAGGCATGCTTTCTGTCAAATTGCCCGCCATAGCACCGGGATATGGCACAATCTCCCTCCTCCATCGTTTATTCTGCAGGCTCAAATTCTCTTGGTCAGCTGGCTTCGGCTGGCTCAAATGATAGCCATACCTTTGGTCGATGCATCTTCCAAGGCATTCAGGACGGACGGCTGACCGGAAGCAAAGTCCTATCGATCGCGCAATGTGCAAACCATAGCCTCCTTCTCCTGCGAAAGTGAGCGCAAGCTCCTTGTGGATAGCTTATTACTAAAACTCTCAATTCTGTTTTCTTCTGTTTTCTCCCGCGTCTTCCGTTTGACCCTTTTCTAAGACAGGAGGGAACAACTGAATTATGGGGTTCTGGTGACGGGCGCAAAGGTCAACTAGGAGCCAGATATTCTCAGGAGTTTGGCGCCTCCCCCGTCTTCCATCGTATTTTCCCTCATCAAGATGTACCCCGATATGCTGATTGCGATATCACACTCATTGCCGCTTCTTGGGAATCCTCTTTCGTAGTCCTTTCTGGTCCAGACAATGATATACTCCTATCTTCTGGGGGTGACGATTTTGGCGATCTTGGCGTAGGTGGCTTACCGGGAGGGAAAAAACAAAGCGACAAATGGCTGGCCGTCGGATTTAGTCACCTGCTCCCGAAGAATACTTCGAATATGCGGATATCCGATTTGAAGGCTGGTCTTCACAATGTTATTGTGAAGCTGGTGTATCGGGACTCCGACACACGGGACGTCGAGCTTCTCGTAGGATGGGGTGCTGCGCGACAAGGTCAACTGGGACAAGAAAATTTGACCAAGAAGCCGCAGCCCATAGTTGACTCTCCTCGAATCCTCAGGTTTCCGTCATCTATCAGTAGCTTTGCTGTCGGGAATCAACACGCAGTCTTCGTGGCTTCTGACGGACTTGTATTTCCGTTAGGGTCCAACAGAAAAGGCCAGCTTGCGGGACTTGACTCGGTCAAGAATATATGCGCAGTTGGCGCAACTTGGAACGGCACATACCTTCTGCAAAAGCACCAATCCTCCGATAAAAGGTGGTCTATTCTGGCTACTGGGAGCAATTCACATGGGCAATTGGCCTGCGCTTCTAATTCCGACTCTGGCGCGTCTGTAGCTCAACTGCGGCGCATATCTTTACCCACCAATGTTTCGGAAGCAGAATCCTTGAGTATCACATGTGGCAGTGAACATGTTCTGGTCGCTTCTCTGACTGGCGCCCAAGTGGATGACGAAATGGGTGTCTTCGCATGGGGTTGGAATGAACATGGCAACCTCGGTTTGGGTCACACAGATGACGTTCACGAACCTTCACGAATATGGCCGCCGGCTAATCTTCCGCAAGAAGGCAAGGTGGTGGGCGTTTGGGCTGGCTGTGCCACGAGCTGGGTAGTGATTGAGGAAACGTAAAACTTTCACGAGTGCTTTGGATGTCTTCACACTCATCTAATTGGACACCTATCCGTATTAACCTTGTATCAATGGCGAACAGAATCTAAATGTATCACTATACATTAATATTATAAATCCAGAGGGCACTACTTGACTCTTGAGCGTCGGAGAGACCATCAAACTCAGCGAGTTCCTGCTACTCGCCAACATTAATCATCCTTAGAAAGTCCGTATTGCTCATGCAATTGCTTAATCGTCGTCTCCTTACGCATGGCAAGCTAGACCCTAATGTCATCAACACAAATCAACTCAAGAACAACTCAAGATATTTACGGACCTTCCCTATGATGATCTTCGAGAACATATATCATTAAAAGGAACGTAGTCATTTGGGCACTCGAAAGGTCCAAACGCACCTGAGCCGCATCCTTCGCTTCGTTGTAGTCATGTAACAGCTTGATATGCTTTGTGACTATCTTATCTGCACCTTCTGTTTCTCTGCAGTATTCGTAAGTACATACCCGAAAGCAAGTATGTGTATCAAGTAAGAGATTGACCCAAGTAGTGCATGCAAGCTAGCGATTTCAGCTCGTAATGCTTCTTCCCGATTGGAGCTAGCCTGTAGCGAGGATAAACGATCAGGGTACAAGTTGAAGAGCACACGTTAAACGATCACCTTCGTGTTACTCTGACTTGCGATCATTAATTCCTGCGCTTGAAAATTGGAGTGGCACAGTGGCAGACTCAGAAGACACGCGACGTGTTCTTTACATTTGTTTACGCGCTTTAGCTGCTTACGTGATCAGTTCTACAAAACGGGTCTATTGACGATACTGGAGTAAAAGAAAGATACATCCGAGATACAAAGAAATCCACAGAATAAACGGATAAACAGTGACACCAGTTCCAGAATGGTGTAGAACGTAGAATGGGCGAATATTAGAGTAGACAACAAGGCGGATCGGAAGATACTTTCTACCCTGCAAGGTCGAGTCCACCACCACCCTGCAGCCAATTCCGATCCGCAGGAGCAGACTGATTCCAGAACGGTGCAGAGCCTCTTCCTCTCAGCATTGAAGGCCGTCGCAGGGTCCCTGCCGCTCGCATACCAGGTTGAAATTCAATAGTTCGTTGTAACGGGATTGTCTGCTGAGAAACGGGTGCGGCGTTCCCTGGAACAGGACCTGCATTGAATGGTTGCATCTGTGGCGGACTTCGCTGTCCCCATCCCTCCTGAGGACTTGCATTTGCCATAGTCGCCTTTAATATATGCAATATCGGTCGATGATCTGGACTTTCGTCGCCCCATCCCATCCGTTGGGCATTCTCGGAATCAATACCCAGCATTCTTCGTAGCTCGTCATTCTCCTTTTCAAGGCGAGCGATCTCGGCTTCGCGTTCCACAGCCCAGTCCTGCCGTTCATCGTCTTCAATAAGCTCTGCCAATTCCTCCAAAGGCCTCTCATCTCCCTCTTTTGACGATTCAGCAGATTCGGTGTCCTCTCCTGCAAGAGAACGTAGAAGCAATCTCAGACTTTGAGCCAGTCGTTGCAAAGAGGCGTTCGTTTGAGTGCTGTTTGATAGCTCCGAGTTCATTGAACTTGATTCGCGAGCTACTAATAGCGACTCATAATGTCGTGTCATCGTCAACTCATGTTGCTGAGCCGCAAGCTATGAACAGGTTATTTAGCATTTATTCGGGACAGTAACAATAAGATATGACGCACTGCATGACTCCGGAACTTCGACATGACCGTCTCCAACGTCTGCTCATACTCCTTCAGCAACATACCCAACTGCCTATTCTCGTGATTCAGCGTCTGGTTCTCGATAATCATCTGAGCGTTTGTTCGTTCAAGTTCCGAGTCGAACACCTCTGCAATACAATCATATCAGAAGTTAGACATGCGGAAGCGGGTGACACCCCTACCTTGCGAAAGGTCGACATTGAATCTTCGCAGAGCGTACCCCGAGCCATTATGAATGGCCTGATCCTGTCAGCAAACCGAAACCTGGGTTAGGACGATTTTGTGAAAAGGTCTCGATAGTGTACCTTTAAGGAATTGGCTTGCGATTGAAGCGTTGCAATGAGCTTCTGGTTATGAGCTAGTTGTTCACTGAGCTCCTGCACCATGTGCCAGACGCGAATCATGTCGCCATCCATGTCTCGTTCGACTCCAAACATCGTTCTTTAAATATTATAAAGGTATGACGAATGAGAATCTAGAAGGATGGCCAGGCGGACGTCTAAGGAGCGGGTCAAGGTGTGTCGCGTCCAATTGTTTGGTCTTATTTGATCTGCGTGCCACACATGTTATTGAACTTATTCGCTGAATATTCACTACTCTAACTAATATAACTTTTCTTTAGGCACTTGAACACAGTAGCAAATTCTTGTCCGTATCATCTACGAACTCTAAATTACATTCTTCAATTTCGTACATAATAAAGAGAATATGGCATTGCACGACATTCAGAAACCAAACCACCTTTTGCCTGTCTGTTCTATAGTTGCTGATGTCCGGTCCCGGACCGCTCGGACTCGGTCCGGACGCAGGACTGGACTGATGGACCGGTCCTCTACAGTCCGGTCCTCATGGGTCCAGGAGAGGTCCGGTCCTGGGTCCATCATTTTGAGAAATTTCCCGGACCGATGGACTCGTCCGGACCCGGACTGGACTCCGGACCTGAATAACCTGAACTAATGTCTCAAATCTCGTTTCCCATATCTCTAGCTCACTATACTAAAACAGATCATACTCCTTTAAGGATCTTTGAATATTAGCTAGCACTTGCATAGTACATTTTACAAGTTTCTGGCAGTCCAAGCAAAGCAAAACTTTATTCCTGTTCTTTACTGTTCAATGTATGGCTTACTAAACTTGACTCTTCCTATCTGGTTATTGTCTCCCGAAATATTTATTCCCTTTATGTATATTCACTCCTCTCCCGTCCTATGCCAAAGACACCGCAGTCCCAGCCGCCCTCCCCAGTCAAGCAGCCAGCCAATGCCCCTGCCCCTGACAAATTAGACAAGATGTCCGAAATCACTCTCAGAAAGAAGAACGCTGACGCTCAGGCTGCTTTCCGTGCACGCCGTGCCAACTATATTGCCACCCTCGAAGAGACAGGTCCGTCTGCTGCTAAGTACCTAAATATTCATGTTCTGACAACTAAGTGTCTGTAAATTGCAGTAACCAGCTTAGAGGCAGTTGTAGTCCAGCTTCAGGACTCGTGTCGCGAGGCTCGCGCCGAAGCCTCAGAATTGCGTCAGGAAAACCACTACAGTGTCTAGTCTGTAGATTACGTAGTATATACAAAAATATATTACTTTTGTACTTAGATACAAAGAATAATACTCTAACTCATCTCTTAAATTTTTTTCTCTCAGGTCCGGTTATGGACCGGTCCAGAACCGGACTGGAACTTGGGTCCGGTCCACTACCCGTCCACATAGGTCCGGTCCCCAGTCCGGGACACTCCCGGACCGCAGATTTGGTCCGGTCCTGAGTCCAGGTGAAGTATGCCCGGACCGGACCAGGACCGGACTTCAGCAACTATAGTCTGTTCCGCCGCAATCTTCTTCGCCTATATTCGCCTGCGTCAGAACCTCAGAAATGGACTTACGACCAGATGACTCACCTCTAACATAAACTTCCTTCCACCCTCTTCAAGACCACTAAATTGCTCTTGCAGGCCATTCAACATCTCCCTATATCAATTCCGTGAGAATTCAGCACAAACGACGCTTAACAAAGGGAAACCAACCCTCGGTCTGAAACAGCCGTGGATAAGTTGGCATAGATATTCGAGCCAGTCTTGCTCGCTTGGTTCGCAATCGCTTGCGCACGATTTTGCATCTGTGTTTGCCATTCTTTGCTCACAATTGTTGACGTCTCAGCGTCCGGCGGAATAGGTCTCTTCGGACCAGCGACTTCGAAAAACATTCAGTCTGATGAATTAAAAACAGAAGGGGACAACTCACGTAAATCGTCGATCGCATCCCCGCTCTTGCCTTTCTTAAAGTTGAACCAAGAACCGAGATAGCTTACAGGTGCAAGCGGTACGATGGGTGGCATGGCTGGAGAAGCACGCCTTCCCATGTTGTAGTCGATTACAGGCTCGTCGTAAACTCTTCGCATAGCGAATAGTGTTCCTAGAGTCGTGCCAGTGATGACTCCCGTCTGCTCATCGAAGGTCCAGTCGACAAAATCTCCAGTGTCGTCGAAACATATCGCTCTATAAGACAATAACAATAAGCCTGTTAGACATGGTCCAATGAAAATATCCACGGAAACACTGACGAGTTTGGTTGTCTTGGCAGGTTGAATAAATGTATTGCTTCCAATCCTGGAAGTGAATAGATGATAACCTCACGGTTATCCATAGCAACAACGAGTGCATGCGTGCCTGTTTAAAGCCACGAAACGGTGAGAATGCTTCCTCCAATAGAACGGTATAACTAAAATGCGCACCTTTCCGGGATACAACTTGAACACACTCGACCTGTCTTCCCTTTCCCCACTCCGCCCTTCCCACCTTCCCACCGGTCAGATTTACCTGGCACTTGACACCCTTCTCACCAGCAGAGATCCAAAAACAGTGGGCATCCTCGTCTGTGAAGTCCCCCTTGGCCAACATAGGATCGGCACCTCCTTGGAGCGCCTCTCTGAATGTTGAGCGTGAAGCAACACGACTTGCACCTGTCTTCGCCTGTAAAATAAATGAACCCTGAGGGAGCGGATGCTCTACGCCTTCAAGTCTTTTGACGTCTTGCTCGACTTTCCATTCGGAGGAGCCGGATTGTGAAAGTGTGAAGAGACGAGCAAGTCCAGAGCGGTGGGATACAAGCAAGCGTACCCTTGGAGTTGGATCTGTTTCGAAAGAAAATTTACGGATATGTTCAAAGATGAACGAATTGATCTACCTTCATCGTATCCACAAACAAACCACTTCAACGACACAATCTGCTTTTCTTCCTCAGCATTATGCATGTGAAGAGCCACCGAAAGTCGTTTCTGCTGCTTCTTATCTCCTTCGTCTCGGAATATTATTTTTGGGTGTCGCATGTCTATCACAATTAAAGCACCGCTATCGTATGCGATGGTGAGGAAACCTTCGATGAATAAGTTAGTCATTGGTCGACTAGTTGTAATTATTTGAACCTACCAACGTCAGACATTTCAGCCGTCCTCACAGAGCCCCATGCATTTTCCACCATTAGTGCAGGTTGGAATGTGTTTGCCTCCGCAGGAATGTGAAACAGCCGAATGAGGTCATCGTGCATGTCCTGGAAATCCGACAAATGCCTCTGCCTTCCATCGAGTCCAAACACGAAAACATGCCCGCTCCTCATCACAGTGACACATTCGCTAGACTCAGCCGTCAATTGCACTGACTGTATTTCGGCCTCGCCCAACGATAGTGGTCTACGCGCATTAGCAATACATGTTTCCGGAAGCAACCGCGGAAACGAGATGGTTAAATGAGGTAATGGTGCAGGAAATGTCGCGGGAAGGGGCGAGTCGACAGAGCCTATGAGGAGTTGTGCACTTATGTCTTGGAAACGGACCGTCACATCAGCGTGATGAGTTGCAATAAGCCTGTGTGGCTGTCGTTTGGTAAAAGTCGTTTGATCTGTTTCTCCGTAATCCACCCAGGCAATGCCTGCAGTTTTGTCCCTACCCATCTGAGCGAAGACATTGGAATTGGACGGCAGATAATTTCGTTGTAATAGTTCATATTCATCCTTCTCGAGGCGCACAATATCTCCACCGCAGATAGCGTACATGCCGGTCCAACACGCAGGCGGGAGTGATGGAGTGTAGTCCCTTGGATCGTTACTTATCTCCATAGATTTCAAAGCAGAAGAGAGCTCCGCGTCTAATTGGTCCTCCACTTCCTTATGGGTAGACGAAGTAGGGGCTGGTATTGCGGGACCTTGGTTGATAACAAATACCGGAGGAGGAAATTCCTTAGCCGTCATGCCATGCTGGCCCTCCGGCCATTCAAACAAAATTAGAACAGCTTTGGGATCAAAATTACCACCAAAATGAGGACTTTCTTTCGGTACGAGAAGGAAATCGATAGCGTGACCAAAAGTCGAGTAGGTATATCTGTCCATCGATGAGAATGTCTTTGTTAGATACTTTCGAATGTCCGGATGTATCCTATCTTGAGTCTGAGTCGAAGGAGTGGGCAAAGCAGGTGCGGGGAATCGAATAGTAGTGACGCCAGTCTGTTGCTTGGGTATGATACCTCCGAGAACAGTCAAGACACTACTGGTATATGGATCGCTCACGGCTTGTGGCCCGAATGAGCTCCAACTCAGCTTAGTGATCGGTGTTAACTGGAGATTATCCAGATCTTCTGCAGAAAGGTGGTGAGGGTTCGAAAGAGCCAAATCAAGTGCTTCTCCCTCGGGATAGTTTATATCTAGTCGCCCAATCGTGCGCACCATGAGCGGTTGCTCTTCATCATCAACGGCCCAAAATGCCAGTGAACCATCAGCATGGCCCGTGACGAATAGTTGTCCAGAAGCATGAACAGCAATGGAAGTTAATGCAGGGCGACGAGGTTTCATCACATCCTATAAGGAATGCATGTCAACATTGGCCTTCCCACTCGACTATTGTTCTTACGGGATCATAATAACCAATTGGTCCAGGTGCCCCTGGAGGAAGTATGAGTTCATAGTGGTGCAGTGAGCGACGCTCAGTCTATGTGCATATATATTCAGTTTTTCAAATCTTTCCGGCAAGGATTAGATGCAATTCACTAGATCGTAAAGGACACAGCCACCTGTAATCACGATTAGTAGTATGAACTAAACACGCGTATCATTAATTACCTGCGTAGCTAATGAAGAGAATGTTCAGGTCCCTGGGATGGATGGTGATATCTACGAGATCAGACCTAAAGCAGATTCACATCGAGCACGCAGAACAATGCGATAGAAGCTGCTTACGGTTTCGCATTATGTGAAGACAAAAACTTGGCGTGATGAGCAGATACTTCATGGGATGTCCACAGATTTGGTATGATATATGGAGAGCGATTCATGCATAACATGTCGTATGTCATCACTGCTCCACGTCCCAATCCAATAAACGCCTTGTTGAACAACCATTAGGTCGGAGAATACATTTCGAGTAAGCTCTTACATGGCTGTGGTATGGAGATGTTGCTAAGCATCTGGTGGAAAGTAGCATATATCAGCTGTAGTCGAGCATAAGTTTAGGAGGGACGAACGAGATGGATTCCATATATGCTTCCGATGTAACGAGTCCAGGACGCCCAAGTTGAGCGAGATCCCACATGTAGAGCGTTCCTCGGGTATCTATACACGTGTCAAGAGAGCGAATGAGGCTTCAAGCGGAATACCGACCAATGCATATCAGCTTGAACACTAGTGACGCGAATGCCAAGAACTTCACTGGCTTTGAGACGCGTAAGACGACTGTGGCTGCTGGAGAGCCGAGTACAAGGATTTTGCCATCCTTTGACCCTTAATATATTCTTACTTCAGTGCTGGCTTGCTATTGGAGTGGTGATTCAGCTCACCAAATGCCAGCAAGCCATTCGTGGCGTCCACAGCGAGCGCAGTTATACCATGTAGGTATTCTGTCTCTCTGAGGACGGTAATCTTCCAGTCTCGAACATCACGCAGGTCATATGAGAAGTCAAGATAGGTTTTCGTTCCACTGAAGAGTGCCATTTGACACTCATCAAGGACGGCGCAGTCGCTGGAATGGGTCCAAGTTTCGCGTCGGGATACATATGCGGGTCTAAATTGATTGGCACATGATCGATCTGACGACGCGTGTCGGTACACGTGAATACAGATAAGATGACATCATAAGGGCATAAAGGCACAAAGGCACATAAAGGCATAAAGGCATAAAGGCATAATATTAAAATGCAGATGCAAGCTATAGATACATATGCATGCTACAGGGACTGTACACAATGCAAGCTACTTATGGACGGTTTTCCGTGTTTGGCTGTTGTCGTGACCTCAGTGGATTTGCTCCTCCACGAATTTTCCCTAACCAACCCTTTCCAGCTGGCTTCTGCACTCGAGGTTCGTTGGAGTCTTCGTCAACCGTTAAATGTCGTTTGGCTCTCGGAGGGCTGTTCGTTACATCAGAGATTACAGACGATGCTTGTATAGCCCTAGCAGCCGCAGTCTTTCGCATTGGCGAAGGTTGGCTCAAAGTAGGTCGAAGGGCTGCCTGTCCTCGTACAGGCGTGAACCCGGTATGAAGCGCTGTTCTTCGGCGACGAGGCGTGGAAGTGAACTCGAATGTTGGAGGAACTGAAGGTAGTGCCGAGGTCGAAGAAGACGAAGGCATTGGAGGTGTTGACGAACTATCAGAAGTGGATGGATATGAATCTGGGAAGCGAGCCTCAACCATCGGTCGGACGGAGTCAGAATCGTCAGGAAGAGGCCGCTTCTTGCCTATCGACGTCGTCACAGGAAGCTCGTCTATCGGAGGTGTGGATTCGCGACGCCTCTTGGAGCCAGAGATGCGTCTCGACGGTTCCGGCGTCTTAGATTCTAGTGGAGCTGGCCGTTTGGATAACCTTGGTCTTGCGGAAGACGATGAAGCTGCAGCGGTGGTCCTTTCAACATGGACACTCGGTAAATCGAGAACAGGAGCAGGCCGGCCGGACTCCAATGCCGATGCTTGGCGGTGCGCCTCCTGTGGTGGAGGGGACGTTACTTTCGACGGTCCTGAGGATGCCGCTGCAAGTTTATTTTGCAAGCTATTATTCTTTTTCGTCAAGGACTCGACCTTACTTGTCAACTTCTTCTTTTCTTTCAACAGCCTGTCGTCGATTGTCAGTCAGTTTCTCGGAGTAATACAGATCGCGATGAATGGACTTACTGGATGAACTTGTCATCGTTTTCTTCGATTTCAGCACACTTGGCTTTAAGTAGACCCTCCATCTCACTGATTTGCTCCCTGGTTTCCCCAACAATCTGCTGAAGCTTGTGAATCCGTTCAGCACCCTTCTCATGTTCCTTCAACTGAGCACGAAGGGAAGAGATAGTACGCTCGTTCTGTTGACTGAAAAGGAGGAGATTCATCTCTGCTGTCTTGCCAGACTTCTCCGAGCGTGAGAGCGCTTCTCGTACATGGGACAATTCTTCGCGCAGTTCGGACAACTCCCTATTGTTCGACGAGAGCTGTCTTTCCAGAGACTGACTCTGAAGCTTCGCACGATGGCATTCTCCAGACAGGTCGTCCATTTCTGACTGCAGAGTCGTGTTCTCATCTTGAAGAGACATAAGACTCGCTCGAACTTCGGCAAGCTGATCCTGATATCGTTGAACGTCCTGCTTCAACTCAGACTCGATATCGGCTACTGCTCCCTGCTTGTCTTGTGCAAGACAAAGCTCTTCTTCATGAGCGGCAAGTTCATGTTTCCGGCCGTCAATCTCCTCCTGCAGCGATTTCTGGAGATTTTCCACCTCAGTAGATAAACTAGAAAGCTGGTGTTTGAGATCCACCACTTCAGCCTCGTGGCATGCAGATGCCTTTCGATGCTCTTCGAGGAGGGTCTCGTACTGCACACGCTGCTCCGCGAGCTCTGCCTTGGTTTCTTCCAGCGAGGCTGTAATTTCCTGGTGACGAATCTTGAACTCTTCAGTAGATGAATCAGAAGTTCTAAGCTGTTCCTCCTTTGCCGAGCGTAAAGAATCGATATCGGCTTCCAGTTTCGTAACCTTCTGTTCGTATTGTTCTCGTTCCTCTTCAAGCATGGAACGAAGAGCGGTTGAATCGGTCAACTCTTTATCAGATTCGGTCTCGAATGCCGCGAGTCGCGTTAGAAGATCTGCCTTTTCTGTTTCCAGATGTTCAACTTGTTTACTGGTCTCGGCAAGTTGTCTTTCCGCCGACTCGAGCCGGGTTGCAGCTTCTTGTTGCTTCGCTTCCGTCGTTTCAAGCTCCGAGGAAAGCCGCTGTACTTCTGCGGAGCATATGTCTAGCTCTTGCTGCTTCGACTCCAGCATGCAGGATGTTTCTTCTTCTCTGGTCTTAAGCGCTTCGAATTCGTAGGATAGATGTCGTAACTGTTCTTCCTTCCGCTCGAGTTCCTTCTCCTTGGCATCGAGTGCCATCCTCACATCTATCTGAGCCTCAGAAGTCTCTTCTCCTGCCTCCTTAACGGCGGCAAGTTCTGCTTTAAGTTCCTCGATCTCTTCCGTTGCTCGTTCATACTTTTCGTTTGTTGCTCTCAAAGCGTCCTCCGTCTCGCACAGGGCAAGTTTTGAAGTTTCTACCTCTTGCTTGAGGAGCTGTAACTCGCTCGAACGGCGTTCCAATTCTTCCGACGTGGCAAGCTCAGTGTCCTGCATCTTCTTACTCTGCTCTTCGACTGATCGCTTGCCTGCCTCCTGGACCTCTTTTATTTCCTTTTGGAGGCCAGCCACCTGCGTTTGAGCGTCCGATAGCGCAGTCTCACTCACTTTGACTTTCTCCGCTAGGTCAGCAATCCGAGCATCTCGTTCGATGATTGACGCAGAGACCACTGATTGGTCCCGTTGGTCCCGTGCTGCAAGGTCATTTTGCAACTTGCTGGTCTCCTTCTCCAGTCCTTGCACTCGCGCAGCCAACTGCTCAACCTCGAGCTCCGCTTGCAACAAGTTCTTCTTAGCTTGGTCGCGTTCCTCGCGCGCTGTCGAGCAATCTTCAAGCATTGCGGCTTTCGTCGTCTCCGCCATTTCCAGCTCGCCTTGTACTTCCTCCAGACGTTCGTCCATCAAACGCATGTTCGTTTCAAGTCGCTTGATGTCATGCTGATGCAAGCCAATTTGCTCGGTCCTTCGTGCCACTCTGCTCCTGAGCTCTTCAACTTCCTTCCGGAGGGAACGGATAGTGTCATTCGATGACGCATCTGACGACTGTCTGGCTTCGAGGCGTTCGCAATGCTCTAACGCATCGGCGAGCTCTTGTCTGACAGTATTCAGGTTGACTTCAAGCTCTTGTACACGTTCTTCGAGGGCAGTACGCCTTTCCTTTTCATCACGAACAACAGCGGAGGAGTCTGATAAGTGAAGTTGAAGTTCGGCGATCTTGTCATCTTTGCACGCCAGAGATGCTACAAGCTCCACTCGGGCATGTTCAGCTTCCTCCACCTTCGCGCGCAAATTATCTTGTAGTGAGGAAACGACGGAATCGAGCGACGAGGAGTCTGTGAGAAGCTCGTCCAGGTCATTACAGAGAATAGATGGATCTACTTCCATTGTCTGCGCCTTTTCCTGAGAAGTGGCAATACAACTCTGAGAGTGGAGTTGCTGAATAGTGACCAGCGTGGCGGACAAAGCAATACGCAGTCTCTGTAGGTGCGTCTTTCCGGTATCAACCCTTTCCGCCATCTGTGCAATACGTGATTGATGATCCTGTAGCCGGGGATCATCTGGAGTATTCGCTGCTCGCTCTGCGAGCGCCTTTTCCAGAGCTTCCACTTTGAAACGGCATTCCAATTGGACGAATTCCAAATGACCAGTTAACTCATCGCGTTCGGCGCGGATACGTTCAATCCGGTTCTCCAATTCAGTGATCTTCGCGATTCCTTCGTGCTCAGAGCTTGCATTTGCGCTTGTAATCTCTAACTGCTCTCGTAATAATCTAGAATTGTCGAATTAGACAACTATCATGACAAGTGCAACAAAGATATGAATGTACCTCTCTCGAGTTTCAAGTTCCTTGATCCGCGTATCTCTCTGCTGAACGAAAAAGTCCTGCTCTCGAACGCTCACCTTAAGGTCTTCAAGCTCATTCAGCGCCTCCTCCTTCTCTTGAACTAGCATGACCTCGCGTGTTTCAGCTATCTGACGGCGAGAAATTTCGTTGTCAAGTTGACTCTGAAGCTGATCAATAGAACGCTTCATCGCACTAGAGCGGCTAGCCTGAGCAAGCTGCTGTTCCAAGAGTGTTACTTTGCTCTCTTCTTCCTCAAGTCTGGCGATCAACTCCGCCTCTCGTGACCCCGACGCACATTGCTCTCGATAGAAGTCCAGCTCCGCCTGCAGCTCGCTTTTGTCGGTCCTGGCATCCTTCACCTTCTCTTCAGCGTCCTTCAGTCTCTTCTCCAAAACCGCCTTCTCATTTTCAATGCGGATTAAATCGGATTGTGCTTTAGATAACTTCTCCTGCGTCGACTTCAGATCAATTTCGGAAGAAGATGCTGACGCTCGGATCTGTTCGATGTCGCGCTCAAGCATGACTACTTTGTTGATGTGAGTAAGTGAAGAAGCGCGGGGTCTAGCGGGAGTTTTGGGCGGAGGTGGGGGTGCGATCTCGTGTCTCCGAAGTTCTCCCTGTAGCTCTCGAACTTGCGCATCAAGTTTCGCTTTCTCTGCTGCAAGCCTTTCACGTTCCTTGCGACTCTCGCTAGACTCGCTCGCAATTTGATTCAGGAAGTACTGCGTCTCCTTCACAGACGCCGCTTCTTTCTCGCGTTCCTCGTTCGCCGTCCGAAGAGCCTGTTCTACATTCTCTCGGGTATTCCGTTCGTTACTTAGTTCTTCATTTCTCCTCTTAAGAGATTCTTCAAGCTCTAATGCCCGATCTGCCTCCTTCCGGAGCTGCATACGAATGAGGTAAGCGGAAATAACGTTGGGCGACACTTCATAACCAAACTTGCCTTGTACAGGGTATCGGCATAATTGTCTTGTGCAACCTTCAAATCCTCCTCGTTCTTGATTAATTTACTCTCTTGCTCGCCAATCTTGACGCCTGAGAATCGGGAACGAAATTAGAACCACTGCTGCACAACGTTAATATTGCCACCGTCAGGACCAACGTACCTTGCACTGCAAGCTTCTCCTTCAATTCTTTGAGTTCCTTCCGCAGATCGTCGACGGCGAAGTCCCACGACATGATGGTGGGGGCGTTCAGCGGGCAAGCAAGGAGGGTGTTGTTAATTGTAGACAAGTGGTTGCGGAAGTGGCACGTTGTTCGATCAACGCGCCAGTCACGTGAGCGTGTATTCTCGGCTAACAGTTCCAAATTCTTTCCGTAATTTTAATAAATACATGCACTTGTCCATCATGTACATAAATACACGGATCGCAACGACCGCCTATACATGCTTTCGTTAGGTATACATCCATTTAATGGCAACAATCCTAATCGCGAGCTGAACTGGTCCTTTCAAGTAGTTCTTGCAGCCTCGCCGCTGCAATGCCGTATTTCAAGTCGGTTTCCGCAGCAGGATCATTTCTTCCGGAAAGCCCCGTGGCTTGTGCTTGGGCGACTGGTTTCTGCTTTCCGCCTATTACAAGCGAGAAACGTTTCAAACGGCCCTCACCACTGACTTTTGGTCGAGTCGTTACCGGTGTCGTCTGCAAGGCAATTGCGGGCATCGAGAACCGTTTCCTAGCCCGAGGAGAAACTTCTTCGGAAGCGAAAGATTCAATGGAATCAATCGGCGCTGAAAGCAACGACGGTGAATTTAGAGATGCAGCTGAGATGTCTTCGAGGACTCGATCAGTCTCTGCATTAGACTCATCAATTTCCTTCAGGTCTTCCCCTTCCTCACTTCTCTTTGAAAGATACGAGCCTTCAAAAGACTCCGCAAATACTTGCGGGATCACAGGATGGCTGAGAGGTCTAGCCTTAGGTCTACGTATAACATCCACGTTCCTCGAGGGGGAGCCGGACGAAGACATGGGAACGTCCAGTGACATGAGTTCCGAGGGTTTTGAAAAACTTTGTGCTGTAGGTTTCTGCGTCTTCCAAGATGGGAAACTAGATAGCGTCGAGCCGGACTGGGCTGCCGAAATCGTATTCTCAGACGCAGACGTTTCGATGACAGGGAAAACTGTGTCGTAACAGGCGTTGCATGCACGCGCTGACTTGCTCGAATCGTTCAACGAGGCGTCAGCGATAAAGAATGTCTGCAGTTAAAATAAGTGTGAAAGCTCTGTCAACAAATAGGGAAAACTTGCCTTCTCAGAACAATTAGCACAGACGACACGTCCGCATAGCCTGCAGTGATGCCTTCGTCTCCTCCATCCGAAACTCCTTGCGCACCTCATGCACGACCCAGTCTTGCCATCTGGAACCCAGATCGCTGGGACAAAATGATCGACCTTTCCCCTCTTTGGGAGTGCCTGGGTTTCGTCCTCTTCAGGAAGATAAGGCAAGGCCTGCAAAGACCGGCGGATGTGATTTGTGGAAGAGGAAGAAGCGAGAGTGGAGTTTGGGTGCATAACGTGTAACGAAACTAAAAGTGATGCCTTCGCTCCTCGGATAGCGGATACCCAGTCGTCACGACTTTGTTCGTTATCTGCGTAAAGCGCAAATGACATCTCTGGATGTAGGATGTCCAAACGTCTCTCGTCGCCTGGTTCTCTCATTGAACTAAATACTACCTCGATGTCGACTAATTCTGCTTTACCCTTGAACCACCACCTCTCTTCAGGGACAGACTGCTGCACCTTATTCGGCTTTTTTGGGCTAACAGGTACTTGGCTCTTGTGGGATTTCGTTATAGCTGGCAGCTCGTTTTCACTCTTGCTTCTGCTTCGCTTGAATTCGGGTCGTTTCCCTGGTGATCCACTGCGAGCAAAGCCGGCGCCACCACTGGTCGAGTCATTACCTCGTCGCGTCCATTCGGCTTCTATCATCCTATCATTTGCAAGCCAGAGAAGACAGTCGGAAAATAGTAACAACTCCCGCTCCTTGAGAATGGAAGAGTTGTCTAGTTGCATGAGGGTCCCGCGCTTGAGAAGTGTTCTACCTGGACTGACGAGCTGGAAAGGCAAATTAAACGTAGCTCGCTGGAGTGCCAGAAGGGTAAGGGTCTGAGCGTGCGTGTGAAGCGATATGTCAAGAGACGTTGTAACTGTCAAAGAAAATCCTAGATTAGTATCTGTGACGTGTATTGTTTCCATCCGCCCACCTTTCTCAAGCAGTGAATGTGCAGATATTAAATTTGCACGCTCTGGATCCCCAGGGTCTGTGCACGATATAAGATCCTTGAGGAGCAAAAGGTAACGAGGGCATCGCTGAACAATCGTAAGAAGCCAATCCCGCAACTTGAGCTTTCCACATCGTTCGTCTGCCTCGCGGTCCTTGATGTATGAATCAAAGGCATGGTTTGATGACTGCAGATCAGACAGCCTTGTCATAACTTCTGGAAAGCTGGAGACGAATGGAGTGTAAAGAGACAGGTATGGAAAATGAGACACGAGCACAGATGATAATGGAGGGGGCAAAGTTCTCGGCCGAGAAAGCGAAGGAGACAGAAGCTCGGTGAGAGATGTAAGAAAGGATCTGTGCAAATTCCAAATGTCGATGAAATTTGAGAATACTGTAATAAGGTCTTCTCGGTCAAGCAGTGGTGAAGGTGTTTCAAGGCTCTCGATCAACGGCGTCAGAAAGTGCTGGATTTTAATATTAGTGGTCGTAAGAAGACAAGAAAATCAGTTGAAAGGCTCACAGAGTAAATCAGTTCCAAGCCTTCTACATATGCACGCTCTGTATCATAGAACTCCGCTATGATTTTCTTTCTTTTTTCGGATTTGGATTCATCTGGCGGTTTCGTACTATCTCTCCTTCGTCTTGCGTGTTTTGGAACCTCTAATGCTAAAGGACGGGAAGAAGATTTGGTGATCACGTTTCGAGACGTGCTGGAGGTCGCTACAGGGCCAGCACCTGCGTTCTGTTCAGGAAATGAATCATATGACGTTATGCTAGCCGACGATTGTCGATTCAGTAAGGTCGGGGCAGTTGGAAGGGATATTCTACGAAATGAAAGGAGGTGTTGGCGTCTCTGTGGTGACGGGACCGGAACAGTGGGAGTCGTCGCAGCAGGCGATTCGGTTGAGGGAAATGCGAAGGAAGTGGGCGAGGTCGCTGCAGATAGTGAGTGTATGCTCTGTAATGCCAAGAAGACCATTCTACATACCCATCGTCGTGGTTGAATGCTGGACGACCTGCCAGCGTGGAAAGCCTGAAACGATGTGCGCTGTCTGTCGTCGAGTACTGGACCAGAGGCTACTTAGTCTAAAGCATCACGTGAGGCGCAGATCCAAGCCCCTGAATGAGCTGACATCATACATCTATATTTAGAACTCAAATGATTGACTGACCTTACCCTGATGCGCTACTGTTTGCACAAGTTTGTGTCGGAGGGTCGCAATTCTGATTTACTTTCAAGACATTTGGGGCAATCATAACTATAGCTGACATTCGATAAAACTCGTTTGAAAATGGCAAGACGGAGGCCGAAAATCGCTCCCGAGAACCGGCCAATACCGTTTCAGCTGTTCATTTGCCCATTCGGCCGCCGCAAGCCAAAGGTCCAGATGTGCGCAGCTCGATCACCGCCTCGAATCGTCATGTTATATGGCACACTGGCCTCGCGTGTTTCGTCGTCTGCGCTCGACAACTCTCCTTTCGTGCCGAAGCACATCGACGACTTTTTTGACAATGCGAAGGAAATTTGATCCACTGGCCATGATGCTTCCCTTGAGCGCAGCCGAGTCTCGCCACACGTGCGGTAGCAGAGCCTGGGTCAACATTCTGTATCCACGTCGGCATACTAAATTTTACCGCATCGCAATTCTTGTCTTCTCTTCTTTCTGGCTCTTGTGGTTTTCGGGATTTCTGGAATCTCCAGTTGCTTATTTAGGGCATCTGGTAACCCTAAAAAGCAGCAATTTACCACCGCTATATGAACAATGGTGTGTGCTGAGGTTCCTCCGTTCATATATTGTCCAATCCGAGACTTTGACAGGGCCGAGTTCGAGCGACATCTCCCTCAGCAAGACGAGTCGTTACCGTATCCAGAAGGAGCAGACGCAGATTTCTTCTATGCCGCTAACCACGTGTGGGGTATGCCACTGCTCGTCGGTCGTTGACTACCAAACAACCAACATACTTAATAGGTCTGGGATTTAATAATGCGTTGCAAGAACAGCTCTTTCTTTCTCATTTGGCTTACATTGCTAATAAAACGTGAGCAACCCACCGTTGAAACATGTACATGCCTAACGAGCAGCATTATCAGTTTCGTCTTTGATGAATACACGTGGAATTACGACCTAAGCCAGCCTTATACCGACTATCAAGGCAAACTAATCCCTTCAAGAATTCCGTACACTGCCTTCATCTCAGGTATGCCGCAAGGTCTTTGCCGATCGCAGTGGCTGACTCCTGTTCATAGGTCCCACTGTCGGCGGCTCATTCGGGAAGGGTGATAAAGCACCAAGGGCTGTAACCAAGTTGCATTATCAAAAATTGTGCCCCAAGCCTCTTACCATGAAAAGTAACCACGTGAACGACAAACTCGACCCATATGCTGATGCGAGCGTCATGATGAAAGCATGGGCTGAGAAGTTAAGGCAAACGCGAGCAAAGTGTATCGAGGTCGGACCATCGAACCAGATCTTTAGCTACATGTGAGTACTTGACGCATACCTCTATCGATGACTCTAATCGGATGCCCAGGGTTTTCGGAGACGGGAGGCGTGTCCAACCCTTCTTTGATGAATTCGTAAATTCTCCAATCTTGAAACGCTTCACCTGGTCCTCTCTTGTCAATGACGCTGTGTCCACCAATATCCACCTATTTTCCGATGCTCCTAAAGCAGAAGATCGTCCTCTATCTTCAATTCGGCTCTTACAAGAGGATGACGACATTGAAGACGCCACCAACCCCATTCCAGGACTACTTGCTATTCATGTTCGAAGAGGGGACTTTCTGGATCACTGCCGGAACCTTGCAAGCTGGGAAGCCGAATATATGGGTTGGCTACGAATTCCATTACTCGTTGATCGGTTCAAGAAGCCAGTTCGAACAGGGTCTGAAGACAATGAAGCAATCATGAATCATTATTTGAAACATGTAAGTCTTCTGTCACTGCTGATTTCCGCTGCTCTATCTTATTCGCGGTAGTGTTGGCCAACCATTGAAGAGATCGTACAGAAGATCGATGCAGTGAGGCAGACATCCGATGGCCGTGGTTTGACTAGAGTCTACATTATGACGAATGGTCCGACTGATTGGATAGAGGATTTGAAAAACAATATCATGGATATGGGTGGATGGGAGGGTGTCGCATCCTCGAGAGACCTTACATTGGTCCCAGAGCAGAAATACATCGCACAGGCTGTCGACATGGCCATTGCGATGCGCTCGCAAATGTACATTGGTAATGGAGTGAGTCTCAATGCTGCTTTCTTTTGGTGTGATCTAATCAGTTTGAATGTAACCAGTTCTCGAGCCTTAGTGCAAACGTTGTTATTCTCCGCCTTAGTCGAAAATTCCCCGCGTTGGCAAATCGTCTTTGGTGACAAGTTCTGGCCGCACCCTTTAGTGTTTATATTCACTCCAGTGGTATACTCGTTCTGTTCTTTGGTTTTGGGAACTTTGTAAGTTAGTCGCTTATAGGGACTTAACTTATAGCACTATTGATGTGGTGTCTTATTGTCAGATGTTGTTATTTTCTACGTCACAATATTTATAATAATATACCGTCGTGAAATCCTACGTGGCTGACTCCATGTTTGCCTTGGCAAAGCTAATTAAAAATTAGTCGGTTCTCCGGTTTATAGAGGCTTCCCCACGACAGGTAGGACCGGCTCGTTTGTGCCGGTTCCGACTTGTGCCTGAGAGGGGACTTCGACTTCATTCCCGATCTAACACCTCAAAATAAGGCCTAAACGTGGTCTAAAGGTTGAACTGTCACAAAGTATTTTGCCGTCCGTGCCGACGTATCCGAAGCAAATTGTCAGTCGAAAAATACAGAAAGAACCGTTGAACTTCTCACCAGTGACCAATTGGCCGGAAAATGCACCGCATGAACTCCATTGTAATAGGACTTCATTCCAGTCTCGGATTTATTAAGGCATCATCGACTACAAGTGGTAGAAGTAATCTGGCGTATGATCTGGCTTCTCACTGCTTCTGACCCTTTACTTCACGGTGGATGAATCTTGACGACACCCACGCACGGTGGTGGTCGCCCCTTTGTACGTCCTAAAAGGTAACTCCAGTTCCCAGTACCAAGGTAGAAGCTTTTGTTCAGAAGATCCAGGCGCTTACTCGGTCTATTTTTATGACGCTTTTTGCACCACCGCCTCGTTAAAAGCATCATACGCGTTCCTATCGATTAAGGTCTCTTTTTAGACTTCTCTGGCTCGTTCCTATCTTCTCGGTGAGTGGCAAGCATATGGCAATGGTCTAAATTCGCACATCCGGCTCGGTTATTACCTCTGAAAAAGTGTCAGACGCTTCCTGAGGTCAGGCTGCAGCTGAACCCTATGGTAATTTCACCAAAGGACTAAAATTAAGTGGGCCACAAACATGCACTGGTTTGGTTTGATGGATACTTTCCGGGAGGAGCTTCTGCCACTCGCAAACTTAGAATGAATCTACAGGAAAAGCCTGGAGAACGAGATGCCGTCGGTAGACGCATTCACCCCCATGCCGATGGTACGCTCAGACCAGTACTGCTTCCCCCCCGAAAAATAATCCTCGTGTGGGCGAAACAAGTCTTCCCTCTAATATGCTCAATGCCATTTGAGGTCCGCCGATATCATCGTATTAGTTCATGACTCTACCTGGTTCGATGCGATCGGAATTAAAGCTGCTGCATTGACTGAGTTGAACAACCGCTCACTCCGGTATTTCCTACCTACTCTTGGTGCCCGTCGATCATCGTTACAATTTAGCGTTTTTCCATAGTGCACATATTTGAGAGAAAATTTGCTGCTCGCTGGCAATATTCTAGCTAGACAGCGGAGGAAGTGCCTTTAAGCCACGTTTGAGTGCCATTCGATCCAAAGTCACCACGTATAGTCGAATTTCATCAACATCCACCGAGTATATGCACCATGTTGTGAAAGAGGATTCGCATTGGCTTGTGCAGTCGCAACAACTTCCTACTCCATGTTCTGTCTTCGGCCACGCCTCGCCGACGGGAAGGTTTAATTCCAATAGGTCATTAGTTCAGGCAAGGGCTATTTTGATGTAGACAAGAAGAAAAGAAAACTTCAATGTCGGAAGAACCTGTCCAAGTGGAACGGTCATTTGTTTTCTGTAATCGAAGCCACGTCTCCGTTTCATTGATCTCATTCTCCTTTCTGCCTCGTTTTCACGAAAATTTAGACATAGGAAAACGCACAGACCGTCTTCAGGTGGTATAAAAGCACTGTGAAATTCCTCCTTGTCCGTCAGTGAACTAAACTCCTAGTGCACTATCCAGCAGTCCAAGACAGCAACTCGTTTCTTCAGCCATGTTCGTTAAGAAGTTCGCCATTGCCTCCTCCCTCGCTATTCTTGCGGTTGCCACACCAACTCCTCAGTCTGCGGGTCAATGCGACACTGGTAAGTTAGACGGTAACTAAAGTGAAAGAATTAGTACTAATGCGGTGATCCAGGCGCGTTGCAATGCTGCCAGAGCGTTCAGGACTCCAATAGCAACCCCATTTCGGTCCTTCTTGGCCTCCTCGGAGTTGTACTGGGGCCTGTCAACATCCCTGTCGGGGTGACATGCTCCCCAATCACGGTAAATAGTCCCGAAATGAAATGTTTGTCGCCCAAACAGACTGATCTCTACAAAAGGTCGTTGGTGCCGGAGGCACCAGTTGCTCAGCCCAGCCGGTTTGCTGTGAGAACAACAGTTTCAGTGAGTATATGTACACATGAAGTTACCTCGGCGGAATTCCTGACATTTGGCTCTCCAGATGGTCTGATTGCCCTTGGTTGCACGCCAATCAACATTAACCTCTAATCATCTCTAATGGTTGTCTTGGAGCTTCGTTCAACGGGTCCATTTCGGTAGGAAATCATGGGATCCCGATGCTTAAGGGACTTTGGTTGTTTACACCATAGAACGAAGCTTGTAGTTTCACTCTTTGTTTGGTTAACGAGCGTACTTGTATATCATGTACACTGTTGTCAAATGGTATATGTCTGCCTGCGAGTCGAGATTTTCGTGAAATTTGCACCACGTGTTGAGGGGTAACAGCACATACCAGTTTCAGCCCTTAGCATGGGTAGTACTAAGTATAAAAATTTATATAACGTCAGCTGCGGTGATTCAAGAAAAGGTCAGTGCGACGTCGTGCATCCATACTTGTGTTTGCTGTTGTTTATTTCATTGAATGTCGATCACAAATTATTAGCTGGTCTCAATTCATTGGCAAGGCAGACTTGCACGTTAGCATGAGATGTTTGGGGTGCAAAAAAATAATGACATGTACCTTAATAGTTGCCAAATACAGACAAAATCTGTGCAAGTTTTGTGCAAGTCCTGCAAGTGCTCGAGAGCACTTGTGAGACTTGCAGAGCTGTCGGACTTCGAAATACTATGTCATTCCTCTCATTTTCCTCTGTAAAATCAACATAAACTAAAGTCTCGTGACTTGTTACAAGCCTCTGCAAGTCTTTTGCAAGTCTTTTGTCCTCAATTATTTAGAGGCTTGCACTACTCTTGGCATCTTGTTTTTTTGTGCCGCAACTCTCCTGCAAGTCTCCCTTGTCTGAATTGAGACGGGCTAATATCAAATCGGGTGTCTGGACGTCTACACTAGCAACATTGCCGTCTTCTTTCGTTGCCGGCTTGTTAAAAGGTTTGAGGCAAAGCTGGAGTCAGCCTGGGCGCCTGACTGTCCAAATGGATGTGCTGACTGAATAGCACAATTGAAAACTTGTACATAAAATCCTTTTTAGAATACTGTGCAGCATGATGTTCGACGAGAAAAGAAAGCCGGGACGACTAAGTATACGCGTGGTGGCTAGTCTCGTCATGAGTATTACCAAATCACTATTTCCGTGACTTATTATTGTATTTTTCCGCTGAATTGCAACTTTCTGCACTATTCAACCGCCGTCCCTTCACTCGACTGTGCAAAGTGAGTTTAATTTGTCTTCCTCTGGATTACTTGGCGATGTTCCTCATGGGTCTGGCCTGTTCAGCTTAGGTGACGTGCTGGCTAAAGGTAAGTAAATATGTTTCTCGAACCAGTTGTAGCTGCGCCATTGGTCTGGTGAGTGAGCTGGCTTAGCGAATATAATATTAGCATAGCGCTTCTTGCTGAGCCTTGTTTGAGGGGTATTCAACGATTGTCGCTTTCTCATGAAAGGAGCACGAGTGCACGTTCTATTAGTTTCTAGATCCCAGTTTGAGTGCTCCTGGTTGAGATTGCCACGCAAGTGACTCGGGAGAACCTCCTCTTCAAAATGAGGCTCCCGTTAAGTTGAAATATCTTGCTGTTGTTGACAGCGGAGTTAGAATCTAGAACGGGTATCTGCTTCTTCCATAACGCGTGTTCAGTGTCCCGGAGAACGCTAATTTCTGAAATTCCTAACGATCGTATGGCTTATTACTGTATTTATCAAGCCCCTTCTTCGATTTGGCTTCACTGCTTGAACGCCAAGTAAATCCCTTCAACTGGCACTGCCTCAAAGACCTCCCAATAGGCCGAGGATACCTCCCAAAAAGCCAAGTCCACCGAGAATCCCAGTGACAGGTCCCAAGCTTGAAAGTTCGAATCAGCACAGCTGGATCATCCCGGCTACAAAGAACACCTACAGGCCAAGAACAGTAGAGAGGAGACCGGTCACGAGCGAAAGACCAGAAAGAAGCGAGGTGAGCGCGCCGCCGAGTTCCGGCACGAGAGATCCAACGACAGGAATACCCGAAAGCTCTGGTGCCAGACTTTGAAGCATCCCTGTGACAGCCTGCGATGGGCATTTCCGAAGTTAATATATATCAGACTCGAACATAAGCGATGACACGTACCGTTATGACGGATGTCAGCTCATTAGCAATGCCAGATATATCCTGGCGCTTCACAAGAGCTGGGGGTGCGGACGAAGCAGTAGCATTGCTCGCATTGTAAATCGCGGTGATGAGTTCGCTCATGAGAGGGGCAACTGTCGCGTCCGTCGCATTCTTGTTCGCGATCAGACCCTCTAAAGTGCTTGACGTTAACGGCTAGAAACCCGTTTATATGTCAATACCACGTACGGATCTCTGACACGATTGTGTCAGTGGTCGACTTGAGGTTCGAAACCGTCTGTTGGATGGACGCTATGTCGCGCTTCTCGGGAACAGCACGGGCTACAGCGAGACTGCCAAAGGTCGCTGCAAACGCGAAGAAAGAGAGAACACGAGAGAACAACATGGCGATGAAAGAGCACTTGAGAGGCTGCAAAGGGACAAGAGAGCACTGTGTTGTTCGCTTGTTGACTTTCACAGTCCTTTCAGATGGGTTTATATAGAGTTTTGGCTGACTTCTCTTCACACGGACAGGTCACAACAGATAGTTGGAAAATAATAGGATCATGGTGTCAAGAAAGAAAAAACACGAACGAGTATTTTTGCAAGTAGCCGCCTCCAAACGGCGGAGAGTATTAGAAGTCGCCGGAATGAGAAGGCCATCCTGTATCGGGAAACGGAACAGAACGGAAGAGGACAGAAGTTGTGCGCAAATCCGTACACAAACGCCACGTGAGGGCTAAGAACAGTAAAGTTCTTGCAAATATCACTTGAGTCTACGACGCATCTATTGGGACCGCTGATCTCCTCGGCAGTTTTCCGGTTTTGGACCGGCTTTCAAGAGACAGGCATGAGAAATCCATGACGAGAGTAAGGAGACCTGTGATGGTTCGGAGGTGTTAAAGTAGAAAACATGGACTGCAGGACAACCGATTTATTGTCACTGTGTATTTGTCAAGGATGAATGCTCGGATAGTCATCCAGTTCGTCCGCAGACAGTCATGTTGTTTGGGCTGCGACTTCGGAGTTGGCAAGAACCAGAGACGTACACTAGAAAGCCCAACTGCGCGAAGGTTAGAATTCTTCGCCGCAGACTCCTGCAGAACGATTCAGGTTCACAGTTCGACCTCATGAGCAATTTGCACGATTGCGAAAGATCTCCGGACTTCACAGTCACAGGGGAAGATGAGAATATAAACGGATTCTTGCAAAACTTCTTTTGCAATTGGTACGACCGGTTTTGAGTAGATGGAGGATTTACAAAGGTCGTGGGCCGAGAAATTGATGTGCGCGACTGTTGATAAACTTTTTCAATCTCCGCACCTGCGTCGATCCATGCATAGTATGTAACGAGAGTCTGAGAGACTAGGCAATATTAATTATTGACTTATCTCTAGACTTGACTGCAACTACAGAGATGGAAAGTAATTGAGGATGAAATCCACTGAAAGGTTAATGGCGGTAATTTTCACAAGGGAAGATCAAATATTGGAAATTTCGGGCCTTTTATCATTTATGTGAACCTCGAATGTACTCAGTTCCTGGTATAATGTACTTTTTCCCGAGCGACCTTCTTCGGTAGCAGCGGACTACAATGACGGAGCCAAAGTGTCGTGCAATAATACCCGTTCCGTTGGATGATATCAGTACCTTTTTTGATCCTTTTGTCCCCTGATACACTCATGCAAATCACCAACATTTTATTTATTTATGCATTTCCCTACCTGCGACTGACAGCTCTTTACATCTTTACATCTAGGACACCTCCCTCTCAGTTGCTTTGAGTTTACCGCCACGAGGGCATTAGTACACTTGTTCTGCCCTATGGAGGGGGAGGGGGCACTCCCACATGGATCGCCAATGGAACATCAGGCATGCAACATCGCATCAGTCCAGGGATGAAAGGTCTGATTTCGTGAATATTCTTAGAACGCTGTTGATTGTAAAAGACTTTGAGAAAAGTCGCTACAGAGTTCATTTCCGTCCCGAAAGTCACGCCATACGTGAGGGTTTCTTCCGAGCCCGAGCGCCTTGGGAATCCGGAGTCTATCGATTCGGGAATGTGTACGTACGGCTACCACCGGTAAGTCGCTTTCCGAGCACTTGCTACCCATCGGTTGCGAAACGCCTGTGGTGGTTGGGTAAAGAGAAGTGCCATGCGAGCTCTCGAAGAGCTAACTGATCAGCGAGTAGTTCAGGTTGGGTAACCGACGTGCCTTACTCCTGAATTTGCACACTCTGGAACAAGTTACTGAGTTATAAGTATTTCCACTTCATTCTATCCCTTCATTTACGGCTACAAGAAGCAAGGGATGCCTAACAAGGAGCAGAACACTTGTATCCCTCGATCGCATATAAGCTCGGAGTTGTACGAATGCTACCACAACCTTTTCATAAACCACAATAGGAACCTTCGGCTTTCGGATAATGTTGATACCATACTATTCAAGTTGGCACTTCTATGTCATCAGATATGGACCACACTACTGTTGATTAGCATTCAAGAGAGTATATGCAGCACAAGAAAACAGCAGGAACTTTAAGCCTATCAGTAGTTCTGGCGATGACGATAAAATTTTGAGGATACCCAACGTTTGAGCAAACCCAAACTGTTCCAAAGAACTACCTAGATCGCCAAGACCTAGACCACCGATACTTAAGTAGACTCTCAAGACTAACTAATTGTGTGTCAAGATGTCGGAACAGATTGTACTTACAGAGTGGCAAGCAGTATGATGACTCCAGCGAGGACCAGTTCGAGTCCAGGGACTACTTCAGCGAGAGCAATATCAATTTCCGAGATGATGGCCGAGGTATCCGTGATATTGTTCGCGTTATTATATAGCCCAAACTCTTCAACAATTTCCTAAAGTTATGGGGTAATCGTCAAAATAATTAATGCACGTAGACAGGACGTCTGACTGTGAACCTGTATGATCTCAACAAAATGCAAAGAGTAGGACGTGGAAGAAATTTAAAAGCGGGTTCTATCGATCGATACGTTTCAGATGGCGAGCTTTCTAGTCAGTAGCTTCGAATTCAGTGTCTCTTGCAGCGGAAACGTAGCTTAAGAGTCGCGGTGGGATCATCAAAGGCAGTAGAAGGTCAGTTCCGGGTTGTGTTGAACAAGTCCCAGTTCCTCAGGTCCTCGGCCTAGTCGAAAATACCATGATAGTGACTACATAACCACTTGCAATGGACCTTTGACAAGACATGAACCTCAGCCAGTAATCTGCATAAGCCTTTTTGCGCTGCCGTAGGATCCATCGATAAAGCAGCATGCATCTACTTGACCCGACCTTTAGATACCTGTTCCTCATGTATCACATTCATATGCTTAAGATCACAAGAATGATGTGTAAGGGACAGAAGATAACGAGTTGCGAAAAATAAGATAAAATTGGCTAAATTCGTGAGAAGAAAAAGACTAATGTAGGTTACTATACAGTGTAATTACGTCATGATATTCCCACACACCATCACTGACTTTCTTGCAGACATCTTGAGCTGGTCAGGTAAACGCAGTGAGCAGCCTCTCATACTCATTGTGGAACTCCAGAATGTCTTATGACCTCATCTGGCTTTTAACTCGCGTTTGTATCTCATGTTTTTGCTGAGATACGATGAAGCTGAAGACAGGTTTTTTTTTTTCAACAGAAGAGCAGCTCATACATAGTAGACGCGGTTCCCGAAGGACCCATCTTCTCGAGGGAGCCTGTATGTCCCATATTAGTCTGCTGTACTTGAGCCACCTTATTCTGAAATCTATGTGCGCACAGGGTAACTTGTTGAATATTCACTCACACAAATATTCCATTATCGCGGACCCAAAGGTGAGAGAGCATGTAACGTTTCCAATCATTCTCAGTACTCAACGTGTTTCCGTCTCGAAGCCCCTTTCTATCGTGGATGGCCCATCTGGAGTTGAGGTTGTGACTCGAAAGCCATCTGCGTCGATACATTCCGTGAAATCTGCTCGTCATGTCACTAGGATTCGCGGTAGATCCGGCCCTCGACGGGCTGCTGGCATTGCCATCCAAAAGCCGAAGTCTGGCTACCGGTCTGACTTGAAGAAGGTGAGGACCTGTACAGGCTTCCTAAATTGAATATCTTTTTGTCTTTAGCATCTTGCTCGAACCATTTCACACCCTTCCGAAACGCATTCTCGTTAGAACCCGCTGGATCTGCCGCAAGGCAAATGAAAGTTGGGCGTGGACATGTTTGCAAGAACAAACCAACTCTGTTTGGGGTCGATCAAACTCCGGCAGAGATCGTGCCATGTCGCTATCGGGTTGCGTCCGATGCTCCTCGCGTCCGCCCGACTCTTTGGCGCTGACATTACTCTTGTTCATGCGCTTCTTCCGAGTTTTAATTCTGCGAATATTTTGTGCATGTTGAACTTGCGCTGACCATGTTATGTTTAGCCCGCTGCAGCTCGTATTAGTGCTATTCTGGCGTCTAAGAAGGAGAAGAAGCCGCTGCCCGAGAAGAAGCCAAGGGGGAAGAAGGCAAAAGCTGCTGCGTCTGAATGATTGATTAATCTTTGATGTCACTGTCTGTTTTTTGTTGTTCCTCTATGCAAGCTATTGTACTGTCTGCGTGTGATTCATGCATATGCTCGTTCAGATGCCGCTGCCAGTCCATCAGCAGATGCAGACTCCCCAGTAAATAGTAACCTTGGCTCTAGTTCAACAGCGCGTTGCACTTCTTTCTCTTTGCTCCAGCTGGTATCCATCGATGATATAGGCGCATCCTGGTCTTCACCATTTCTGCTTTGATCAGCCTGCGGCCTCTGCCTTTCGTGCCTTTGCTGGAAAGCAGGTGCCTTGTGTTGCATATCACTGTCAGCTCGCCTAAATGGTCAGCCCCATCATGTCATGTGATTTCGGACACGTCCATAAAACACGACTCTGACAGCAACCATGATGTCCACCACCCCCACATCTGACCCGCAAAGCCTGCTCTCACGTATAGCACCACTGGCAGAGATGCCGTCGCGGTCAGTGAAACGGAAAGTCGTAGAAGAGAATGGAGCGAGACCGGCGAAGAAGAGAGCTGTGGATGGAGGCAAACGTAAACAGGAAGGTTCACGATCTGCTCAATGGTTAGATGACACCAAACCTTTTGACGTAGACGCCTCACGTGAAGAACGGTGAGCTATTCGTTCTGGTCTCACTTGTACTCTTGATGAGACATCCCCATTAAAATTTGATAGTCTTCATGATGAGCTGGTACAGTTCATTGGTTACATTGCTCCAAGCAAGCAAGAACGTGAAGCCCGAAGCATGTTGGTTGCAAGGATAGAGGATCTACTGAAATCACGCTGGCCTGATGCACAAGTGACTGTATTCGGGAGTAATGCCACTGGTCTCGAGTTGACTGGAGGGTGCGTGTGTCTGTTGTCTTCCTCTCGACCATTCTAAGTGCTATTCTTTAGTGATATTGATCTCGTCGTGGCCTTCGACGAAGCTCACGAGTTCTTTTATCCGCAAAACAAGAAAAGACGTCTAGGTGCTATAGGCCGTCTCTTGCAAAGGTCTGGCATGACGACGTCGGTCACCAGGATTTTTGGTGCAAGAGTGCCGATCGTCAAGTTCGTAACAACTGAAGACCTTGGTGAAATCAGCTTCGACATTAGTATCCGCAACGAGGACGACAGCGGTCCTCGAGCAATACCTCTGATTAAACAATTTTTGATTGACATGCCGCCTTTGCGAACACTCATACTCGCTGTCAAGGCTTTCTTGTCTCTTCTTGACTTGAATGACGCATCACATTCTACATTAAGTAGCTATGCCATCACTTTGATGTGTATCAGTTTGTTACAGGCATGCCTCTTTCCTTGGACCCTGTGCGCCGTTGACTGATTGACTACTCACATAGCGCAACCCGGCTCGAAGGCCGCAGAAGGAAATAGATGACCCTTTCAACGAGAAGTTTCTTGGTTCGCTCTTAATGGATTTCTTTCGTCATTACGGGCACGACTTCTCCTACGCAACTCATTACATCTCTGTAAGTGACAGGGGTATATTCACGAAGAAGTCGAAGAATTGGGAGGCGAAACCGGGAAATCCAGCTGCGCTCGCTGTACAGTGTATTCTTAATCCTGGTAAGAGACCATCAGACAATTCCTGAGCTAACTTAATACGCAATTGCCAGAAAAAAATATCACTTGTGGATGTGGCAAACTTCCTGTGATCGTTAAAGCGTTCAAAGAGGCGTACCACAGTCTGCAGAGTACATCTCTCTACAATGCTTCTCTTCTCAGCTATATTTACGACATTTCACCCGAGGTAAATCTATACGCCAGACTGCTGTTGCGTTTCTTACGATATTATTCGTTAGGACGATGAGAGGCGACGGATGCTTAACGAGGCTGTAGATTCTGGCTCATTTGCCCGTTCGGTTGCATTGTGCAACGTCGGAGTTGGCACCGGTCCCGTAAGTGGAGGTGTACCACTTTCAACTCGGAACGGTGCTCGCCGCGGCAAGATCAATCCCCAAAATGGATCTCGTCCATCGTTACGGTTAGGCCCTGGTCCTTTGCGGGGATCCCGTGCCGACCATGGGCAAAGAAATACCAATCGCAATTGGACTGGGATGCCTCAGAATGTCCAGCAATTGCCCGTACCGCGCTGGCAAGATAGTCAAAATCAGCAGAGATCGAATCTACAAGTCCCGAGCGGAGAGTTTAGTTTCCAGGTCCAACCAGACGTCTTTCTGCAGAGCGTTATGAATCATGGTATGTTTCAGGGCCATGGAGCAATGTATACGGGTCATTTCCAGCAACAGAACCTTCATTCGAGCCAGCAATTGCCCAACATGGAATACTTTCCCAATTCCTATAATAATTCTTTTACCTGAGTCATGTCAGCAGCCGAGTTCGCACCCGTGGAGTTGAGGCAGTGAATGATCTCGTAGTGTACGATAATAACGACAGTTCTTTCTATGGACAGGATTATTTAGACTAGTAGTATTAATACCCGCCTTATCATCTCGCTTATGTACCTTAGGCAATTCACACACAATTTTCCTTCAATTCAATCCATTTTGTTGCCTTACTTACTTTTCGAACAACTTCTGAGGAATATGATTTTGCAAGGCATGGGAGCATACACGTCTTTGACGACCATAAACATGAGAGGTAGGCGAAACCAATGTAAGACAGAGAAGTGCATTTATTCCTCTTCCTCTTCGTCGCCACCTTCCTCCTTCTTTGCGGCAGCAGCAGCGCGCTTGCGCTTGACACGACCCGGGCGACCTCCACCGTAGGGCGAGGTGAGTGCAAAGTCGATATGCTTTTGAGAGTCGAGTCGGACGACGAATGAAGGGACGTTAACAATTTGCTTGCCGACACTGTAAATAAAGTATCAGACCCGCTTGCAGTTACAAACAAGCAAGCGGAATACAAACCGGATGTGACGTTGTCTAATAAGAACACGTGCATGATGAATCGACTTGGCGAGACCAAGCTTGAAGACCTGAGTCTGCAGTCTACGCTCCAAGAAGTCCTCAATCTTCAACGCAAGCACGTAATCAAGTCGCATGCGCGTCTCGTCGAGCACACCAATACGGACGAGGCGACGAATGAGAGCATTGCCCTCGAACAGTCGCTTCGGGTCCTTTGCATCGAGCTTGAGAAGCTCACGCGCAGCACGACGAATTTTGGAGAGAACGAGCGAAATACGCCAGATCTCGCGCTTGTTGCGAAGACCGTACTCCCCGGCGAGCTTCAGCTCGGCATCGAGACGGGCCGACTCAAATGGACGACGGGGGACCTTATAACTGTAGTATGATTATGGGGCACATATGCGCGGCAGTCAGCTCAGCGCGTCCCTCCACATAACAGTGGATCTTGAAGAATAGAATATGCTCACGTCTTGCTGTGGTTCCTCGGCGCCCTATCAGACAGTTAGCTCGAGTACATATATCGAGAACTTATGTGGCATACCTGGGCATTTTGTTTCTTGAGGATGTTGTCGACGACGAACGACGTGCTACAGAAAACCCGCAGCGTGTAGTTGAAAGCGTGAGAAAAATGAACAACTGTACAGCACTTGGATCACGTGCAGTGGATTTCAGTCATCGCGAGCTTCAAGTCCCAAGTCCATATTCAAGACCGCACCGCCGACCCTCGACATTTCTCAAGATGCCGCACTCCTACGGTTACAGGGCGCGCACGCGCCATATGTTCACGCGTGGCTTCAAAGGTGAGACATAGGGTTGGATTTTATCCGTGTATTTTTGCTTAATTTTCTACTAGAACATGGCCCGATTAAGCTGTCCACGTTCCTCGTCAACTACCGTGTCGGTGACATCGTCGACATCAAGGCAAACGCAGCCCAGCAGAAGGGCATGCCACACAAATTCTACCATGGACGTACCGGTATCGTGTACAATGTAACACCGCACGCGGTCGGTGTTATCGTCAACAAAGTCGTTGGAAACCGTTACATCGAAAAGCGTGTAAATATCCGTGTCGAACATGTTCGTCACTCGAAGTGTCGACAGGAGTTCCTTGAACGTGTGAAGCGCAATGAGCGACTTCGTGCTGAGGCGAAGGCAAAGGGCGGTATGTGATATAAACTTTAATTATTATTGCTTTGCCGCATTGTCTGAATTATGATAATATAGAATCCGCTCCGTTCTTGCGTCGCATCCAGCCTGCTCCACGGGAATCACGCATCGTCTCAACAAAAGACAATGCCCCACAGACGATTGTCCCAGTACCGTATGAGACGACTATTTGATCGTGCTTCATCTCTTATGGTCACGTGGTCTGGTGGACTGTAGAAGTGAAGTAATGCATAAAAACAAAAATGGTGGTATACATATATGCTCTCCCATGCCTGTTCATTATACATATGCATTGCTTCAAGCATCTCACGCTATCAGATCAATTGTATTCCTTCAGCTGTGATTACGAAAAGTTAAGAGAATTAACCCAGAGTTAACCACCGAATCTTTCCTTGGCCATCTGCTTAAACATGTCCATGGTGGCTTTATCCTTCGCTCGCAGTGCTTCTTGTCTTTCTTTAACGGCCGATTCTTTTTCTTCGTGCATCGAGGAACGTTTTTCTTTAAAACGCCTCCGAGCAGCGTCTCTTTGTGCAATCCTAGAGAGAAAATGAAATGAATGTTAAGTCTACCTAATAAGAAAAAAGCCAACCTTGCTTGAAAGCTATCTCCGCCGCCCATTAATGTGCTTTCGTCGTAATCACCAAATGCATCATCTTTTGCATCTCGGGTGGCCCTGTCTGCCTCCCTTCGAGCCTTTTTCTTTTCGAGCATCCCTTCTCTTCCGCGCTCTTTGGGGCCTACGAGATCCTCTATTCGTTCCTTATCTTCCTCCCTTGCTCGTTTGCGCTCATACGAACGCTCAGCTGCACGAGATTCTTCCTGTGCTTCGCGAAGTAAAATACGGTCACTCGCAGAGGGAAGTGTCGGGCCCAAGACCCTGCTTCGTCCAGAGTGAGTCCCTAGTTGTGGAGCAGGGGCAGCAACTGAGTCACTAGTGTCCAGGTCCGTGCTATGAGTTGCAGTCTCAACTGCGTGACGTGTCTCATCTAAAGCAGCTCGCTCTGCCTTTGAGCTCTTTGATGCAAATGGCCATCGATAGGCTGTCTGACTAGCTGCCGGTTGTATTAAGGCGTTTTCATGAGAATAATAAGATTCTGTCGAGTGGTGAACTGTTAGCAGGACGACGGAATACGGAAGAGAAACATGGAATCCCTCACTCGGTAACTTTCCGCGGTTCCATGCCTATAGACAAATACTGTGAACTCGAGCACACTTGGGGAGGATATCTAGTTTGTATGAACCTTGACAAATTTGCGAAAGTAACTTTTGTTAAGATACCATAACAAGTCAGCAACTCGCCGCTCGGGGTGTACTTTCAGGGCATGACAAACGTACCTGCGCGCCTTCTCTCCCGAAAGCTCGTCGAAGAACTGTCAAGAACGAAGTGTTGTGAGCAGAGAACCAGATGGGAGAATGGAGAGGCGGGATGCAGCGGGAAACGTGGAGTGGTGCGGAAGCTCACTATGTCCTTCTCTTCCTTCAACCAGGACCTGAACTCGGCGTTTTTGAGGTAATAATCTGAGTCCTGCAGCGGCTCCGCCCCGTAAGGTAGAGGTCTTGTGTCTCTGTCCTTATATTTCTCCTTGTTGCCACGACGTATTCGTCGGTCTCTGTCATCTTCCGGAGACAACCACGTCCTGTTATGCGTAGGGGATTGCGAGCGGGAACGATGGCGGGAGGCCATTATTACTTATGTTTCTTGCGGTAGAAGTCAAATGGTAGCGTAACGCCGCACGCGTCCTAAATGCGGAGACGCGTCACGCGGCGGAGTCTGAACCTAAAACTTGACAAACCTTGGAGCTACCCTCGTTTCTTCCTGTCCCAGGCACTCTTTGCGTCTCGACTGAATACTCGTTGCACGGTGCTCATGACCACTTACTGCATGTCGGACGCCTCGTTGCACTCTGTGGGCTCTTCTTGACCCGTTGGCCATATGCATGGCGTGCTTCGTCGCACTGCTTTCTGTTCCGTCTCTGGCTCTCTGTGCGAAAAAAAAAAGATACGCAGACTGGGTTCTAGGATAAACATCCACCAGAACGCCTCTGATGAACACGAACCGTACATTCCATCCCGCGCCCGTGCCTCCCAGTTCGATGATAGAAGTTCCTCCGCCATCACTTCTTTCTTTAATATTTCCTCAAACGCTCTGAATATTGCCGCAAGCCAATTGGGGTCGTCGCTTGCTCCGATTCGTTGCCCGAGTTGTTTTCAATGCAGGTCATATCACAATTGATATCATAGGTGACGGATCGCGTCAAAACTCTTGAAGATTGTGCAAGGTTCTGCCTGAGAATCTCTGCCCGCGAGTAATCACTTTGTCTAGCCTCGTGCCGTCCTGCCGAAGCAGGAAGTCAACAATGCGCTTGGCCTCGATTTAATAGGCCTTTCAAATACTGGAGCCTTTATCCAACAAATCAATTGTGTGCGACTTTTGTCCTCAATTTGTCTGTGAAAGGCAAGATAGTGAAACAGTCCTCGTTCTGGGTCTTTGATTTCGGGTCAAATGACTTCTAATCGGAACTCTGACCTCAGCTAGTAAAAACATCTAAGCCGCACAAAAGTTCTTTTTCTTCTGGTCATTCCTACGTCTCATATGAAATTTCTGTCTTCTGTGGTGCAACAAGAATTTGCACAACCAACACAAACTGGTATGTGCTATATTGAACAATAAAGCTCACAGGGTTCTACAATAATGCCTGTGTTCGGGATAACCAAGCAAACCAGACAATACCTTCTTCTAGTTGATGACTATATGCTATGGACTTTGAGACCCGAGGGATTAATTAATGACCTAGTGCTTCTTGCTGCTTCTTGCCCCTTCCAAAGTCGGACGGAAGGCCACTTTTCTTCCGCGAAATTGTATTGCATGAAGCGGAGAAGCGCGGAGTCAAACATACGCGTTTTTTTGCTCGTCTAGCGCCTTATCTTCCGTCACATGTTGGTGTTGTGTTTGGATACCTGAGGCTTGGAAAGTCTATAAAAGCACACTTGTTTGAGGTGGAACGAACAGCAGACGAACTCCGATTTGTCTACTAGCCTCTCAGCCAAACGACTCAGAGTTACTCTCGAACTCAAACATAATGCTGTTCTCTCGCGTTGTTTCTTACCTTGCGTTTTTCTTGACACTGGGAATCCTCGCGACCGCCAAGCCGGTTGAGCTCGAGAATCGTGCTAGCGTCTCATTAGCTGAAGAGGTTGTTTCAGCGCTCAAGTCTAAGACCGACTCGATCGTCCCGCAGATTAGTAGGTTTTATATTTGCACTTCCCGTGCCCGGTTGTCTGAACACCATTCTTCCCTTTACAGAGAGTGCTGCGTCGAGCAAGCCGGTGTCCGCTTCTGCTATCACTCCGCTCCTTAACGAACTTATTACCGCCTTCAACGAAGCGCATAGCTCCCTCGGCCAGGTTTCCCTTCTCAAAGAAAAGAAGCGCCAGAATGCGAATGATGTTGCCAACACCTTTGCAGGCGTAGTCACGGTAAAGGCCATTGTTTTTCTGTTGTCTTCTTGACTTCCGCACTGAATAATATTTTATCAGGACGTTGCTGGAGCAGTCAAGCTCATCCCCGTCGGACTGCCCGGCCTCCCTGGTCTCATCGTTTCTCTGGACGTCGCGCTTTCAGAACTCCTTGTCGGACTTGACGTGGCGGTAGTCGGCCTTGGTGTCCTCCTCGGCGGGTTGTATGATTTTTTTCCTTCACTATTGGGATGTATTCCACTGAGTAACAATGTGTTTAATCAGGCTGACGGGAGTTGCTGGTCTCCTGGGCGGACTCGGGCTCGGTCTTACCCTCGGCCTGCTCGGCCTTTGAGGGATTATGAGAGGGGAACATACTTAAGCAGTTGTCCATTGTCTGCCATTGTCTCTCCTTCAGTACAAGATTTTCCGCACTTACAGGTGACACCTCGTAGACCGGAAAGTTCACAATTTTTTAGTGTCTGTTGTATCTTCTAGTGGTTCAATCTATGTACAGTGTTCTGACTTATGTTGTGTTTCGGGCTTGTATGAAATGAATACGTTGTTTGTTTGTTTACTTCTAGCGCGCATGTTTGATATTCTAATTGAGCGTCGATCATCCAAGAAGCGTAGAAGATCGCCTAATAGAAAAGGGGCAGGAGGTTCATGGACCGTAAATTGTAAATTGAGGCTCTTAGACATTTCTCCAACCTTGTAACGGACCAAGCGGTCCGGTTGCCAAGTTACTTTCCTTGGTTGGAGTTGACATTTGCCTCCGTTTTCGGATTGTGAAGAGCTGAACCTTTGCGGCATGCTGATAAGTTCCTCAACCCCCCGGGCGCAAACTTCTCACGGCCTGCTGTGAAGTCACCTTGCTACATTCCGCATTTTTCCTCATCATACGTTCGCAACACGCCATTTCGGGGCAAATTGGTTATCTCCCTCGCAGAAGCGTCCTTGAGAACCAGGCGGTTGCAATGCGGTCGAGAATACGGCACGTCTTGCGATGCATATCAAACTCTTTCGAGTTCTTCCCAGTTTGCCCATTGAGTTCAGTCTGTTTTTAACTTCGATTCAATTCACTATGCTTATTTTTGGCCTTCCCTTCGAGGCGCTGAACACGCGCTATGGGAGAAGTAGTAGAGATCCCGTTCTAGATTCTGAGTCCGCTGTGAACAAAGCCCAGATGGCTCAGCTTGACGGGCCTCGCATATCGATTTGATTTTGCACTAGAGGTTCTCCGAGATCATCTTGAGAAGCAGGTACCTAAAGTTCAGGTCAAGTAGGTGCACGCTAGTATATCGATTGATTTCACGGCAGCGGCAGCGGCTTGTGCGGATTGCCGGCTGAGGTCCCACGTCTTGTCAAGGCTCCATTACAAATGGCCTTAGTCGTTGTTGTGGTATTTTCAACTAGGTCGGGGACCTGAGGAACTGGGAATTGTTCAACACAACCTGGAATTGACAGTTTACTGCCCCTGATGATCCCGCCGCAGCTCTTCGGCCACGTTTTTAGTTACAGGCAACACTGAAGTCACTGTCTAGAGAGCCGCCTTTCGAAACATATCAATCGACAGAACTCGCTTTCGTCCACATCTTTCTCTGAATAATTGAACGTAACCTTTGAGGACTTTACGGATTTAAGGAAAATGCTGTCGACATGATGGACATATCCCCGCTTGTATGCAGAACACACAGGGATTGTTGACGCCTTTAACGCCGCAAGTGTGCCACTGCGTACCCTGAGGGAGGAATACAAGTTCAGGATATGGTCTTTCTGTTACCGCTACAACTGCGTTGTGGCGTCCTGTGGCCATCCACGTTCACTCCTTTGGACGGTTCAAATTCTTTTCTGGCCTGGAGGCGAATTACTCGCTACCGAATGTTTCAAGACAGGGAAAACACATCTGCTTTTCTGAACATTCACATTTTGAACTCTATGTCGACCATGAAATTTGTCGTTCTTCCATAGCCCGCAGAATATGCTTATAAGAGGAGACTGCGGACGACACAAAAATTTCAAACAATCAAAACTCACCGGAAATCCACACTCGTTACTCGCCATGCTTTTCACTCGCGTCATTCCTTACTTTGCCCTGTTCCTGAGCTTTGGAACTCTCGCAATTGCCAAGCCAATAGCCGCGATTGAGAAACGTGGGGACATTTCCTCTGTCGAGAATGTCTTCACGATGCTCAAGTCCCAGACGGACTCCATTCTACCTCAATTCCGTAGGTCGCTCGTTGAATTTTCCTCTCCTGAAAAGCGCTCACAATTATTCTTTTCAGATTCTCTGGCTCTTGGTGGCAATACGACGGATACCTCCATGGGTTCTGTCGCCGACGAACTCACTGCAGCTCTCAATGAAGCCTACGGGTCCCTCGCTTCAATCGGATCGATTTCTAGTGACCCAGGCAACAGTACTGCTAGTATAGCTAACCTGTTTGCTGAGATTATACAGGTTCAGTGTCAAACGCCTTGTATAAGAGCATTGATCATCCTGACAATTACCATCACCTTAGGAAATCGTTGAAGAGTTTGGACTGCTTAACAGTGCGAACAACGTTACGGACATCTCGGTCATCATCGAGGAAGTTGATATTGCTCTCGCTGAAGTAGTCGCTGGGCTTGAACTAGTTCTCGCAGGAGTCATCACACTGCTTACCGCTCTGTAAGTATAATCTTCTTTGCCGCCTTAGTGTTCGACTCATGCGACTCGTTAGACTCGGTAGTCTAAGTACCGGTGGTCTGGATGTCGGCGGTTTAAGTGGTTCTTTGGAACAGCTTGGATTTACTCAAACGTTGGGTATCCTCAAAATTTAATCATCTTCGCTAGAACCGTCGATAGGCTCAAAGTTCTTGCCGTTTTCTTGTTCTACATATACCATCTTGAATGCTATTCGCCAGTAGTGTAGTCTGTGTCTGATGGCATAGAAGTGTCAGTTTGAATAGTACGTTGTCAACATTATCCGAAATTCCAAGGTTCCCATTGGCCTTTATGAAAAGTTCTTGGTAGCTTTAGCACAACTCTGAGCTTATGTGCGATCGAGGGGTACAAGTGTTCTGCTTCTTGTTAGACATTACTTTGCTTTTTGTAGCCGCTAATGAAGGAATGGAATGAAGGGGAAATACTTACAACTCAGCAGCTTGTTCCAGAAGGCACAAGTTCAGGAGTAAGGCACTTCGGTTACCTAACCTGAACTAATCAAGGACTCCCTGATCAGTTCTTTGAGAGCTCGGTCGGCACTTCTCTTTATCCAACTACCACAGGCGCTCTGCAACCGATGGGTAGCTCACACTCGGAAAGCGCCTTACTGATGGTAGCCGTACGTACATATTCCGAATCGATGGACTCTGGATTCCCAAAGCGCTCACACTCGGAAAAACACACGTGTATGGCACGATTCTTGGTGCAAAGGGAATTCTGTAACAATCTTTCTTGACTTGAAATCTTTCGCGGCCTACAGCGACCTAAGAATATCCACTAAATCAGAATACCTGTCATCAGTTCAGCATCCCTGAACTGATGCGATGTTGCATACCTGATGTTCCATGTACGATTCATGTAGGTGTCCCTCCATTAAAACGGAACAAGAGTACTAACGCCTCTTACGGCAAGAAGCTCAGGGCAATGTCGCATGTTATGAAAGCCCGTCAGATACGGAGAGGCAGGTGCCTTAGATGTAAGGAACTGTCAGTCGCGAGTGGAGAAAAGCATAAATAAAATGTCAGTGATTTGACAAGAGTGTATCAGAGAAAAAAAGGGCCAGAAACTACTGATATCATCTAACAGAACTCGTCATCTTACACGACACTTTGGCTCCGTCATTGTAGTCGCCGCTACCGAAGAAGGCCGCTCGGGAAAAACCTACCAGGAACTGAGCACGTTCGAAATTCACAGAAAAGGTCCGAATATTCCAACATTTGAACTTCTTTGTCGAAATTCCCATCGTTACCCTTTCAGCAGATTTCGTCCCCAATTAGTTTCCACCTCTGTCGTTGTGGTCCAGTCGAGAGTTAAATTAATTAACTACTCGGTCTCCGTTACATAAGTATGCATGGATCGACGCAAGTGCGGAGATTGAAAAGCTTATTAACCGATCTAGGACAGGCAATCTTCTCGGCTCACAACTTTCGCAACACCACGATCTGCTCAAAGCCAGCCCCACCAATTGGAAATGAAATTTCGCAAAAAAAATCCGAGTTTGCACGCATGTCCCCCTTGTGACAGAGTACTCCTGAAGTCGTTCGCAATCGTGCAGACTGCTTGCGAGGTCGAAACTGTGGAGCTGAATTGTTCCGCGGGAGTCTGAGGCGAGTAATTCTGAAGATTGCGCTTAAACACCGCGTAAAGGCGCTGAAAGCGTCAGTGTAGTCTCTTCTGCAACCAAAAAGTGATACTCTTTCTCTGTCTGCGATGATTTATTTAGGATCACCGCCAATCGGAAAAGGCATTCCAACTCCTTAATGTATCCTCCGACTGTTCGTGCCTATCATGATGGAAACAATCGCGGGGCTGGCTCACTCCGCATGGAAGGTCAGGTTTTCTGGCTATCTGTGCGTTTGAAAGAATCTGAACCGGACTCTGGGTCGTCGCAAATGTTCCGGTTCACACACGCGCTGCCGCGATGTGTTCTTGTTCAAGATACTTTGTATGAAGTCTCTGCAAATCTGGCTTCCGCGTGGCAGCGTCTTCTAGTGTATCTCTATAGTTCTTGCCAATCCCAAAGTCGCGGCCCAAACAATATGACTTGTCATGAACTATCTTGTTGGCTACCTGAGCAATCATCTATTAATGAATCAACAAAGACAGTAAACCGACTCTCCCCCAATCCATAGTTTTCCTACTATGACATCTTCATACTCCCCACAGGTCTCCCTACGCTCGTCATGGATTTCTCATGCCTGTCTCTTAAAAGCCGCTACAAAACCGAAAAACAAGGCGAGGAGATCGGCGTTCCCAAAAGGTGCGTCGCGGACTCAAGGACCTTTTGCAAGGACTATACTGCTCTTAGCCCTTACGTGGCGTTTGTTTAGAATTTGGGACAGATTTGCACATAACTTCTGTTCTCTTCTCTTCTGTTCCGTTTCCCGATGCAGGATGATCTTCTCATTCGGGCAACTTCCGATACCCTCCGCCGTTTGGATGTGGCTACTTGCAAAATTACTCATTCGTGTTTTTATCTTTCTTGACGCCATAATTCTACTATTTTCGACTGTCTGTCGTTCCTGTCGGTGCAAACAGAAGTCAACCGAAAGGCTATAAAAATGGGGCCGAAAAAACAGTAAAGGTCAACAGACGAACACCTGAGTGCTCTCTTGTCCCTACCCAGACTCTCAAGTGCTCTTTCATAACCATGCTGTTCTCTCGTGTTATCTCTTTCTTCGCTTTTGCGGCTACCCTTGGCGGTCTTGCTGTAGCCCACGCAGTCCCCGAGAAACGCGACACGGCGTCCGTCCAACAGGCGGTTGCGAACCTCAAGTCCACCACTGACTCAATCGTGCCGCAGATCGGTGCGTGATATTGGCATACTGTCGGGTTCTAACCGCTGATAGTAATGTTCTTTAGAGAGCCTGATCGCGAACAAGAATGCGACGGAGGCGACAGTTGTCCCCCTCATGAGCGAGCTCATTACCGCGATTAACAATGCGCGCAAAGATGTTCTGTCCTCGCCCCCTGCCCTTGCGAAGCGCCAGAGTACGTCTGCGATTGCTAATGATGTTACCGCCGTCATCACAGTACGTATCTGCGCTAAATATTTGAGTCTGGGATTTATTAACTTGGGAAATGCTCATCGCAGGCCGTCACGAAGCTAGTTACGGATCTGAACACAGTGTTTGCGGGTGTTCCTATCCTTGGAACTCTCCTCCCAGAGCTCGACGTCGCACTTACCACGCTTCTTACCAGTCTTGCTTCTGTCGTGGCCGGTGTTCTCTCTACTGTTGTAGGCCTGTGCGTACACTTTATAGTTGGAATGATGTAACTGTGCTGATTCAACCTTTCAAGCTTGGGAACTGTCACTGGCCTTCTCGGTGGACTCGGTCTCACAAACTTGGGAGGTCTCCTCGGCCTATTGGGACTTCTTTGAGGCAGTAGCCGATGAAGGGATTTGCTTGGTGTTCAAGCAGTGAAACCAATTCAAAGGAGCTTAATAAACACGGCAATAAGAGTTAGGATTGTTAAGGAATTTTCAGGAGTTAGCGTTCTCGTTTCTTTGGACTGTTACTGAGGATATATTTTGTTTCGTGCGGTCAGATTGGTTCTGTTATATGGCCTAGTAGTCTTGAATACAGGTGCTAGGCTATGTCGCATAAAAGGGAAGTGCTGATCATGTGAGATTTCCAATTTGAAAGAAACGAAGATCCCGCGTGTTTTTAAAGATATCATTATCAAACTCCTTTCTTGCTATCGTACCCTGATGTCCAAAATCCTCTCGGTCAGTTACGACCTCAAGCCCCCAGCAGGGACTCAGATACCCGACTCTCACCAGCCGTCGAAGTCGCATGAGTATTCAGCCACACGTGGCGGATCGCAGCAAGAATTTTACAAGTCACTACGTGATGTCACACTGCAGGCAAAGGCACAAATTGGTGCGGATTTAACTGCATGGAGAGATGCGGTGGGGGCATTGGAAAATGCAAAGGAACCTAAGAAAGGACAGAAGGAAGATGACGACGATGACGAAGGAGAGGTCGAAGAATAATCTGTGTCAGGTCAAAATGTTGAACCCCATTTTTACAAGTCAGTGGACTGTTTATTCGGACCCAGACATAAGGAAGGAGTGATTAATGTTGATTTATGCAGCGAACATTGTAATTATACGCGAATAGCTGGAACATATCCCAAATATTCAATCGCAGATCAACTATTGCCTCTTCTCCTTGCCCCGCGGACGTTCCTTGATCACCATCTTATTACTGCCCTTTGGACCTTTTGGACCAGGACGCCTGGTACGCTTGCCCTTTGTGAGCCATCCCCAAATTGAACGTGGATGCTTGTTCCCCTTGGACTTTCCACGACCTCCTCCATGTGGGTGATCAACCCTAGATAGCAATTCAGCTACATTTGAATTTACGCGAAGATGTATTCTCACCTGTTCATTGCGGTACCTCGAACATGAGGTCTTCTGCCGAGCCATCGCTTCCGACCTGCTTTTCCTAGTGAACGATATCTATGTAGTGGATTGCTGACTTTTCCAATCGTTGCGCAACAGCTTTGTAGCACTTTTCGTACTTCGCCGCTTTGTAGTTTAACTTGTGTGTACCTCCCGTCTTCTTCGTGGGTTACGACCGTCGCGCTTGTACCCGCCGAGCGAACCAATGTCATTCGGCGGTCGGGAAAGAGCGAGATACAGTGGATCGGGGTTCCTGGTGGAATGAGCTTGAGAGGAAGAACGTTTCCGGTACGGACAGTGGCAGCTCGGAGTAAGCCGATAGTGAGGGACTGAGTAGTCGTCTGTTTTGAAGTTGTGCCATCCTCCTGTATTGCAAATGACGCATTCAAGTTCCCGTCAAAGCCTGGTACAGTTCCTTTGGGGATACCGTTCCTGAAGCTTTGTACAACGTCCCCAGCTCTGAGACCTTCAGGCGCGAGAATGTAGCAGTAGCGCATGCCTCCATTGGCATTTGCATCCCTTCCACGTATGAGTGCGATATGTCCTGAACGTCCGGGGTCATATTCTATGCGAATAACATCTTGAGGGCCCCCGTCGGCGCGCATGAAATCGACTGTACGTAACCGTCGTTTGTGACCGCCTCCACGGTGTCGTATAGTGATACGACCTTGGTTATTCCGTCCACCCTTCTTCCTTAGCGGAATAGTAAGAGCTTTTATTGGTCGGCCTGCCCATAGATGATCGTTAAGTGGTCGCCGAAGATGTCGGATACCTGGAGTTACAGGTTTGTATGTTTTGAAGAGTGCGGAGGTACGAGCAAGGGCTTCGTTGATGTTACTAGGCTGTGTTTCTGCAGCATAATGGCGCTTTAGACCAGCAATGCGCGAGAGCGAGGTGCTCGACGCCGAGTGCGTCCTCAATAGCTGCACGCCTGCTCTCGCAGCTGAAAACATGGCAGGAACACAGAAAACACGCGTGACGCGATCATGCCCAAATTGGGTGTGACGCGTCGCGTGACCTCCGCTTTCTTTGAAACGCCTACTGCACAAGTTGACCTTTAACTATCATGGTGAGTCCTCATTTGAAGTTCAGTAAGGAGTTTAAAATCGTATTGAGAATGCTCATAGGCTACCCAAATTTCTACTGGAACCGCTGAGCTGCGGGACATCACCAAAATCGAGCGCATTGGCGCTCACTCACATATTCGTGGACTAGGTCTTGATGAAAGGTTAGAACCTCGGGCTAATTCACAAGGCATGGTTGGCCAGGGGAAGGCGAGAAAAGCAGCGGGAATGATTCTGAAGATGATCCAAGAAGGCCGTATAGCTGGTAGAGCTATACTTTTCGCTGGCCCACCTTCAACCGGGAAGACTGCTATTGCTATGGGTGTGTACTTCTTTTGCTTGCGACGCGACGCGTAATTTGTCATTTTAACGCGTAGAATAGGAATGGCGCAGGCCCTCGGATCTGATGTACCTTTCACGATGATTGCTGCTAGCGAAGTCTTCTCGCTTTCCATGTCCAAAACTGAAGCGTTGACGCAAGCCTTCCGAAGAAGTATTGGTGTACGAATCAAAGAGGAAACAGAGATTATTGAGGGAGAGGTTGTCGAAATACAAATTGACAGAAGCTTAACTGGGGTAGGTTTGTCGTTTTGTGTTAAGGTTTCAAAGTTCTGACACTGCATATGTCAGGCCACCAAAACTGGAAAGCTAACAATCAAAACAACCGACATGGAGACAATCTATGACCTCGGGACAAAAATGATCGATGCGTTATCAAAAGAAAAGGTTCTCGCTGGAGACGTGGTTTCGATCGACAAGGCATCTGGTCGAATATCGAAACTCGGTCGCTCGTTTGCTCGTTCGAGAGACTACGACGCCATGGGTGCTGATGTATGTGTCTTCACCGCGGCCCAATGTGTATTTAAACTCATGATGGCTGTATTAGACGAAATTTGTGCAATGTCCCGAGGGCGAGTTACAAAAACGCAAAGAGGTTATACACACGGTATCGTTACACGAAATTGACGTGATAAACAGCCGAACGCAGGGCTTCTTGGCTCTTTTCGCTGGAGACACTGGGGAGATCAAGCCTGAACTCCGGAATCAAATCAACACAAAGGTTGCAGAATGGAGGGAAGAAGGCAAAGCAGAGATTATACCTGGTGTAAGTGTTCTGTTTCTTGTTTGACTTCCAATATTGACGCGCCATTAGGTGCTATTCATCGACGAAGTCCACATGCTTGACGTTGAATGTTTCTCATTCTTAAACCGTGCGTTGGAAAACGAGCTCTCCCCGCTGTTCATCATGGCGTCAAACCGGGGGATGAGCCGTGTTCGTGGAACAAAAATCAAGAGTCCACATGGGTTACCAGTGGACCTGCTAGACCGTGTTCTAATCGTGAGCACGAAGCCTTACGCCGAAGAGGATATAGAGCAAATTATCAAAATTCGGTAAAATCGGTTCATATATTTCTTTGCATAGCAATTACTCACCTGTCCGTCCTTCTACTGGTAGATGTCAAGAGGAAGACGTAACCTTGACTGCAGACGCACTCAATGTCTTAACTTCCATGGGCAAGCAGACAACACTCCGATATGCTTTAAATCTTATCTCATGCGCACATGTTGTTGCCACCAAGCGTAAAGCAGAGCGAGTTGATGTTGAAGACTTGAGGCGAGCTTATACGTACTTTATGGACGAAAAGCGCAGCGTGCAGTGGATGGAAGAACAGCAAGGTCAACTTCTTTTCGAGGATATAGATGGGGGGAACCCAAAGACTGGTACTGGTCTGGGCGACGGGGGAGCCATGGAGGAGGATTAGAATGTACAAATGCAAATGTCCCGAAAGGTGTATTTGTGTAGCTTTGCCTTATCATCGAGAACGTCGTGGGTGAGATGCGACTCTCATTGATCGATACTCCCACGTTACTCAGCCTGTTTAACTTGTTTTCTGACACAGTTCTTGCACTGCATTAATATTGTCATTATTAACTGACGTCATTCCGTCTTGTTCTAGCCTAGATTTGTTTTCTTGGCGAACTTTGGGTATATTTTGAAACAAGTTGTAGTTCTCACTAATCGCCTGGTTCTGACGAATGAAAAGGCGCGGAATAGTGAGTCTATTCTCACATCTTCCGAAACTCACGTGTTAGCTGGGTCAGCACTCAACTGAACTTGATGATATCATGATCATACCCACGAACCGGTCGAGCATTTTTACTCAAGAGGAAACCTCGGCGACTTCTCTGAGATCACAATCGCTTGCTTTCCACATCTCTATGCTGTCTCTGTCAACTCTCCCTGCTACCTTGTTTTTAGACTGTGCAACTCCGTGAATCTACCGCCATTTATCCAACGATTCGGTGCATTCCGTCCCATGGAATTGGTTCTACCGCTGTTTGTAGAGACAGAGCATTGGTAACGTGGTACTATCCTTGTTTGACAGTGCTGCCGAGGTGCAACTCTTTTAACCAGGTACTGGCAAACCACTGGCGTTTTAGCTACTCATTTTCGGTGTACCTGCTCTGGAGGGGCCTCTTCACCGGTTGCACTAAGTCGTGTGATCCTCGCTTTTCGATTGTACTGTAGTATTCAGGATTGAATTACTGCGGAAAGAACGTCGGAGCGGAGCCGGTGCGAAAGAATCCCGTATTTACTCCGCGAGCTGTTTATGCATCTCTTTTCCGAACTATCCGCGCTTACAGATGATAAATTTAGACTATAATGACGCTGAAATTGCGGCTCCGCTAGCCTTGTGAGCATGCCGAAGTAGGTCTGAGTTGAATCGCTACCGCTACGGGGATCGGCACCGCTCGAGTTCGAACTGCATGACCTCCTAACAAGGCAAACCGAGGTCGTGGCGTTGCTACTCGTCTCTGTTCGGAATGCGTTGGCTGTTTTGCTTTGTTGCTGTGGTTTATCCACGTGTTATGAATTACATGGCACACGACGGACCGGAGGGGAATGTTGAATACTTCCTACTCCTATATGTATGGAGCAAAGCATCTGAAGCCTGCTAAGAGTCCCCGTACTCAATCCGAATTTCGACCATATCTTTCCGCTCTTTTTCCTGCCCTCTACCACCATAATCGTACGTCCTCTCAGCTGTTGTTCTCTAACATTGACGAGAAGGGATATGGCTGATGCTGGATAACAGGTTTCTATCGTAAACGGTCCTCAAGAGATGATCCGGAAATCCGTCAAGAAGAGTCTGAACGCCGTTATCTCTGGTACATTCAGACGAGTACGTCTTGATTCTTCCTATTCGTCTTTAGCGATATGCTTATGAGATAACCAACAGCGAGAGAACGTCAATTCTGACGAAGTGACGCTGTCTGGAAGCTCTTCCGAATGTAGTACTCTGGTACATCGCTTTATGCTCTACGGAAGCGTGTGCCCCGTTAACCTCTCGCTTATAGGTTGACTTCATCATCGATGAGCCCGCCGAAACACACGAACCAGAGTCCGATTCGACTGTGAGTGTTTGGCTCTGTCAGTTAACGTCGATATATAACTTACTCGTTTTTCAGAACGAACTGCTTGAAGATGATAATCAAGCATGGAACTCGCCAGGACCATGGTCTTTACCTACAGTCCCTCGGCTTCCTTTGAGCGCTCCTAGGATGACTCAGTGGTCAGATAGCCAGGTGAATGATCATTATTAAATGAGGTGTATGCATATTCTAACACTGCGATATCATCTAGATAAGTTTGCTCGACGAAGAGGAGTGCAGTTTCGTTATGCCTCGTAGTCGTACGCGACTATCGGGAGGCCGGAAGAAGACCTCATTCAACAAGAGATCTAAACCGTCGTCGAAAGCATTGGCCCCATGTCTACCGGTACGTCTGAGCGATGTGAGTTAATCGTGCCGATAAACTAACAGATAAATGTCTAGATTGATCTACTAGAACCGGAGGAACAATCTTGGATGTAGATGTCGGTGCTCGGACTCGACAGGAGTATCTCTATCTGAACAATCTATTTTGGGATTTGCGGAGATTAATTATTTAGTCATATTACTTAAAGCTTTAACAATGTAATTTGCACTTGAACAATTCTTGCACATCTAAAGATATATAAGAAAAGTGGCCCCTTTGTTTGAAAGTGCTCTACTACAATCTGGGAGATGATTGTGAATTCTTACTGCTGGATATTGATTGGCATCTCGTAGCCGGAAGTGTTCATAATGTTCACATAGCAAATGATATTTTGTACTCTGAAGGCTAATTATACCAAGGAAATTTGATTCGAACAGATTAGTTTACCTATACCGGATAAACAATCAGTCAGGAGAGAGCCTGCAGAGCTAAATTGATACTGTTGTATTGCGTAAAATTTATAGCAGCTAGATACTGTCTGTCTTAATCATTGTCGAGTACACAAGAAACACTACTAAGTTGGATAACTTCGATACATTTGTACATGCTATTCAATCCCGTAGGCAAGATTCTCAGATGACGAACTTAAGTACTATTCATGGAAATTAGCCTTTTGCAAACACCCAAAGTCAGACATCGCGACGCTTCATGCCCACACGACATGTAAGCGGCTTTCGTATGAAGCCCTCATGTGTCTCGAGCTGTTATCACAGTTTGAATGAAAACGCATTAGATTCGATTATAGTGGAGCACCTCACCGGCTTATCGGGCTCTTCGAGCACAAGTTCATACCGATAGAAGATGGACGCAATGAAGATATGCAGTTCTAGCAGGGCTAGATTGCGTCCAACGCACGCCCTATATCACACGTCAAGTCAGTCGGTCCATGAATACTATTCAGATTGCTGAATGCTAACCTTGGTCCGATTGAAAATGTATTGAGTGTCTTCGACATGGCAGAATGATCGCCTTCAAGCCACCTCTCCGGTCGGAATACGTCCACATCTTCACCCCAAACCTTAGGGTCGCGATGAATAGTATACGTTGGCACGCTGACAATAGTACCTTCCGGGAACCATTTCCCGCTTATAGTGAGACCGCCTTCCGGAACTATGCGTTGCAGTCCAAGAGCCGCTGTTGAATACACACGCTGGCCTTCGTTAAGCACCGCTTCGAGATAAGGCAAGTTCTTAATCTGAGCGTATGTAACAACGGGATCCTCCATGTCTTTACCAAGTGCATCGTCGAGTTCCGCTTGGAGCTTCGCTTGGACGCATGGGTTTGAAGCGATATGATACGTTATTCCACATGAAGTGCTGTGAACACACAAGAAATCGGTCAATTAACGTTTACTGTGCGTAGAATTAGATACCCACTTTGCAACAGTGTCTGATCCTGCGACGAGTTGGGTTATTCCATCCGTGGTAAGGTCCTCCCTACTTTGAGGGTTTCCGTTCTCGTCCTTGCTCTGCTGAAGCTTACTCAAAATATCTACTCGCTCAGTCGGGAATACCAAACGCTTCGCCACCGCTGCAACGGCGAATCCAATGAATTCATCCGAATGCTTGGCCATTTCCGCGTATTGCGGCAGAAGCGCTAAGAGGGGACGCAGGGGCTTCGGAAAAGCAGCCTGATGAGAGGCCAAAAAGGTTCGATCGTTTAATATCTGCACGGCGGGTACTTCTTTGACCTGGATAGCTGGTTTTTCTAAATCTTGTCCGTCTATCCCCGCCTGACCATATTGTGCTATTGCAGCTTTCAGGTCTACTGCGACTGGTGCAGCATCCTTTCCTTTGCGAATCATGCCAAATGGTGCGCCGAATGCCAAGTCACCTGTGCGGTGGGGCTAAGTAAGGTAACAGTCAAACGAAAAATAAAAAACACACCAATGATATCAAACGTCAGATAATTAAACCAGGGCATAATATTGAACCATACGCGCCCCTGACGTCCATTCCAGCCTTCGCCTTCTACGCCCGAAAGTCCTCTCTTGCCGCCGTCATATAGCTTGTCCCATTGCTCGAAAAGTTCGGTAAGATGGAGATGGATGTATGGCTCGAAGTCTATGACACTTTTCGGTGAGAAAATATGAGAGATGGCCTTGCGTTTCCATGCGTGAAACGCTCTGTCACGAGTACTGAAGATGCTCGGTCGAAGGCCCTTGAAGGCGTCATAATAGTCCGATTTCATCAAGCCTTTACCGTGGCCATAGATTGTCTGGAGCGCATCTGGGTCGCTGATTGAGACATGGTTGGGCGATAGCCTTACGAATGTACCTACATTGTAGATATTTTAGTACATATGAACGCGCGTGAATTGATATACGGAAGAAGCTTCATTGAGAAGCGAAGTTCTGCATAAAATCCCCACTGTGCAGGTATGATACTCACCGAATTTCTTGTGCAAGTCGTGGACCACTTGAGAAAGATGCCCACGAGTTGCATTCCATCCGAACCAGAGGCTAGTGAGACTGGCTAAAAAGGGTCCCCTCACCTCATTTCTTCGGATCCAATAGGGATCAATGAAGTAGGGAACCACTAGTAGAACGAGAACCGCGGCGGGAAGAAGACAGAAATACCAGGGACTGATATTTGAAATCATCTGCATGGTGTTTAAATCCATATTTCTTTCAAGTGTGACGAGAGGAGCTAAAGAGAGGTATCACGTATTTTGAGGAGAATTCCGTAGTACACATACTCCTTTTTATACAGCCGGCAAACGGAACAAAATTCCCAAGAGTAGAAGTTTAGAAGCGTCACCAGATTCAATGGTTCCTGCTCACACAGGTCTGCCGGACAGTAAAGAAGCGGTCTGAGTCAGCTCAGCCCAGTAAATCTTCAATATTGTTTCCAACGGCAGCAAGATATGGGCATAAGGGTGCGATTGCAACGGACACGACTCAGAAAATGACATGGCTAAACAAATAGCGCGAAGCAGTTTGAGTCTATGAGCAGATAGTAAGTAGATGCAAATGATCACGTGCTGGAGCGTTTTATCTCGGACATGACATTTCAAAGCTCTGATAGCACTGGAGCTTAAGCGGGCTTCGTCGGTCGTGTCAGTTATTTCAAGCCAATCCGCACTAGTTTTCGATCATGGTCTCCCACGATGAGCTGAGAGTTAGTCAGTAGCTTACCAGGGCATAACACAGCATTGCAGCGAAGCTTGATTTGTGGTCATACAAAGCTAACATTAGCGCCGTGTTTCGATGGACAATGAGCATGCAAGGGTCGGAAGCAGACTCGTGATCAAAAAACGGTTTGCTGGTGCATATTTATATGTATTTACATGTATGTACAGATATCAAACCCGATAAGGATGCGTTGATCATGGCCAAACATCAGCAAAATTTGCTTTCGCCTGCCTCTTACTCTCGTCCAACACCGTACTTGCCAACAATGAATGGATTCGGGGGTCTCTGACCCCACCCTCTCGCTTCATCCAACATCTTATAGACTATAGACGATACCCAACTTTCGCGATAGACATATAGACGCTTTATAGACTTATAGATTCGGAAGCTTTCGACTTGCGGCTTCGGCAATTTAGATAACAGTATGAACGACTTTAATCCATCTGGGTTTCTGTTTCCGTTAGCTCGCCTCTGTGAAACATCAACTGCGATCGTTGAAGATGCTATGGAAAAATTGGCGTTAATTTATTCAAAGGGCGACGATGCACAACTTTCATCTGGACGCCACAGCGATGGACGGGCTGAAGGGTCACTCGCTCACCTCGATGCAAGTCTCCGTTCCAGCATAAGGTGGAGGAACATCAAACAAGTGAAGGAAACTGTGGTCGATTCTGGTTATGCATCCGCAGAAGAGGACGAGCCCGATGATGACGGACGGGACGAACCACTCTCCGAGACCCTGCAAACAGTCCGGCATGATTCGTTTGAGCGGGAACTTACTATTCGCTGGTTGACGGGCTTCATCTCCCGTTCTTCGTCATGGATGCTCCCCAATGACCAGGAACTACTAGATGACGAACTGGAGGAAAGGGAGGTTTTAATAGAGAAAGCCGCCTCACTTCTCTCTTCTTGCGCCAACATCAACGAGGTCGACGACGAAGCTCTCTCGCGTAAATTCAAATTTCCTTTGGGTCCGGCCGACGCTGGAACTAACATATGTGTGGAACTGAATGACTTGCAGGCAACGGAGGATCATAGTTCCGTCGGGCTACAAAGTTGGCCAAGTTCGATTTGTTTCGCTCGGATGACGTCGGAGAATCCAGCGGGTTTTAACATTGTTTCAGGACGGACACGTCGTGTCCTCGAGCTTGGTGCGGGAACAGGCATGCTAAGCATCGTAACTGCAAAAATCTGTCGTGCATTGAGCGGGGGCAAGCCCTTTGGATTCCCACAAATCGTCGCGACGGACTACCACCCGGATGTACTTTTAAATCTTAAGAGGAACGTCGAGTCGAATTTCGCTTCCGACACGCACCTTCCGGTAGATGTTTACCCGTTCGACTGGCAACATCCATCCTGGGAACATCCCTTCGACGCGCCGTACGACCTTATTCTCGCCGCAGACGTGATATACGAACCAGAGCACGCAGGATGGATCAAGGACTGCGTATCACGTCTGCTCAAGAGGCCCTCTCCATCCTACCCTGAAGGAGGCGTCTTCTGGATGTTCATTGCCTTGCGCAATATCGGGCGACGCGAGGGGCTCGCTGCTAAGGTTTTTGACGTGTTCCCTACTCTCGATACGGAGTTGGTCAAGTCTTCCGACGAATTGTCCTTGAAAGCTGTGCAAGTCCGTGACTTGGAAAGGAGTGAGGGTATTGGAAGGAAAGACGAGTCGGGATACAGGCTTTTTAAGATTCGTTGGGCATAACTGGTTGCTTTCCTTATTTTTCTTGGATGATCTTACAGATAATACGTCGCAATAATTTCCATGTGCACTTCGCGAGTCTGACAACCTTAAAATAATATACTAATATACTAATCATACCATGGATTGGCTCCTATTATGAGGAGATTTTTCTCTACAAGAATAGCACATAAATAAAAAAACAAAGAACATTGCGCTTCAGCTATACAAACCCAAATGCGGTGGTATGGTGGGGTTGAACACTATGTAAAAAATGTGCAGTTGTTTTGACAGCATCTACAGAAGAGAGAAAAAATTGCAGGGAAGAAAATGAATTTGATTTGGCATCAGTCAGGTTTGACTGTTGGATTTGCGTTTTGTGTAATACCATCGGTTCGTTATTAAGGCTGGTCCGTTTTGATAGCATGTCATCCGCGTAGTGTGCTAAGGCCGCAAAGAGCCAAAGCGGCGTCCAAGGTCTCCTTGTCGTTATCCATATCGTCATCTCCGACGTGTTTTGTTTTGTCCAGAGCCATTCTAACAGTATTTTCATCGTCTAAGGTCGTTCTGTCGTCTCCGGGGTTGTCAAGAACCTGAGTAGTTGATGGCTGATACGTGAAGTCGTTGTGACTGGCATCAGGTGTAATGGCCTCGTGACTATCGACAATACTCTCCATCTCTGTGTCAATGATCTCTGTACTAGCGTCGTCGTCGATGCTCCGAGCTTCGTCTGTGTCGATAAAAACAGATGATGGTCGTGACAAAGGTTCGTCTAGTTCTGTATCCTCGTCATCTTTGTCTACTGTCATTCGGGCAGCTGCACAGGCCCATTCGAGAGAACGCCGTCCTTTCGATCGACTTCCACGCCTTGCGTTTCGAGTCGAAGCAAAGTCAAGTAGGTCACGCGCCGAAGGAGATTCCGGATGGGAGTTACTGGGCTTATCATTGCCTTCGGGCTGGATCGGCGAAGAGAGCATAGATTCCCATAATGCCTCGGGAGAACGGGAACGGGATTCATGTACAGAAACGTGCCGGATGAGTTTTGTGGGAGTTCGCGGAACACGCTCAGTCCGAGATGCAACGCGGTCTAGGGAGAGAAAGCCGCTTGCAGTACGCGATGGGAGTCGATGCTTGTTCTTGGGCTGTGACGCGGAAGGGTGTAATAATGCTGAGTTAGAGCGACTTAATGGGTCCGTTACTGAAACTTGCTGTGTGGATTGTTGAATGGGATACATTGCGAGAGGCAGTGGAGCGTTATGGCTTAATGAGTTGTTGAGTGCCATTTTACGCTCCATTTGTCGTTTGTTCTGGAACCAGATTGTTACGGACTTCACACTCCTATTGAAGTGACGCGATTAGTGAACGTAAGTGTGGTTGAGCATAATAATTGACTCACATATCAGTTTGTTTGGCTATTTCCTCGCGTTCGTCACGCGTCGGATGGCTCGACTTATGGTATGCCTGCTCAAGCACGACGAGCTGATCCTGTGAGAAGCGTTTCCGAGTACGCTTCGTTTCGGAGGATTGAGACGCAGTGGGTTGTGTCTCATTATCTGCTTCACCAGTGAGTTCAGAGAGAGAGCTGAAGCTAGAGGTTGAAGATAGGGAGCAAGTCCGAGAGATCGAGGGACGCGACATGGGGGGTGGAGAGAAGGAGATGAGGCTCGCGGAAGGGAGCAAAATACCGGGGCAATGTTCTGTCACGCTACAGGCAGACGCGTCCTTTTGTCGCGTCGCGGATTCGCGTCGAACAAGCCACGTGATCCCCCTCATTAGGTTCCGTTAATGTGCCTTATAAGGTCTGTGTGTTTCTCTTTTTCATTCCCTCGCGGACTGAATCCCACTAACGTTGCTATCATTTCGGTTCTATGCTCACTATGAGTGGACTTCGTCATTAGTGCTTGATCTTCTGCATCTGAGATTTGAGTCAGTCGAACTCGAGTTGCTCTTCCACGTTCATTAGTATCATTTATTACAATGTTGTAAACCTACGCGCCTCGACCAAAGATAGGCCTTTCAGAGCGACGGTATAGTATCCGTTTGATACAAAGTTGTTCCTATACAGTAGAGTGGATGCATTCCATTTGTGTGATATGGTAACATGTATGGACTACCGGCCCAGCGTTAACCGACTGGAGAAAGTACAGAAAACGCGATGACTTAAGTCGAGCACTCAGACACCCAGTCATTATTTTCTGCTCTGCTTTTGGCACAAGCCAGTGTGGGTGAATGAACAGACTTGTAATTTGACATGAGAGCATGAAGAAAAAAAGTTCGCTATGCCTTCATCATCAAAGACTGGTGTCGAGTTCCCACGATCCCACGATCCCACGATCCCACGTGCCTCTCGTTTTGTTTCGTGGACGCAGTCTTTCTTTCCATTGCGCGTTCCACTTGCTCCCCTGCCTCCTGTTCTACGCCAAATGGCGCGCTTCAAAGCTTTCGCAAGCGATAGTGACGATGATGGCTCATCTGCCGAATCTTCGGCACACGCAATGGAGTCGAGAAAAACTAGGAATGGAATACCTAGACGCTCTTTGTCGGCTGCATCGAGTCGGCCATCCTCACCATACACGGAAGGCAGCATTCATGATGACCTCTACGTGACGGACGAGGATGAGGACGACGACGACGACGACTCAGTTATGGACGATGAGGATGAAAATATTGCTGACCGTATGGAGGAAGAAGAAGAACCGATTCCGTGGGCGAAGCAACTTAATCTTGAGCCTCACAGGGTTCATGTCATGCAGACATCGCTGTTTCGCGTGCCAGAACTATCAAAACCGGAAACAAAGGATTCATTCTCTTTTCTGAAACACCAGCGACCCTCCGATGTGCACAAGGAACCACAAACGCGAAATCGCACTTCGTTCGCACAGCCGCGCTCGAAACCACCTCCACGAAAATACGCGCGCATTTCATTGTCAGAATCTGTCAGTGCTAAACGAGAGAACATGTTTCTCGATGCGGGTTTAAGCATGGGTCGCTCATTTCGGGTAGGATGGGGTCCAGGTAACAAGCTAGTACATGTAGGGCAGTTAAGTTCTGGGGCTTCGTCGTAAGTCTCTTTTGACGTTATTAGATGTCCTGTCTGTTTATCAGTCTCTTTCAACTTTATAGATCAAAGCTCGGGAACTCTTCTGAAGTCGGTCTCACGACTCTTCGAGTTGCACAGACAAGTTCCCCGGATTTGCTGCAGCACCTCCTTTCTCATTCAGAGATTGTGGCTCCTTCAGTTGAAAACGGCAACACTCCGTACGCAACACTAAGGGCCGCTGTCTCATTCTCCTCCTTCTCGTCTCTTTTCACCGCCCAAGACAAGTCGCATTGTGCTTCCGTTTTTCGATTAGGCCATGCGCTCTTCGATCCTCTCGATTTGCATTTGCAGGAAGACGCTCCTGCCGATGTACGAAATCGTATCTCAGCGCTTCGTCGAGTAGACGCCTTGTCTGCGTGGCTGTCCAGAACAGTATCATCATCGGTTGAACAAGACATCAAGGCTGTCGCATCTAATGATTCTGCTCAAGTGGCCTTCTTGTATTTAACTGGGAATCAAGTCGAAAAAGCTGTCGAAGCTCTAATGAACGGAGGAAATGTTAGACTCGCTACAATTATATCCCAAATACCCGGAGATGCTGAGTTCCGCGAAGATATCCTCGAACAACTACAAATCTGGAAAGAGGAAAAGGAGGACGCGTTCATGCGTAATTCGATTCGCAAACTATATGCGCTAGCTGCAGGAGAAGTCGATGTATTAGAAGGGAGCAGCTGGAGAGAGAATATTGACGTTCCAAAAGATCTTGATTGGTTACGGGTTCTCGGGTTGCAGCTCTGGTACTCGAGCTCATTAAATACGCCGCTACGAGAAACCTTCGGGGTTTATGAACAAATTGTTCAGGCGGCCCATGGGAGGGTGGGATTCCCAAAACCGTTTTATTCCACATCAACCTCTGGCGCATCCGAAGCGAAGGACGGGCTCTTCAACCTCATGAAACTATCGGTATCTTCTTCAATGACCCTAGAATCCGCTCTTGACCCAGTGAGCTTTTCTTCCAACCCGCGTGATTTCCGGATGTCATGGTTCTTGTATATTCTTCTCGCACGCTGCCTTCGGGTTCGCGATTTCACGGACCGCCAGCTATATGATGCGATGGAGGATGACACGATTACTACACAGGAACTTGAGGGGTACAGTCAGGTGGCAAACGCCCTGACGACGAACTTTGCCGCACAGTTGCAACAAGAGGGTCTTGTTCAAGAAGCAGCATATGTGCTTTTATTCCTAGAAGATGACGTTGGGTGAGGACTCTGCGTTCTAAAAGGGCTTACTTCTGCTAATTGCGCGCTGTTAGTCGTAAACGCGCAATTAAGGAGCTGTTAGCTCAATCAGCCCCTTTATTAAATGAGTACACGACACAGGGGCTGCATGGTAGTTTACGAATACCGATGGAGTGGATTGATGAGGCAAAGGTGCGGCGAAGACATGCTTGCCATTTTCTCGACTCATCACAAGCGACAGGCTACTCATGCGTTCTATTCGGGTGACGTATATGGAGCATATGAGCTTTATAGAGATGCGATGGCGCACCGCGCTGCTCACGAACTTGCAATTACTTACTTGGCTCCGGAAGCAGTATTGAGAGATGAGCTTGGTGTCCTCAAACGTCTCTTTGCTTCACTTGATGCGAGTCTCATAGACGATTTTGGAGTCGGGGGTCAGGTACGGATTTCGGTTGTTGCTAGACCTTGTTCATATGATTTATTCTTGCGCCTTCCTAGCTATTCATTGACTATGCTCGTATCGTCTCACGGGTTCCCAAGCTAAAGAGTAACTCATTGGCGGCGGACGCAGTGCCTGACGTGGCTGAACAATCCGAACTGGAGGCGCTGACTGGTCGAATACCACAGCTCATCGGAGTATTGCCGGATGTTCTCCATGACAAACCTGGTACGGATGATCAATGCAAAGCGGCCTTGTCGCACATGCTTTCCAGGCTACTGGAATGCGTCGATCCGAGTTCACCGGTGCGTTTATCTCCGTTTGAGTTGGTAGCATCAAACGCGTGTTTGATACTCATCAATATATCAGATGAAGGTCGAGATTCAACCAGGGTTGGTTGACGAGGGCGCGACGATAAAGCACATCCATGCTTCCGCGTACGGAAGTTTCATGAGAACAATAGCAGAGCTGGCATGAAGTCGACTTGGTGGTGTGACCAATTTGTTTGGGATCCATTCCTTATTCAAAGTCTGGATGTCTCTCTTTTACATATAGTTGTAGCATTCTTCGTTCTTCAAATATTCTGTCTTCGAAACATTCCTGTCTGTTGTTGTGTCATAAGAACATGAGGCACCTGGCCGGACAGGGAAAGTGTGCCTTGGGAGACAAAAGGAGAATTGATGTGAGCAGGCCAAGTTAGCCGTCCCCCACATGTTCCCTAGCAACTGCGATTCGTGAACGCTTTTTGTCCAGCGTCCCGGCTTCGGCTGCGCGAGGACGGGTTATCCCTGAGATTACAACGGCTGAATTGCCTTAGCATGCGAGCGACGCCTCGTCGACCCTCGCGTGTTTTTCGCTACCTATATTATATGTACCAATGCATCTCCTCTCCTTTTACCCGTGCGCTCTTCTTTCGTCGTGTTTCTCTCGTTTTTGCCTTGACGATGCCGTACAGCGGTCCGATTTACTTCGAGGCAGTTGAATGTTCGCCTACGTGTTTCAGATGTCCCCCTGCCCTGGCGTCGTCGTCTTGTTTACACTCCAGCCTTCACGAGGCAAACGCGAGTCCCAGCTTGGTCGAAGCAGAGGCGTTTGAGTGGACGAGAGTAGATTCTTTGACAGTAGGAATAGACCCACTGACAGGTTGTCGAAGACTCCAACCGAGGAATGTTTCACGCCTGGTATGTCCGTCTTAAACTCATATGCACTCACAATCTCCGCGTTCATATCACCTGTTTCTGTTCGCGATGGGGGAATGTATTGAGCTGATGTTGGACGCTTATAGAATGACGTCCACGGCCCGCTTCTTTCGGGTTCCAGATCGTTTGACCTCCATTCTGCCTCTGCCTACACACGGGCGATGACAAGACGCAGTGACGCAGGAAGTGAGTATAGTGTCAGAATCTGAAGCATAAGAGCCAAGGCATGCTGATCAAGCACGCTTTCTTTTTTAAAATCCTTCTCCCTCGTTGCTCTCCGTGTACATAGCTACCGAAATGACGCCGATTAGCCGTTCGTGGAAGTCAAGAAGCGCAGGCGTTGCTCAGCCTGGCAAAATCAGGGAACGATCACGGTCCAAGGTTTCTTCCTCGAGCGCTGTGGTATCACTATCCGAGGCTTCGACTCACCCTGATTCACTGCCTGTCTCCTATCTTCCAACCCACAAGCGCACCGGCGATCATGCGTTCGACACGCACAATAGGATATGGAGCTGGGTTTCGGGTGTGGACAGAGGGCAGCAGCCGTTGCTAGATCACTCGGTGCCTCTACCATCGGACTCTAACCTTCAGTTTCCGTGCGACGTGGGCGTGGACCCAGACTTATATTCACCAAGAACAGTTGCATCATCTCTATCTGCCGCTGAGATGTCTTCACCTGGTTCATCACGGAGCAGTCCCCTTCCTGTACAGCGCATCTCACACGTTCACTCTGCATCTCGAGCGCCTGATCGTCTCACTCAACGATCCATAAATGATTGGCAGCATATGATGGACGAGCCTGATTCATTTTTAACATCTTCACCCTGTCCCTCCTCTTGTTCATCCTCCATGGGCTTTGCGTCCACCTTACCTAGGGAGCACTCAATGCCGGACGAGACCGTGTACAGGAGTCTTCTGGACAGATGGTCGGAGTCGGAAGAATGGAGGATAGAGGAGGACCAACGAAATGACGAACAAATGTGGGACGTAAATCCCGAATATAATGTCGACACATACCCTCGATCAGCAACATCGTCGTCAAACCATTCCGACGTCGAGACGCACCCCATTAACGCCTTACCAATTCTCCTTGACCAACATGGATTTTCAACATTACTCTCACAAAGTTTCGCACTTGCCCTTGCGGATGCTTCCCTGGACGAAAATGACAGCTTTCAAGCTTTCAAGCGCACTGCGGCCGCGGATGCCGAGATGGAAGAAGACAACGTGTCGCATATATCCTACCCAGCGCATCTTCAGGACTTCGACTTTATGGATCAATGGTCCCCACCGGCACTCCGCTCGTCCTCTTCTGCTTCTTCACTGGACCCCTTTCAACTGGAGTTGTTCTCGCCGACGACGGAGCAACCTGATCCTGCGGCGATCTGGAGTGCCCGTCGTTCACCAGCGACTTCGTCGGAATCACTTGAATTCTTTTCAACATCACCTTTTGTAGGGTGGTCATCTACTTCGGGAACGGAGGCAAAACCAACCTTACTCACGCTCGGCCATATGCATAAATCGACGCCATTCGCCGACATTCCTCTATACCAACCCCAACCAATTCGGCCCATTCCTCCCATAGACATTCCCGTCAATCCTTCAGACGAGTTTCCAGAAAGGGATTACTAGCACACGCATACAACGCAACGTGGACTAGTTATACGCCGACTTTCCCGGGTATCAGGTTTCCGTTCTGTTTTTACCCTTTCATTTGCCTTCGTTCGTCGCGCGTTGCGTTGTCAGCTGTCGTTGTCGCTCGTTGATTTGTTCCTGTTTTTCGTTTTTTTCTTATTTTACCACGGCACTATACGGTCACTGACTACTGTATGCTTCTTCGAGTTCTTACTCTGCTGTTACTCCACTCTGTTCTCATTCTGTTCTCAATGTTGATATTCCTGGATAGCCGATTCGGAATTTGTTGTTGTTCAACCTGTTGATTTACTATAAATGTACATACATGATGTAGATGTCGCATGTTGTTGCTGCTGTTGTACACTGCATTATTATTAGAACCTGCATATCACATCATCTAATTGTTGGTGTATAGTATTTGTGATATGAACAATATGAACATCTGGTACGTACGAAACAATCATACAAGAGGCGCAGGATCAATATCTGATTATTTTGATTATTTTCTCTACCAAGAAAATCGGTGGCAAACTTTGTGTTTAACTTTAAGGCACACAGCAAGGACGGATGATCGCGGGAGTTTCACTTCGGTCTGAACGCCGATCATTGATGTGCATTACGAAGCATTCGGGCCGAGGCAGGTACACGGTTAAATGAATGCATGGAGGTTCTCACCGCAGGTCAAGTATGTGGGAAGCTTGGCCCGACATACGTCGGCATTTGCTGCGCTTTCCACACGTCGACAACGCGCGCTTGTTGTTGTGCTCTCTCATGGCTAGCCGAGTCGTACGATAGTTATACCTTGATTCTTGTCTCCACCAGCCTCGACGCTGCCAATAAAAACAAGTAACTGGTCAAGCTAAGTTGCTTTTGAGACACTAGGGATAACGGCAGCCGCCACAATGGGATTATTATTCATGGACGAGGTGTTCCGACGCCAATTTTGGGCGCTCTTCGTGAAGAACTGGATAGTCCTCTCGAAGCATCCTTTCGTAAGTTCAGTCCGTTATTGACGTATGTAATGCTTCGATAATGATGATGCCGTGTTTCAGCTTAATCTACTGAGATGCTTTTTAATGCCTATTGGATATGGAATATTCCTCGCAGTCGCTCAGTTGTTCCTAACAAAGCCGAACAACGTACGTCTCTTTATCCATGCACGGTAATTCCAATCACTGACGACTAGTTCATAGTACGGTATCGGTCAACCTGCTGTGATCGGAAATCTCAAAGACAAAATCGACGGCTCCCTCTCGTTGTTCTGGGCAGATGGCACAAATGGAACAGGCACGCCCTCACCTCAAGATATAATGTCCCGTGTCACGAGCGGCTTCTCGAATTCGCAAATGCAAGTCGTCCACCAAGTTGCGACACAAGCCGACATCGTGCAAGCTTGTCCACAGAACTTCAATTTATTCTCGGAGTGCTTTGCTGCTGTGTCCTTCGACTCATTCCCATCTTCATCGTCATCGGGGAATGCCAGTGCGACGCTGAATTATACTATCTTCGTGGATGGTGGATTGTTCCATATTGACGTTGAGAAGCATACGAGTGACTATGAAGAACGTGTGCTTCCGCTACAATGGGCAATTGACTCGGTGTGTAAATTTGTGTCACCATTTAGAATACTAAGCTAAACTTAGGATGGTTAGGCTATCATGGAGTTGCAAACGGGAAGTACACCTTCCACTCCCATGGAATGGTAAGATCTATTGACTCGAGAAGCACATTATCCCGGAACTGACAGTAATAATTCGTAGGCCGTTCACACAAGAGACAAACAAGGAACAGTTCACAGACATCCGACTGAGTAACTCATTTTCTGCGAATCGTATGCTTTCTATGGACACTGATTGATTCTGCCAGGTTATGTCCGTGGGCTTCGAGCACTTCTCGTACTGGCATTGTAAGTGTCTTTCCAGATAGAGAAATATCAACCTTAATAATAATATAATCACTAGATTTGTGAACTTCGTCGGCATCGCCTACCAACTGCCTGGTTCGTACATGGGTGAACGCGCGAATCTCTTAACAAGCCACCAGCAAGCAATGGGTCTACGAGATTCAGCTCGCATTCTGTGAGTCGTAATTTCCGCTATCAGTGACGTGCCACTCATATCCGATTTCAGGTCTTGGTATTTTAGTATATCCTTGGCATACCTCCCTGCATGGGTCATCGTCGCACTCGTCTGGCATTTCCGCATTTTCTCTGGGACGCATGTGGTGATCGTCCTCTTCGTGCATCTACTGCTGGGGTAAGTTCCAAAATATTTTCCTCGATCGTTCTTGAAAATCATCGCTAAATTTTCCCTTGAATTGCAGCTTCTCGTTAGCAAGCTGGTCATTCTTCGTCGGTGCGCCATTTGGGAACTCTCCTCAGCTCGCTGCCGTCGCAACGACCTTCCTTGCAATCGTTCTCGCCATCATAGCCCAAGCTTTCGGTCGGGCATCTAATGGAGCTGCGTTCATATTCACCTTGATTTTCCCACCTGGATACTACGTTTTTGTCATTCGGGCAATAGCAGGATTCGAGTCTAACCAGATTCCGACGAATTTACTCCATCAGGATCCTGATAATCATTTAAATGTTTTGTCACTTATGATTGCGGCTCTTGTGAGCACCGTTACGGTTATGAAGCTGCCTTGAACACTGAAATGGGACCTCTGTAGATCGATATTTTCATATGGCCGCTGCTCGCAGTTTGGTTGGAACGTAGGTTGTACAATGCAAGGGAGCCATCCCGATCGTCGTCGTCCTGGCTGTGCTGCTTTAAACGGCGGAAATCACAAGCTGCAAGAGATAGACCAGTCCCTCCGCCTGGCGTAGCCATTTCAGTTCGCAATCTGAACAAGACGTATACCTCGTCGTGGTATTCCTGGAGCAAACAAAATGTCACAGCCATTGCGGATCTCACGCTTGACATCCCGAAATTCGGGATTTTCGTGCTTCTCGGTTCAAACGGGTTAGTAATACTAATCATGTGCTTTCTTTTGAATTGCCATCGTTGAATTTTGTTAACACTAACTAGGGCTGGGAAGTCAACGGCTCTGTCCATCCTTGCTGGACTTCAAGGCAGGACGTCGGGAGAGGTGATATACGAAGACGGGTCTTCAAAGCCGCAGCATGGCGTGCTCGGAATTGTCCCACAGAAGAACGTACTATTCCCAGAGTTAACGTGCTTACAAACATTGAAAGTCTGGCGCGCAATCAAACGTCCGAAGGGATCAAAGGATGATGAGGACCTTATGCAACTGCTCAAGGACTGTGATCTGGAGCATAAGATTGATTCTAATGCCGCGACGCTGAGTGGAGGACAGAAGAGGAAACTGCAACTTGCTGTTGGGTTGGTTGGGGGGTCTAAGAGTAGGTCAATTTAATAGGGATATGGAGAGGTGCAGCTGATATATCCTTTACAGTTGTCCTCGTTGATGAGTGTACTTCGGGAGTCGACCCGCTCTCTAGGCGATCGTTGTGGAGAACTCTTATGTCAGTGCGAGAAGACAGGACTATTGTCTTCACCACTCATGTAAGTGCCTGAATGTTATTCAGCTTGTTAAATCCTCCTGATCGTTATGCAGTTCCTCGACGAGAGCGAACTTATTGGTGATTCTGTTGCTATTCTGGCCGCACCAGGAAAGCTTGTGGCAGCTGGCTCCCCGGTATCCCTCAAATCAAATCTCGGGCAGGGATACACTCTTCAAGTGTCACTGGCGACATCGGATTCACCAGAAAAGCCTGATCTGGGTCCGAAACCCGAAATTCTCGAAACTATCCAGACCCTTGCACCGAACGCATCAATGATCTCGAACACGATGTCTTCAGCACAGTATCGGTTGCAGACAAAGGATTCGGCGCAGGTCGGTCAAGTGCTGAGTCTCCTGGAGAGTAAAAAGGGTGCTCTGAGGATCGCTTCCTATGACGTTCATGGAACGTCTATGGAAGATATTTTCTTAGCCTTGATGAAGGAACATGGTGAAGGGCTGTATGATGATTCCACGCCTATGGCTGGTGATGCTCCCATCTTGAACCGAGTAGATTCAAAAGGCTCGTCGTTGTCTGCATCGCATGCACCAAAAATTCTTCGGTTGACCACTGGAAGACGACGCTCACCTTTTGCGCAAGCATTCACGATATTTCGTAAACGATGCATGATTGCACGCCGAAGCTGGCTGACTCCTATCCTGTCTCTGATCGTTGCTGTTGGAGGATCATGTATTCCACTGTTCTTCATTTCCTCGAGGACGGAGATGTGCAGCAGCCATGTTCGCAATGATACGGGCACGAACACAACGCTATTCCTACCACGGTCTCCCCTTCTCATAATGTCCGAACTTCTTCCACCTGGTAGTGGTGGTTCTCTTCTTACAACACCGCCGAATATCACTCAATCTCTCGGCCTTGCGACTGCATCATTGCCGATTTTGAACATCCAGGATAATGCCACCTTTGTATCAACTATCAATCAGGACTTCCGCAACTTTTCTCTCGGAGGAATTTCTGTTGATTTGGCATCAGGCAACTCACTCTTCGCTTGGGAAGGGACTCCACCGGGATTAACTGCCCCGACTTTACTCAACCTGGTGGACAACATTTTGTATAATGCCTTGAACACAAGTGGGCAAGGCAATGGTGCTACCAGGTTGATTACTCCTCGCTTTGAGACGTTCCCTGGATTGAATGGTGGGACTCTCGTTGCTCTTAAATGGGATATCTTCTTCCTCGCTGCTATGGTAAGTGTGTTATTTGGCTTTACGACAAATTTGTCGCTTACGTATCTTTACTGTCCGCGTAGTCCGTGTTCCCCGCATTCTATGCTCTGTATGTTTCCAATGAGCGTAGATCGTCTGTACAAGCGATGCAACTTTCCAATGGACTGGCGGATCCTGTCGGACTTTGGCTTGGACACCTCATGTTCGACTCGATATTCTCGGTTGCTGCAGCGACGATTATTATCATTATATTCGCGGCTGTTGCTTCTCAGCTGCATGGTCTTGGACTTTTCGTACGTTTCTTTGTCCCTTTTGAGACTTATTAAACTCAGACTCATATCTCAATTTAATAGTGGGTGGTTTTGGTTCTTTACGGAATTGTTGGGACGCTGTTTGCATATTGTGTCTCCCTTCTCACAGCTTCACCGCTTGCGGCGTTCGCAGCTGTCGCGGGATACCAAATCGTTATGGCGGTTGTGAGTCAAGATCTTCGACTACCTTCTTCGTTCGTTTTATTAAGTACTGATTTGGAATTAGTTGTACCTCGCGGGTTACCTTCTGACCTTCACTTATGCAAAGACGTCTCAGGCGGGGAATTTCATAACCATCATTCGTACGTAGTTTGTCTCCATAAACGGATGATACAGTTCTTACCGGCTCGTTAGACTTCACGCTATCTATCCTCTCGCCTGTTGCAAGTCCGGTGGGTCGTGTTTTACATGGTTTCCTAGTATTTGATATTGATTTGTCAATTAGATCCGCGCTTCATTTGTATCCGTGAATCTGTTCTCTCTGCTGTGCAATGGCAATTCAAGTCTCTCGACTGAGTCGTTAGGCTCAATGATGAAGTTCGGCGGTCCGATTACGTACCTTATCGTTTACGCTTTCGTACTCTTTGCCTTTCTCGTTTGGTTCGACTCGGGTTCGAAACTTTACTACACGTTGTCATCGGCACTTCGGAGGAGCGGTATCACAAGAGGGGATGTGCCTGATGGTGATATCCCGAGGGACGTACAGGAAGAAGCGTCTCTTGTTGAATCCTCAAACGACCCTTTACGTGTTATGCATGTTTCCAAGCAGTACCCGGGCTCTTCGGTAAGATCCGTAGACGACGTGAGCTTCGGTGTTTCGCGGGACACTGTTCTGGCTTTGCTTGGTCCTAACGGTGCCGGGAAGACTTCGACGTTTAACATCATCCGTATGTTTCCTCATCGAATTCACACTTTAATGGAGTTACTAATTTACTTGTGTAGGTGGTGACACGGTCCCCGACCAAGGCGATGTCCTTATACAAGACACCTCTGTCATTCGGTATCCTAGAACGGCCCGCTTGTCTTTAGGAGTCTGTCCGCAATTCACTGCGATTGACTCACAACTCACTGTTCGCGAGCATCTGGAGACTTACGGACGGCTGAAGGGGCTTTACAGAGGGCCCGAATTGAACGAGAACGTCGACATTATTCTCGAGTCCACAGGCTTATCTCCTTATTCGGATAGATTAGCGAGCAAACTTTCGGGAGGGAATCAACGAAAGTTGTCCCTAGCTATTGCACTCATTGGTACGTATCATCTCAAATCGTTCCCACGTTTCCTGGTCTGATCACTATGTGCAGGAAACCCATCAGTTGTATTGATAGACGAGTTCTCGACTGGTATAGACGCTAAGATGAAGCGCGACATGTGGGAAACACTCAAGAATGTTTCTATCGGCAAAGCTGTCGTGATAACGACTCGTAAGTATTTTATTTCATTCTTGTCCAAATAAGTGTTTATTTATCACTCACCGATTTTGTGGTATATCAGACTCTATGGAGGAAGCATCAGCGTTGGCGAACAAGGTTGGTATAATTGCGAGGAAGATGTTAGGTATGTGTGAAATTGACAATGTTCTTGCGATACTGGTTATTTAACGATTCGTTACCCAGCCGTTGGTTCGACAAGCTCTCTCGCAGCTCGTTACCCAATCTATGAAATTCATTTCTCGTGTCGAACGCGCGAAGAAATAGTAAAAGCCCAAGAACTCATGGCGCGTATACCTAATTCACGAAAGGCAGACGACGTAGCCACTCGATTTGAAGTACCTTTGGACGCTGGAAATGAGCAGACTCTTGCGAGTTTGTTCAGGACGTTGGCTGAGCATGGCGAGTTCTCCGAGTATACGGTCGAGAGAGTCAGCTTGGAGAGTGTTTTCTTGAAGGTTATTAGGGAGAACAACATCAAGGAAGAAGGCTCTGCTGCACGGACTGAGAAGAGACATTGGTTTTCAAGTATTTGCTAGAATGCTTCTTTCTTTCTCTCACTTTTTGTGTTTGATGGAGAAATAGACGTGCTCTTATACCTTATGGTTTTCCGAAAACGACAATTGCGAAAACCTATGTAAATTTTTAAAGTACATCCACATGTAGCATAGGGCAGTGGAATATATATGAACCAATAGATCTGGATTGACAAGGCTGACATGCAATGAGATTGATAAACTCAAATGCAACAGGAAACTGCCTGCCTCCATGTCAATGAAGCAGTATCAACATACCCCCTTTTCAACTCCTCCCGACCGAGACTGAAAACTTTGATCGGAAACGTCTAAAGAAGTCAAATCCTGCGATTCCCTGCCTTCGAGTTGTTCTGTAACAAACGAAAACGTAACGGTGTTGTTTCCGATTCCTATCCCAGATTCACTACCCACTGTACCTCGGACTGCAGGATTACATTCAAATCGTATGCTTTGCAAGTTAGTTGATGTGTGATCATGGGATGGTTCAGCGTGGGCTTTATGCAGAGTGAGGATCAGGCGTCCTGTCAACACTGAGTGCAGTATCCGCTCCATACTATTTATAAGAAGCAATGGAGTCCATAAATTATGGGCCATTAAGAATGAGTATGCGTCGTGAAGATAAATAGTTGTCACTAACTAACCTTGCAAGCATCCCTAATTTCGTTTTATCGCGCTGAATTTAAATACACACGGATCGTAGAGCACATGTCGTTAGTATCAATTTCGATGGACAATAGAAATCCATCCTAACGTACATTAAGAGTGAGAATCACGGCTACATTTGCGACCGACAAAGCTTTAAATGCAATTAAGGCTATGATATTGATAAAGTTAAGTGCAAAGTCACGCGCTCACCATAGATATATAAATAGAAAATTGCTCCTACACAAGCGTGAATGAGTGCGTCGATCGAAGAGGAAAAAGAAAACACCACACCATCCCTAAACAGCGCTAGAATGATAGGCGTTTTCCCTTGTTCTTTGTCTAAAATCATGATATGCATTCAATAAGGGCACTGTAGTGGCTCACAGCGGCATTTGGAACATACACAATTGAATCCCCTTGATCGCCAATAACACAATGAGAACTATAATTCAAACGGATCATTATAATGGAAGTGTATGATTTAATTATAATTCGGTGTGCTAACCTGATTCGTATATCATAAGGATAACCCATACTTCTGCAAGTAGACCGTTTCCCGAAGTAACAAGACAACCAAAAGGGCCAGGTGGAAGACGCATCCCTAGAGTTGTACATTTTAATGTTAGCGCCGATTCATCTTCAAATACCGGAGCCCTCTCGTCCATGCAGAACAAGATATTACTCACAACCGAGCGACTTCAAGAAGAGGCCTAAAAACACGGCGCTCGAAGCCAGATTCGCTAAGGCCCATCCGATAAGCAGGATGAGTACGGAACGATTCTCGTTCCATATTGCATATGTTCGGATTATTAGGATGGCTAAGCGAGATGTTATTATTTAATTGAGTCGAAACGAGGAATGAGAGAGAAGACTATGAACGTACCCTCGGCACTGAGAATGCCGAGGTTCATAATGCCTAATTTTTTAACTGTCAGCAATGAGGAAGTATTTTTTGACTTGGCTTTATGACCCACAAACTGCGCTTTTCACCGCAAATGAGCAGACTTCAGGTGATAAGTCTGTCTTGAATTCTTCTGTGGGATGTGATTTATCCCGTTTCCTTGTAAGGTTATTAAGGTACATGATCACTCACCCACAAATGTAATTGTCAGGTCTACGAGAGGCAAGTATCGGACCATGAAGAACAAAACTTTCATAAGTGACCATCTTTTCGGCCACATTATTGATCGTTCATCTTCGAAAGTGAGCATATAATCATAGGCCTGCACATTTACATTAGTACACTCATGAATGGCAAGTGAGCACGAGCGTACGTAGATGGCGAAACTCGTGACTACGAGTGAGGAATATTAGTGGAGCATATAGGTGGTTTTAGGTTGGCGTACCATCGAAATACTGTAGAAGAGTAAGCTAGAGATGAATAGAGGTGAATAAATGTAACTGAGAGGCATACATTAGTAAGTCTGTAGCCTTCCACAGCTACTATTAGGTCTTCAAGTAGACTAGGCATGAAGAGCAGTCGGAAATAAGTAGGAGCTTAGAATGCAAAGAAAATGCCTGAGGCCAGTAAGACTTTGTCTTTTTTTCAATGCTCCAACAACCTCAATTCCCTAGCGTTATATAGCTGCATTTCAGCCTAATTGTTGGATGTGTTAGACGCCGCTTATGGAGCTTGTTTTGCGAATTGTGAGTGTCCTCCGTTGTCGCAACATAACTAAGTCCATCTCGCCGGGCTACAGTTGAGCAATCTTGCCTAGTTTGTATTCGAATGCATAGGCTCTTTTGACATATCCAGAGGTTATTTGAAACAGTATTGCAAATCAAGGTGATTGCATCAAGATATCTCGCTTCTTCTAGTGATGGGCCACATGTACTCTTCCTTTTCGGCTCTATATGTTGGCAGATGTCAACATGCCTCCGAATTACTAGTGAATATCCGAGGGCGTGAATGGCTATGAGGCCAAAGGAACCGAAAGTGGTCGGTACATGCAAGAGAATTAACTTGATCAGCAATCTTTAAATCCACAAAAAGTAATTCTCTCACCAGATAAAAGCAACTCATATGCAGATAGATACCAGCTTCAGCGCTCCTTCGGCGAGAGCGAATTTAGGCAACAATTGCAGCACAACGTGGAAGTCTTCTGACAACTTACAGGATCGTTGTGACGAAATAGTCCGAAACATCCCAACCAAAGTGCCGACTTGTCTGATATAACTATGTAATGCTGCTCTAAGTAGCATAAAAGAGCATTCTTCCTTGCCGAAGAGTGCAAGTGACGATGATCGTAGTCAACGTTGCCTATAGGCTGGTAGATCGTCGCGGGTCGAGCACGGGCCGAAGCCAACATGAAACACCGATTTCCGGTCTGTTTCATGTGCAAGGGGCTGTAATTGCAGACGCCTACTTGTTCGCCCTACTCTTCAATTATTTAATTAGGATTTCTGCCATTGGATTCTTGTCCGATGAGCAGCTCTGCGTTGGCTACCTTGCATTCGCACACGCCGCTTATTAATATTGACTTTTAAACACAATTAACGGCTTCGATTGTAGTGAAGAATACTTACTATTATAAAGACGAAATCGTCCACACAGAGGCGCTTCTTTTGATGGAACTTGCTCTGCATGTGATATTGAAGTAGAACCAAACTCTGGACGTCGTTGGTCGAACACCCAGGATTTGCTGAAGACTTTAATCCGTGAAAAGTTCTTCCCTTTGGCAAAATAGTTTGACGAAAATAGCCGCACGGTGCGACGATATCAATAAATAAATAACGGTAGCAAAAGCAGACGCTCGAGTAACTTGGTTAAAAACGGATCACAATGAAGCACAGACATATAAATGCAGATTGTCAAGAGACTATTTTAATACAGTTTCCGACTAACGCACCCTCAAGGAGAACGAAATCACATGTATCAAATGTGATTTTCGGTATCATAGACCAGAAATAAAGGTCATCAAGATTCAAATAGGTGTAGGGATTACCGCCAGCACTGGAGGAGGTGAGGATGGTGTCCCAGTTTCTGATTCAGACAAATGCCGGGAGTGGAGGATGGTAATCTCTATTTCTAGGTGCAGGAGGGATGACATGCCGAAGAACGGCTGTGCCAGGATAAGTTGACATGCAACGTCGTCCGGCCGCAACGCAACATTTCCTAGTACTGATCTGTTTCTCTTGCGGACGTAAAAGCAACCCGTGTAAGGACTGTCAATGGCACTGACTCGACGGTAGAGGACTGGCGTTGAGCAGCATGGCATGCCCGCTTGGTGAAAAGGAAAAAGTAGGTTTGAAAATCTTTAATTCCCCTCGATGACCAATCTCGCTAGGAAAGGAAGTTTCTGAATTAAGATCATATATTTCTGCTTCACGTGACATAGCATTTCCTCATAAAGGATCTGCGTACACTTGCGCAAACAAGCCACGAACGGGAACATTCATCTTCCGAGTCGCAGAGTCGCAATCCTTGATTCCTTCAGCCACTGAGCCACCACAATCCACCTTGCACCGCTACAACCATCTTATCCAGCTCCAGCAACTACGACACTCGACATGGATGACGGTACGTCCTTCCAGCACCCAGCACCTACCGCCAGCATGTATTTCTTCGACTCGTCGGCTACGTCCGCCATCCTTCCTTTTTGTCTCGGTTTTGAGGCCGACCTACGTCTCAAGCAGTGGCAGCAGTGACAACAGCCCAGTTTTCTTTTCGTATCCACCTGCATTTGGCTGACGGCCAGCAATGGGATCGAGGCCGGTTTTTCGCGTAAAAATCACATTGAAGAACGGAAATAGTCAAATGATAGTAGTTCGGGCATCTGAAGATGCCTCAACATGGACCCAGCTAAACCTTTCCACCATTTAACACTGCGTGTCGTTCCATCCTTCGCACTCTTCTGGATGCGAATGCATCTTCAGCTCTCATCTTCCAATTCTCATGTTCGCCATTGCACTTCGTCCCTGCCTGTTGTGCGACGCCTGCCGACTCCGCCTTACACGGCTTGTTTCACCCTTCTCCAAGTTTCTATTCTGACCGCCTATCCCGTCCTTCACCAGGATGGCCAGCACCTGATAACGCACCCGGTGCCATCAGCATCCCCACTCAGGAGGCTACCATAGCGAATGGTGGTAGTTTAGGCGCAACGAACGATGATGGTTGGCCATCTGTTCCTGACCCTTTTTCTGCGCCTGAAGACAGTGCCCCGCCCCGCCGCTCTAGGAGCAGGAGCCCTACTGCCAGGGACCGAGGCGGGGACCGCAGAGATGCCAGAGATGATAGAGAGTAAGGCATTTTTAAATTGTACGTTGAGAATACTCATGCGTGATTGGTTCAGGGCAAGAAGGGAGAGTTCTAATCCAGGTAACAATCTGCATGTGTCTGGGCTCCCAACGGATGTCGACGATGAAGCTCTCAAGGCAGTCTTTGTCAAAGTTGGCCGTGTGAGTATTTATCTCGCGAGATGGGGTCTCAATCGTTTATCACCTTCCCCTCTTTCAGGTGCAAAAAGTTTCGATCATGTGTGACCCACATACCAAGGATTCTCGCGGCTTTGCCTTCGTGACCATGGAGACTCCCGAAGAGGCGGAAGCTGCCATCAATGAATTGAACGCCACGAAGCCGTTTGGTAGTAAAGTCATGTCTGTTGAGAAGGTTTCGTATATCTCTTCACACGTAGTTATCATTTATTCTAAATGCCACGCCAGGCAAGACGTGCAAGAGCTAGAACGCCTACTCCGGGAAGGTATTATGGACCCCCGAAACGCAGAGAAAGTGTGTACTTATGTTCACTATAACTTCATTCTCCTTCTCATCGTTGATACCTGTAGATGAGCGGCCTTATGATCCCCGGCCATACGATTCGCGTTATGTGCGCGATTTCCGTGATGATCGTCGCGGAGGCGGAGGCCGATACGACGATAATTATCGCGGCGGAGGCGGACGATATGATGATCGTGACCGCTACCACGGTGGACGCGGAGACAGAGACCGCGACAGGTAATTCAACATTAAGCACCGCTTGACAATACAACTGGAAAATGTTACCTTGACTAGGGGCTATGACCATGGCTATGACCGTCGATACGATGATCGGCGCTATTAAAACACGATTCGTCCATCGGAATAGGGAACAATGCACAAGAACAAGACCATGGCTTGTACTGTGCTGATGTGTTGCCTGCGCCTGCGAAAAGTCTATTCCTTTGCTCAAATCGCCCGTTCTGAGAATGTTGTAGTTGTCCAATTATGTATGCAAAATCCGACCAGCAATGAAATGTGTGCCCAGGTCAAGTTCGTTTTCCCTTTGAATTCCAGACTGCTTGCCATGCGGGGACGTTTAAAAATTTGTTAGCTGCTTCGCCATATTACGGAAAAGTTAACTATGTCTCAAAGCTAACGCGCTAGAAGACGTATGAGATGCCAGAATCGGCGGTTGTCCATAGTATACTGGCGGAATTCCCGAGGCAAATTTACTAAATTAGGGTAACAAGTTAAGATTCTTCATTCCATTTCTGGTCTGGCACGTTACTCCTTCTGGGACATCAATTCTGCATCCAGACCCTGAGTCCCACAGTTCTTTTTTGGTTAGTTTTTATTGGCTACCCACAGTTTGACTTGAATTTCACTAAGTCAAAATAAAGTCCTTTTCTAATATATTTAATGAAAATACATGTTTCCCTCTCTAATTCCATCTCTAATCCTTAACCAACACTCAACCCTATACTTAAACCTAACAACCCAGCCTATCCTACTAGTTGGATCAGTAAGGCCCCCCCAAACCCCTCTCCTAACTTTGCAGTCTGAGAGTCACCACACAAGTATCATGTAAGTGGGCATTCAGGGTCATCCCAAATTGGGTTGTGAGTCTCAGGGTCTGGATACAGAAAATCAAACTTGACTGTACAACTATACTCAATAATGTGTTTGTTACAATAATGTGTTTGCTAGGAGAGTGAATGTAGTATTCCTTATTGCTTGGTAGAACTTTTCCTTCTTTCTTGTAGACATACATAAATGATTGATGGACATATTACTTATACACTGCCGCGGCAGCACGGCAACAAACTATGCTACATCAGAATAATAAATAAATCGGAAAAGAAACGACATTGTACAGTGTGGCCTCGATTGTGTATGCACGATGTCGCATATTTGTCACAATGGTTCGTCTACCACTACTCTAATCATCTTTGGGAGGTTGGCTGCTGACAATCTTGTTTACAAGACTGGCAGTGATCTTTTTACGTTGATCGTTGAGCATACCGAAAAAGCCGTCTTCTTTGTTTTGGTCCTTCTGGTGGTCCCACTCTTCCACGTGCTTCGTGATTTGGTGTTGGTCGTTCGTAGAGACGGTGAGTAGCGAGTTGAGCGTCTGATCCCAGCCAAGGCCGCAGTGATCAATGAAGAACCGAAACAAACAAGAGGTATCAAAGTCCGAGCAGGTATATTCTAATAAGGAGGACTTGCCTTGGTTGGCGACGCAGAGGAAGGGTCACGATAGTAAGCGACGTCCTGGTCAATAAGGATTGTACCAGGGGGAATGCCATCTGGGTTTTGGAGTACGCGGAACTTTGAAATATCCGCTCTAGGAAAGAACTAGATTATTCGAAATGAGTGTCGGCGTCAAAGGGTTTTTGAAGTCGAATAAAACGATAGGACCTTTGCAAGACCATTGAACTGGGCCTCGATAGACTCGATGCCTTCAGCCATGCCGACTGGGTCGACGAAAACAGCGTCTTTGGCATAAGCCTCGTATGTACGCTGCAGAAATATTTGTCCGACAAGTCTTCGCAATTCAATAGGTATCCACTTACCTCACGGGGTCTGCAAGTATACAGCTGAAATGAATTTATAAACGTCATCCTCTCCCTCCGAGAAATAACGGCTAACTCACGTCTTTAATAGCAGCAATGATTCCTTCCTCGCTAGGTTCAACCTGACGTTCTGGAAGTGCTCTAGAACTCTGGGGCGGAAGGCCGGATGAGTTAGGGGAATTGTTGTTCGACATGGCTCGACGAAGAGCGGGAGAAGTAGGTACAAGAATTCGAGTGGCGATCTGGCGAGGGGGAGTAGGGGACCTAGCAGCGTTTGAACAGGGCCACATCAATATGAGCATTTGAAACAACGAACGAATGCAGAATAGTGGACGCTAAGTGATAAGTACAGAGAGAGAGAGAGAGGAGGACGGGGAGCATACCTTTATATATTTGTTTGCTTACTGAGGAGATGATGAGATGCAGGGAGATGATATAGTGGACGGCACATGTATAGACGCCATGGAACGAAGTATCGAGCAATGCATGAGCGCAAGGATGACGAGCCACACGACGAATTACTAGTTCGTGACGCACAGTCCGAGCAGAGCCACCTCCAGATCCAACCACTGGAGAGCGTCGATCTTCGCAGATTTCCGGTTACGTCACATCGCGTGGGCCTATCAACTCGCGTGCTCGCTATTCTAATTTTATGTTTGCTGCCGTACGTACCTTACTTACTCGTCCATGATGGACCTTCTCAAACAGCTTGAAGAGATCCAGATCATCCGATGCTCCCTTCTCCCGTCAGAGCTCTTTGCATTTGTCTTACCGCACGACGACTTAGAAGAATGGTCGGGCTTACTCCGCAACTACGAAGAACTTGGCAGGATTGACATGCCTGTGGAGGATTGGCAGCCCGCTTCAACATGTCGATTTACAATCCGCGTAAAAGACATGCCGTTTTGGCTCGAAGTAGAGCTTCCAAGGAAATACCCCTCCGCGAACAACGCATGTGATCCGATCATCCATTTCAGAGCCAACAACCTGGACAGACAAGAGCAAGAAAAATGGCAGCAGATCGTCGGAATTCGGTTGACGGAGATAAAGTTGCAGACAATGGAGTTCGTGAGCTTCAATAGATTTTCTTGTCTTCGTTCGATTCATGCAATGTACAATGCTAACCGCTTATATCGAAAAAGGTTCGTGGTCCAGAACCTTCTTTGCTCTCACCTTATTCCGCTGCTTCATGAGCACACACAGGCATTAAGGTCTTCCGAGCCCTCTTCTTCCGAGCCGACCTCTCAATCTCCTGAAGCGTCATACGACGAAATTTACCACGTGCTGTTCACCTCGCATCACCTTATCTCGCCCGCAAAGCGACGCAACCTACAAAAATGGTCCGCCGAGCTCTCCTTGCGCGGGTTCGCGAAAGTTGGGTATCCTGGTGTGATCTATGCAGAGGGAGCACAAGACAACGTAACGGAGTTCGTGAGTCGTGTCAAGGCCATGCAATGGCTTGCACTGAAGGTGCGTTTCGAAGAGGCATTGGACACAGAGAAACATGGGCAGTTGCTATTATCCGATGATGATAAGCAGAAACGGGTAGAAAGAGAGGATAAAGAGACGAGAAGCAAGACGAATTGGACCGAAGTCGAGAAAGTAGGCGAAGTCGTTGAGATAATGAGACGTTCTAGTCGTGAAGAGTTCGTGACCGAGATGGGCCTTGGCAGTGTATCTTCCTCCTCTAACAACAATGCATTTCGTTCTTAGCCCATTCCAATTACTCAGCAAATCCTGAGGGCAAATGTCTTGTTTCTTGAAAGAGCTCAAAGACTGCTTTCCACCTGCCAATATCTAAAGTCACAGGGATGCTGAATGATATAGATATTCTGAGACTATTTAACTGGAGTTCATTATACTTTGAATACTGGTCACAAGTGCAACTCTCCTCAATCCTGATCAGATACATTAAATACTTACTTTCCAACCTCTTCAAACATACATTAAAAAAACACTTGTTTAAGATATTTTATTTCCATTTCCATTTCCACTTATTGTGACTAAGGATATAACGTCTGTGCATTAATTGATTTGACTCGACCATTAGTACTTTTGAGATTTACAATGCTCAAGAAACCTTTATAAGTGTTCTACATGAGCACAGTAACAGAAATCCTTACCATAGCGAAAAGTTGTGTTTTACCATCATAAAAAATGCTCTTGGCATGTTTGAATAGCGAGTAATACCTTATCATTGTGATTTGGGGGTAGGTATTCGATTACAGCATATAAAATTCCTGTGATAGGTTCATAGAAGGTGCACACAAAAAACGACCGGAGGGAAAACCAAGAGAGCGACAAGTAATTAGTAGCAGTAGCAGTAATTGTAATGGTATGATGCAGACAGAACAAACAAACAGATAGAATAGATGGAGACAAGGAATGAGAACAGCAACAGTATCCACGGTATACACCAAGTTTATCCAAAAGGAAAAGGAAAACAAACACGCAGAAAACAAATATTGTCAGCGACGAGATAGATAGATAGATCCATAGATCAAGAGTATAAGATCGGAGTTGAAATCGAAGTCGAAGGTGAAGACAGCATGTTCGGTGTGCTGTTCTAGGGCATTTTGATTCGGGTGAGTCGAACCACTCAAAGGGTGGGAAGCGTCGTGCAAGAAAGGTAATCAAGAAAACGAGCTGGTAGAGGCTAAGCTGTATGCTACCAGAAACGGTTGCTGACCAGCGGGTGGTCTTTTATCCTACGCAAGAGAACAATGTTCGCGGTCATACTCGAGAACTTTAAACAAACAAATCAGTCAAGACGAAAATGTTTCAGTAGAATAAAAGGACGTACACCTGTACCCATGAAAAGTCCTGCTCGTTGGGCAATAGCCATATCAATCGCTTGAGCAATATATTTCTGCTCATGGGTATACGTCATATCTCGACTCGTCGACACACTATCAAAATCTCCCGTCTCCATTAACGCCTGTTCCAATTCTTTGACCCATCCACGTTCCCCATTCGTCAAGACGTATAACCTCCTCAATGGCGGCTGGTCCGCGGGCTTATCATCCCTCGCCTCCCAATCACTCTTCGCCTCCTTCACACGTTGAATTATTCGCGGGATGTCGGGATAACAATGAAGCATATACTCCGCTCGGTTCTCTGGTGTGTTCTCACCCCATCCACCTCCTGGAGGTGGAGTAAACGTATCAGGCAAACCCGGAAATTGGGCCCAGCCCATGTACGTAGAAGACCAATTCGCGAGATGCTGACAATGTTGCTCGTAGTCACCTCGTCGTACGTGAATCGCCATTAGCTCTGGTACATGCTCTGGAAGAGGATCAGCGGCGAGCACCGGATCGATGCCCTCTGCGTTGGAACGTAAAGCGGAAAGCGCCAAGGGTGACCAATCGAAGTCTCGTAATACGGGACTCTTGGAAAGCGTAGGCCAGGTTCCTATCATAGATTGAACACCAAAGTGCCTGTAGAAAACAGTGAAAGTTAGATTAAGTATTATTGTAGGTAGTTGTAAGGGAAGAACTGACATCCAATCAAAGGGGTGTTCAGTCGTTCCATAAAGCTCTACACAGCCCTCAGCCATCTCCATCAACTTCGCCGCATATTTCTCAACGACCTCAATAACAGGTACGCCATCCAGACCCTCGTTCATCTCGTGGATGTTCAACTTCGTCCGTCGCCTTTCTGGACATACTTTCTCGAAAAATTCCTGGCTTACGGAACGTGGATTTGTCTTGTCTGGAGGAAATGGCTTGGCTCCCGCAATTGGGCCTTACGAATACTATGTTTCAGAATGCTTTGAATCAGCAAGGTACAAAAAGCATACCGTCAATTAATGCTGCAAGAGGAATCCGAGAAGGAATGACATGTCCATTCCATTGGGTAAAGGGATTAGGTCTCTTATCCCATGTGTAGGGTTCGAATACAAAGCTAGAGGTAAGAGAGAAAAAAATTGAGCCAGTTGTAAGATGAACAACACCACAAAATCTAGACTCACGCTCGATTTGAAAGATAAGCAACATGAGACAGCATGATCCTTCGTCAACCAGTTAGCCTCATACTTCCCAATAAAATGAGCGGCACCTTACAAATTTTGGAAGATGTTATTCCAGCCAATGCCTTTGAAAGTGCAATTAATAGAAATCAGCAACAGTTCATCAAAAGCTGTGAGAAACACGCACCAAAATGCTGATTTGAGACCCACATGAACCGCCCATTCCACCCCTCGGGAAACGGTAACGAAGCATTGTGTTGTGGATAATTGCGCTCAATTTCGAAGTATTCGTCGTACGTGGGCGGGTTTAGTGGAACCGACTCAGCAGGGCTTGATTCGGAATCTGTGCCTGCCGTCACGTTTGTCCACGCCACGCGCAGCTCGAAAAAATTGTAGTACACGCTTATAGCGAGAAGCAGAGGTATTGCGAGGGCGCAAGAGAGGAAGAGACGTCGACGCGTTGGTGTCCCGTGCACTACGCGTCTAAAGGGCGAGACAGAGCCGCCATTCGACGGTAAGAGTTCGTATTGGTCGTTTGAGCTGTCTAGCCTCGACAGCCACTTTGGAACGAACATGGCCGTAGCAGGCTGGGTTAGTGACGTCGTGAATAGGTGTGTGTGAAGAGCGTGGGGGCAATAAATACAGAAAAGCAAAGGAGACGGAGGCTAAAAGCTGGGGGAGAAACGGACTTGGTAGTCCGAGACTAATGTTGTTGCAGGTTTTTCTGTGCGGCAACATGGCGATATTCGGCAAACTCTCTTACGAGCACGACTAAATGCAATTGGCTTTCCGCCGCTCTATCACTGGCTATGCCATCACCGCCCATCTCTGCATCATGATCGGGCTGCTGAGTAGACTCCAGAATGTCCGGTGCAATTTAACCCAACAGATACTTGACCACCAAGAGGAGATATGCGTGTGCCCAGCATGCCAAATTTACAAAGCAATGCACCGTGCTACTCGAAGTGGAGAATCCGAGACCTGTTTAGATTTAAGAATCGGCTGCGCATGGAGCGGCTAACTGCGATCTGTTTTTACGAGTTGTATAGCATCGACCCTCGTTCCGGCGCCCGCGACTGAATTACACTGGAACTTTTAAGCTCTTTTTTGATGCAAATTTGTTGAAGCCGTGCCGTCAGCGGGTGTCTTGGCATCATGATATCCTATTATATTACGTAATTTATCAAGGCTTCCTTCTCCCACGTTAGACGCCTGCCTTATCTAACAGTAGGTACACCATCAAAATTGATCCGTATGCCGGACCGAACCGGATCCTGTCCCACGGTCTTTTCCGCCGCCTCGAGTCCAGTTGAGTTGAAAACACGTCGTGAAGCTAGTCTACGCTTTCTTCGACTAGAAAGAATCCTACACGCTGCCCCTTCGCGGACGACGATGAACGCTCGCTTCCTCTCCTCTGCGCTCCGTGCTTCGCGCGTTGCGCGTACCCCAGCCGCATGGCGCGTACGCCCTTCAGCAGTCTTGCTCGCTCGCCGTAACATGAGCAGCGATACCCACCACCAGGAGACATTTGAGTCCTTCACTCAGCGTTACGTCGCTTTCTTCAAGTCCGTCGAGGACCTTTTCGAGCTCCAGCGCGGTCTTAATAACTGCTTCGCCCATGACCTTGTCCCTGCTCCCGAAGTCATTGAGGCTGCCCTCCGCGCTGCGCGACGTGTTGACGATTACTCGACTGCTGTCCGTATTTTCGAGGGTATCAAAGAGAAAGTGGAAAACAAGAAGCAGTACGAGGCGTATTTGGAGGAGCTCAAGGGCGTGAGGGATGAGCTTGGTCAGTACATATGTTATTGTATTACCGTAATAATATTTTCCTTATTTCGATATACGTCACCAAATAGGCATCAGCACGAAGGAAGAGCTATATCCGTCATAAAATGGCATTGCTTCGCTTAGGTACGCTCCTCTTCCACATCTACTCATCGACCTTGACTTAATTTTGCGAAAGAAATTACACTTAGTTTAAAACAGCCAAGTCAATGCCAAATTTCTACATTCTTTCAATTTCAATTTGTACAACTGTACGACCCGACAAAGCACAAACAAAGCGTGGTATCGACTGAATTCCGAAGTGAACACGATCAGATAAAAGAAAGCATAACGATGTCCTACAAATTGTCCTGGCAAACAATTAGACATTTATCGTTCTCAATTCAGAGAAGGGACTTACAAGTGTTCTCGCCCATAGCCAATGTAACCAACAGGTAGGCATTGGCAACAAGTACGAGGAGCCAAATCGCATATCCAATGATCATCACCATTTTTCCGTTGCTGTAATCAACCATCTCGTATTCATTTGATTCCGGATCAGCAACTCGTCGTAAATCCCCGCCTGGCCCGCCGAGGGGATCATCTCGCTCTCCCGGCCCCGATCCCCGCCGAACAGACATTAATTTTGAGTTCGATGTTATCCATACGAGTGGGAAGGCAACAAATGGAAGCACGAAAGACAACACAACTTGGGACGCAACCAGCAGTGCATTCAAACCCGCTCTGCCCATTATCGCGGCTACGAGCATCGAAGGAATAAGGCCGATGAGGCGCGTGAGTGCTCGGCGAATAACGGGCTATGATAATTCCAAATTCCAACTCAGTTGAATACAGCCATCCTTCAGATTGAAAAGGGGAAAGTGCAAACGTACGGAAACGTGCCATCTGAGGAACCCTTCGGATACGATCTGACCTGCTAGAGTGGCTGTGATACCAGCACTCTCGCCCGCACATAGAAGAGCGAGGGCGAAGAGAACCGCTGCCGCTATATTAAATGCGATCAGTGAAAGTCACGCAAAATAATAGAAGACCGACCCTTTCCAACACGTTGTCTGATTAGCGCGTATGCCTCAAATAAATCAGCAACACTACTACTACCACCGCCGTTTTCACCTGAGCCATAGAAGAAGACAGCACTTGCGATTATCAAAATCCTATAGGACCAATTAAGCAGTGTAGTGACCATAACAACGTTATGGACTTACAAGGAATTAATCACGACCGCAAATCCGAGCAAACTTAACACGATATCAACGATACCATGTCGTAGATGGGCACGGACGAATGAGTACGAGTTATTCTGCCATCCTGCATGGCCGTCCTCATCATTTGGTAAATCCGACTCTTCAGCATCGTTTAAACGCCAGGAACGAAAGGCGGATCGTAGCCACTGTTTGTTCACAAAGAAAAGAGAGCACGGCTTCTTGTATGTGTGACCAAGTGTCGATGGAAGTGAATCAGCACTAACAATAAAAGGCTGCTTGTCTTTCTCGGGGGCATGGTGAGGAGCGGAGACTCGGTTTTGCGTAGCTAATGAGGAGCCTAAGAAAAGACCGTGGGGCATTACTGTTGCTCCTATGATCCCAATGGCTGCCAGGATAAAATATAAGAACGAATGGCCCGGTAGCGTTAATAAATTCGAAATAGAGACTGACAAGTATAGAGAGCCCCCGGCTTGACAATTGTTGATGAAGGTACATAGCCGTAGAACGCATCTCCCCAGTTCGGCTTTACCTCTGCAATCACGAAGATCAAACAGACGAAGACAGCGAAAACGAGCACAGCGATTAACAGCTCGAAAACGCGTTGGGGTTGGCTCTGGCCTCGTGTTGGGCTACAAAGTGCCAGTACGACGAAGACATCCGACGCAGTAATTAGAACACCTGCCCATAATGGGATGGCCGGGAAGAGTAAAGACAGCGCGGTTGCACTACCCAGAAGCTCTGCTAAATCCGTACTGATAATTGCCACCTCGCTGAGTGCATACAGTGGATAGAGTACCAGCCAACGGACAAGTCGCGGATGTTTTGATCGATTATATAAGAGAAGCCGACAGTGTGCGGCTAGATCTAAAGAATGATCAAGGAATTTAACATTTAATGTTTTTCAATTCAAGTGATATAAAAGATGCCGGCCACTAGTGGTACTGACCTAGACCAGTGACACAGCCGAGCCTGCTTGCCATTGACTAAAAATACCGTCCAGTGCAAGAATTAGCATTGTTATAATTAAGTAAATTCCTTATGAAGGAAGGTGTAAGCTAACTTGGAACACTACTGCCATGAGGCCTGCGAGTAGGACGACAAAGAGCAGCTTATATCCGAATTCTGAACCAGCTTCGAGATCGACAGACCAATTACCCCTGTCGGAACGAGATGAGAATATTCGTTACAATTCAAGTATTCGCACTCACGGATCAAAATAAGCAACGGCGCAGATGACGCCCAGGCCGGTGTGTCGCCTAATATGGTGCAGCACAGTATCAGCCCACCGCCGTAGGCGGCCAGTCGTTTGGGACTGTGTTGGCTGACCCGACGCCAGGTCCGAGATGCATGAGTCCTCAGCCTCAGACGGTGGCGCGACAGGAGTAGCAGCGACTGCATCGAGCGGCGGGAGCTGCTTGCTCGTTGAGAGAGGGGTACTGGACATGGCGGGGCGATAAGAGGGGGGGACACGGCGACCCAGAGGCTTATAGTACGATGCCCGTCGACCGACGGAGCGGCCATAGTGGTTCGGTCCATTGGTTCGGTGCTCTACGACGTAGATTTGGGACGGACGACGTACTAGATCGGTGTTTCGGGAATTTACGCTTGTCCGTCCCGTGACTTACAATCCTCATTGCTTCCTTTTCCGTCTGGAGAAAATTAGAGTCCTTCGTCTCGGTGCACCGGAGCTGAGCCTCTAGTACACCGCCGATGTTCTTTTTGATTCGTTCAAACCCCCCAAGAACGCCAAGTCGGGCCAAATATGAACTGCTGCATCGGTATTGAGTCATTGACGCTATTTTGGATCCGATATAATCTCCACGTGAAACAAAGACAAAATTTTGGCATCGGAATTACGACGACATAAAAATGAAGAAACACGCAAGAAGTCCGAAAAAAAGGGCAAATAAACAGGTGACGTGCTTGTAAACTTTACTAGGATGTAGATAATTGTGTTAGTGAAAAAATGGCGGCCGTAACTGTTAAATGAGTGCAGTGATTGTGGGTCGAAGTCCGCTGAACTGGTTCAGGGACTAGTGCGTACATCTCGCGCTTAGAGCTTCTCCAATGGATCGATAATCGTACCCATCTGCATTGGTTACAAGAGAGTGTGCATAAGCAACAAGCGCAGACCAAACGGGTACGTTGAAAGAGACAATGACTGCACCTTCTTGACTACCCGCGGCAAAGTACCCCGTTGGAAACCGAGTCGAGTGTTCCATTCTGCACCCAATGGCGTACTCATTCGTGCTTCAAACTGCGCTTTACTCGTGTACGGGTATGGCAAGTCCTTCACCGCAAATTTCAATGCCTTTTTATCACGGCGTTCGGATATGATTACATGCGCCTTTCCGTAATCCGCCCGAGACTTGGGATCAATGCCTGCCACTTTCTTGATTAGGTGAGGCTTAGGTGCTGTCTTTTTAAGACCTGCCCCGCCCCAGGAACCCTATCAGTAAAAACACAGGTCAGCGTAAATTTAGAGAGAAGAGTGTCAGACCACTTACCCAGCCTGCAAGCGTCGTATCCACTTCTTGCGGTGCATCTGCTTCGGTCTCTCTTCGCTTTTCCTCCTCAAACTCCTGTAAAAGTTCGTCAATGCTATGCTATCTTGCGGGCAACGTATTGGAGAACGTGCGTACCCGTACAACATTGTCACCCGCGAATGCTCTAGCGACGAGTTCCCGCTGTTCGAATGCCGCTACTTTACTTCCCTTCTTTAGAGCAGCCTCCTGCTCTTCTACTTCGCTATTTGCCTCTGAGTCTTCCTCTTCCGGCCCTTGAACTGCCTTGGCCTTTCCTTTATCCTTTTTCTTCTTTTTCTCCTTCTTGTCCTTCTTCTTACCCTCACTAGTTACATTACTAGCAACGGCTTTGGCAGCGTTGCCAGAATTTTCAGTGTTCTTCAGCATTAGAGCATCATCAACGACGATTTCCACAACCGCATCGTCCTGCACTAGTTGACGCTCTTCTGTACTCTTCTTCAACTGCTTCATCGTGGAGGCCTCGGATTTCTGTGCTCGTGTTACATTCTTGCCGACGATAAGCTCGTTTTTTCGCTTGGCAACTTTCAAAGTGGAGGGGGATTCGGATAACCAGGGATTTGGGAGTTCGGAAGCTGGGGTTGGCGCAACAGAAGTTGACGCGGGAGGTGGTACGGAGTGTCGGTCCTCGTTGATGGTAAGTACTGGCGAATGAGTAATAGAATCGTGGGATCTGAGAGTAGAAGTTTCCGAGATGGCCGAAGGAGGAGGTGGGAGCATTAGGGAGGGCTGAGTCTTGGTCGATTTTTATTAGTCAGGAGGAAATAGCTGAGGAAGATTCAACATACCTGAGGAGTGGGTCGGAAAACCATACGACCGTTAACACGTTCAACTGGCGCGGGATTTTCGGGATCATCCACGTCGTCTCCTTCCTCATTATCACTGTCCACTGGTAAATCCCCCATTTGTCTCCGGAAGTCATCAATATCTCGCTCGATTTCGGCGTTTTTGCGAGCAGCTGCATCCTTCATGAATTTCATCTGGAAAACATTCTTTGCCTGCTGCTTCTCATCGGCGCCCTCGTTCTCGTCGTCCTTTTTTTCTCGGATCTCCCGCAGTTCCTCGAAGGCATTCGCTTTTATTCGTAATACGCCATCGTCACCCTCCATTTCCGAACTGTCGCTGCTAGAACCATCTTCGGCATCGCTTTCAATCCCTTGTATTCGTCTCCGCAGTCGTTCGCCCTTCTCTAGCATTTCATTTATGTCTCTTCGCTGATCCTCATCCAATTCTCCCCTCGCCTTCATTGCTTTCGCCCACTTTCCAGTGTTTTTGTGTTTAAGCGTCGCACGCTCACGTGCCCTCTCCGTTTCTGCTTTCAACCTCGCTTCCTCTGCATCTCCGTCGTCTTGGACAGCAGAAGCATCGAGTTTAGCAAGTAGTTTTGCACGCTCCTTCTTATGTATGCGACGATAGGCTTTGCTTTTAATCTTTGCCACTCGTTTCGCTTTTGCATCCGCACGGAATGCGAGTTCCCGCATTTTTCGTAGTTCCGCTCTACGTTCTGCGACTTCCTCCACGGAGAGATTCTTCATCATCAGGTCCTCCGTTTTATTGATATCTTCCTCGCGCAGCTTGGCCGATCTTAGAAGTCGGTCGATTGAGCTTTCTAACTCCGTCGTAGGCTGATAGAAATGTGTTGATTAATCCACCCAGGCTGGAATAATATGTAAACCTGCCTTGAATTTGGCTGTTAATTCAAGATTTGAGGTCTTAACAAGCCGAGGCCCTTGTAAGGGGAAGCTCAAGTGTTCAGCCTATCTCTCAGCATTAGTATCTCACTCGATATGATTGTAGATAGAACCAACCTCTTGAATCCTCTTCATTGTATCAGTCCATTTATCAACCTCCTGCTTGGTTTGCTCGTAGGCAGCCTCACGATCCAGCCTCTCCTGAGTTCTAATAGGAAGAGGAGCTGGTAATGGTTGGTTCTTTGGGTCTGAAGAACTTGCAAGTGGCTTCATTGACTTCTTTAGTGAGGCGAGAGCACCTTGTCTTGAAGCTAACGGCGTCAAGAGGTCATCCAAACTGAGCTTAGATGAGCCTATTTAGATGGATCAGACTTTGTTAGTTCATGGAGAGTGAGAACGAACCAGCAGCGCCAGCACCAAATTCCGTCTCGAATCCACTCTCTGTGCGGTCTTTCAACAGACGCTTTTTCTTCTTCATTTGCTTCGCTGCGGCATCCTCATTAGCGTCTTCCGTATCATCTTCAGCTTTTCGCTTTATCCCAGACTCCAGTCCCGAGACCAATTTTCCAAGAGCAACGAGAGCAGAGTCGTCTGCTTCATCTTCGTCAGAGCCGGAAATAGATGCATTTTCCTCTGCTTCGTCCTCTTCTTCCTCTCCTGTTTCTTCTCCATCCTCTTCGACGTCTTCGTCCTCGTCAGAATTGGCCATGCGAGCGTCATTGCTGTCGTGCACCAAACTTGGCAAGTGTTCCGTCGACTTCACGAGTTCATTATCCCCTTCCAAGTCCGGTTCTGCGCGTCCATCTAGAATGTCTAAAACGTCGAAGAACTCTCCGTCTTCCTCTTCTTCCTCTTCCTCTTCACTTTCACCTTCAGAAGCTCGTGGTGCAACGTCAGACATAGCACCATCTTGTGCATCGCCTTCGTCAAGGTCGACTTCTGCAAATCTTACGCTCCTTTGTTTATTAAATTTAGTTCTCTTAGCCTTAGGTTGAGCCTTCTCAATATTTAGCTAACCGGGCTAACAACGCAAGAGAAATACATGCATACCTTCTTGTCGAAGTTCGATCCGGCGAACTGTTCCTCGTCACTGCCACCGAAAGCAACGTCAGAATCAATCTCGTCGTCCTCGTCGCTGTCTATGCGTTCGTCATCTGCTCCTTCGCCGATCAAGCGAGGTCGCCTCCGAGAGCTCCCATCCTCCTCCTCCTCTTCATCGTCATCCTCGTATCTTCCTCCACGAAGTTCATCTTCATCCAACGCGAGGGAAACATTACTACGACGGTTCTTAGTCGGTTGGTAGTCGTAGACATCTGGAGTTATCCCGTTTACTGCCTTGGTAGGTCGTCCGCCGCGCTTCGGGAATCGGGCTACATTATTTTTGAGACCATGTGCGGTTCTAGCGATTGATGAACTACTACGATTCTGGCCTTTCTTTTGTCCCAGTCTTGCCATACCGGACGGTGCGCGTGAAAGTTGCACGAAACTACCGGATCCGCATCCCGAATCAATAAATTTCAGTGCACGTGACCCACTGGAACTAATTTACGAGTCACATTATCACAAGTATAGTATTTACTAATGTAATAGCAAGTTTAGTATATTCGTATTGCAGTCCGCATTTCATATCCTTCCTTGTTGTATGCAAATTAATTGACATTGTCCGGATTTCGGCTTCATTGATTCAAGAAATGTTTACGATACGCACACGACTCGCTTTGAACCTCGCCACGGATTACTGAACATCATGTGTCGTCTCAACTTCTCATAGCGGCTTGACAAATGCATATCGTCACGCACTCAAGACTCTCGCTATAAGCATATACGACGTATAATGCAATCGAATAGTGAAATGGAAGCTCATACATATTGCATGCCAGTCGATACACATGTAGCATATAGCAGAAACCAGTCTCTCGACGCTGCGTTGCGCACCACCACTATTTGAGTTTCTTCTTCCTGCAGAATTCATCCTATGAGAACTTATGGATCTTAAGGGGATTGGAAAGAACTTACGGGCGGAGCTGGGGAGAGTGTCCACACTTCCGCTTTCTGCAGTTGGTTGCACGAGGGGGGAGACGGGCGTAGCACTTGCGGCAGACTTGCTTGTCGCAGTTGTACTTCGATGCAAGCACTTTTAATGAGGGCTCGATAATACCACCGCGTAAACTATGAGACAAGAAATAAGTAGCTCGCGTAAGTTTCAGAAGACCTCCACATACCGAAGCACTAAGTGAAGTGTTGACTCCTTCTGGATATTATAATCACTGAGGGTACGGCCATCTTCAAGCTGTTTACCGGCGAAAATTAGACGTTGTTGGTCTGGCGGGATTCTACAAATGACTTGTCAGTGAGTTACAAGCTGTAAGAGTAAGCAGCTGGAACGCACCCTTCCTTATCCTGGATTTTATTTTTCACGACATCGATCGTGTCCGAAGACTCCACCTCAAGGGTGATGGTCTTCCCAGTGAGTGTTTTGACGAAAATCTGCATGTCTGCAAGACCGTCACTGACAAAGATTAGTGCGACAGTGGTTCTTCGACGTTGTTGGCGTTGGCGATGTAAGGGCGGCCGTTTCCGGTAAACTGTGCAGTACCATGAGTGATCGTGGGAATAATATCGTAAGCCAACCCATTGAGCACGTGTAGTAGACCATGTGTGTCTTTGGTTAGCTCCGTTGGTCAACTCTGCTGTCTCCCGACTGTTGATTCTGTGCTACTGAGACTTACAACTGTTACAGAGATTGCAGAAATGATTAGGACTAGGACATGCTCCGTTGCAGTTAGATAAGGTGCATTTTGATTTACCGACAAATTATATGTAGATTATTGTACAGTGTCCAGGTTAAATAGAGATACAGAATATACATTGGACTAGTATTTTGTAAACAATAATGTGGATGTGCAGCACATGGGCTAAATTAAAGGAGGAGAGAATGATTTGATTCCACACAGATCTGCCCTTATTTTACTCTGATAGTAGCTCAAATCAAACCAGTTACCAGCAACCTAATATTAGCTCGTGCTTTGGTACAATTGAGGAACCATCAATGAAAGGTTGTCTGATTAGGTTGTTCTTCAAGTTCTCCGGCGACAAGCGAAGGAGTAAGGGTTTCGCTTCCGCTTTCAGCTCTACTGTCCATTGTACTTGGGACTCCAGTCGATCCCGAAAATTGTAGAGTTGGCAGGTCGATCGATGTGCCCGTGGTAATTCGCTCGGCTGAGGCCTTTTGCAATGTAAAGAGTAGACGCCCTGTCAAGACAGAATGCATGACTCGCTCCATGCTGAAGGTAAATACAATGTATTTCATATATTAGTTACTAGATGTAGCATGCGAAAGTAGTGAGGTGAAGACGTTCTACTCACCTTGCGAGATAGGCAAATTTTGACGGCTCGCGCTATGTCGATAAATGGATTTGAGCATTACAATCCCGGTCTGTAACAGATTTACAAAATACATTGGACATAAGCAATGCAACTTACGAATGGAGAACCGATTACAATCACGTTTGCGACTGACAAAGCTTAATCAAAAATATTTAAGCTATTTGCAAGCGTGGAACACGGCAATGTGTATACTGACCATAGAGTAAGGCGTAGAAAACAGCACCTAGATAAATATTTGTTAGCAGGCCAAGAACGAACAATAAGCCTGAAGCATACCATCCTTGAACAAAGCCAGGTAGAGGGATGTTTCCCCAAGTTCCTTGTCTAATATTGCAACATTCACTTAGTAAAACTGCATGCATGATCTATACCTGTAAGTTGGAGCATACACATTTGAAATCCCTTGATCAATAAGAGCACAACAAGAACTGAATAAAAGAATGCGCATTAGATTATTCAGTTATCGACACGATGATTAAGGGTTATGTACATACCTGATTCGTATATCATAAGATTGATCCAGTCGCCCATTAGTATTTCGTCACCCGATATGATGATGCAACCACGAAGCCCTACAGGTAGGGGCACAACTAAGAGAAAGAGCAAGCATCAGCAACAATGCAAAGTATGATACAGTGTATCTTGCATTTTATAGAGGTCATGAAAAGATACATTATCACAACACCGGGGATCGTGGCTATAACGCCCCATACTAGTAGCAAGATTAGGACGAAGCGCTTATTATTCCATATTGCGACTGTTCGGATTAATAGGATGACTAAGAGTAGTTTTGTATTTGATCAGCGACGACAAATACAGCAATAATTTAGGGCAATAATAAGTGCTTACGTTCTGTGGTCATGACGCCCGTTTTAATAGTCCCTTAGAGACTACTTGTCTAGTTTCATTCAAATATACTAGAGCTAAAATCAACTCACAACAGAGAATTTTATACAAAGTTGCACAAGTTTCATGTGAGAGGTCGCCAAAGGAAGCTATGGAAGTGAGCATATTCGCTGTTATTTATAGTATTTCTAACTCACCTATGGCGAATATTGACAAGTCAACGGCAGGGAGATAGCGGACCATGAAAAACAGGACTTTCAGGAGAGACCATCTCTTCGGCCACATTAATATACGCTCATCCTCGAAAGTGAGCATATAATCGTAGGCCTGAATGTAATTAGCCAATGTATTTCGAGATCAATGCACATTGAGATTCGAGATGTAGACGTACAAGAATAACGGAACTCGCGACTTCATGGCAGAGAATATTAGAATATAGTTCCAGATCATCTGCAGCTTTGCTCACAATTGATGGACTGTCTGAAGATAAGACTCGGGCATGGGAAAACGACCACAGGGACGTACAGTGAGAATGTGAAAGCCTTCGAAAGCACCTCTGAATTCGAGAGCTCCCAAAGCATGACTGGCTGTATTGTTCATTTGCGACAGGTTGACTAGAAGCAGCTCCAGGAGAAAATGCTACCTTGAGCTTAGCTGACTGACTGAACTTATATATCTGTCGACTCTCCAATGATCCTGATAAAGTATAGGTATTACAAGTTTTGGACATTGTACACTAGACTGAAACTAACCAATGCTTTGCTGGAGCATATCAACTCTGAGTCACCAGCTTGCATATGTCCGAGCAGTCAAGTGGACACATGTCAGTGCTCCAGGGTATTTGTCAACCCAGAAATTTCTGATATCTGATACAGCACACTACTCTGCAGTGTCTCGCTTCCTGTCACCAACTGCTCATGTATAACGACTTTCCTCATTCTCTGTACACATGTTCGGATGTTACCCTACACTCTGGATACTAGTGACGGCTCAAGGAATCCTGTGTCCACAAAAGCTCGAATTGTACAGTATAACTACACAACTCCAAGACACATCCTATGAGCTTGCCATTCTCAGTCAATATGCAAAGTTTACTGTGTAACCACTTTCGAGACACACCTACTTTTGACCAGGCTGTACAGGCAAATTCACGACTTTTTTGACTGGGCTTTGTAATTATAATTTCATAGCCTTCTCGATGCGATCCTCCACCACCTTGTTAATCGAAAGTCAAACACATACTTCTTTTCGTGACCGCCTGCATCATTAGTAGCTAGCTTTGTGGGTGCACTCTAGATCAGATTGCCTCTGGACAAACTGTTTCAGATGTCTCCCCGGAACAGAAAAGAAGATCGCACAAAGACAAACAAGGCTGATAAGAATCTTTGTCTAGATGTTAATATGTTGATGATTCTGTGAGTGTGCTCTACCTTCAGGTGTCTTTCACTCAGACAGACTATGAACTTGTAGCATAATGCTCTATATCTGATACTTAACATATTCAGCAGGCTCATACCCTTTGCTACCATCTGATTCATGGAGCCAAACATACCTCTTTATGATACTGAATCTGAAAGTTGTAAATCAATTAAAGAGAGAATATACAATAATTACAGAACTCACAGACTTTAAAAGGGGAAGGTGACAAAACAGGAACGTCACTGATTAGTTGAACAATAAAGAGCATTCAGCAAGCATTAAGGGGAGCTGGCGCACGCAAAGATTAAGACACGCATTGTCGAATCTTAGGTAGTTAAGCAATCCAAGAGTACTGTCTGCAGACAAAAAGTGCCTTGAAGTCGGGTTTCCAGAACTGTCAGAAAGTTTATTGTATTGAATTATCCAACTTCAAACTTGTCATTGAGCTTGTGAGTCAGATTTTGTGCATTGGCAAGCAGACTATAGTGTTTTTGTTTTGAATTGAGTGCATAGAACTCGGCCGGTTTTACAAACAGGTTATATTTCATGGTGACGCAGGATACTAAATAAGATACTCTCAGTAAGGAGATGAATGGAACATATCACCATTCATTTGAAAAAGTCGGACAATGCACGTGTCAAATGTCATCACGGTGATGTCGAAGAAACAATTCCGAATCCTGCATTCCCGGCCCTATAAGCGTGAAAACGGGAATTCAACAGTGATATTGAAAAAAAGGAAGAAAAAAAAGGGGGAAAGGAAAAGAAAGGGAAAGAGAAAGAAAAAAGAAAAAGAAAGAAAAAAAGAAGAAAAAAGATTGTTTTTAAGATGACTTGCTGTAATCGCGCGAACGAAGGAAACCTACACCAGATATTATTCCATATTGTACTCCTACACCGTCGGGACCGGGACAGAACTACTTTGTCCGAGTAGAGCTCCCGACCATGAAGAATATGTATTTGTATTTGTCCTATACAGTCAGACCAAAGAAACCTGGCACGGCCAGCGCACACCGATTCGGACTCCCATAGTCAAGAACATAGGCATATCCACAGCAAACTCTAGGAAACACAGATTAGGACTAGCAATTCAGTACAGCTCGCAACATTCTCGAGAGATCGGCCTCCAGAAGATCCTCGCAGTTCGCCAAATTCACAGGATAGGAGAGCTCTGCCGGTCCCGCAGGAGAACCACGCGAGGACGGCCGCTCTGTCGTACCATTGGCGGGAACTTCCTTTGACTGCGCCCGCTGATCGTCGAATATCTGATCTTAAGCGAGATATTCAGGTATTCTGGTGCCTTGTAGCCCGTCTGGAAATAATCGACGTGAGATTGATAGGGACAACTGCGCAGTAGGTTATCTCTCCTGTTCACGCCGTTAGGCTGAGAAATGATGAGGTGGCAGTGATGTACCTTGAGACGCAGCCTAGACAATTTTTGGTCGAATGAGTTTTGTCCAACAAAAGTGTGGCAGCATGTTAAGCAGTTTGCTGCATTGGTTTGACCGATGTTTGAAGAGCAATGCTTAGTAATTAGCAACTAGAGAGCGAAAGACCGTGACGATTGGAGAAGGCAGAACGACGCGTTAGCAGATCCGTATCCACGTTTGTCCGAACGACCGGAAGGAAAGTGTGCACAAGGAAAAAATGATTGACCTGATCGGCTCGGACTTACTGATACTGGTACGGGCTCCGGGAAGCCATACTTATCACAAAAGACCCGACTTTAAAGAACACTGGAAGAAAAGCGATATAGAATGAAACGATATATGTTCTCATTTGTTCTCATAGATTGGAAGGATTCGGACCAGATGACTGGGCAGTGAGAATACATCGTATGAGCTGGCACTGATATGTGTCCATATGTTTTCCTTTCCCACTTGACACAGGATCAGTCATCTAGAGTATGTTTTGAGAGCACCCTCGATTTCGGTCGTGTATTTCTTCCGACGCGACGCATCGCGTGTCCCAGCAAATCAATCGCGGAAGGTGAGAAGATGCCCGAGAAAGAGCTTGGCGAGTCGTGACATGGAAGACGACGGAGAAACATACGGGACCAATTCTCGCGAGGATGAGTCGATGAGAGTACAGTAGCTCGGATGAGTAAAGCGATCCGACATGAGAAAACATGGATGTACGGCTTTGTGGCAAAAGGAGAAATAAAATAGTGTAAAACCAGAAGGAGGACATGTCATGATAGTGATGCGTGTGCTGATGGACGACGACAGAAAGCGGACCGCGCAACAAGTCATGCGCAACCGATAGTCTCTGGTGAACATGTCGAAGGGCGCTGAGAAGACGCGCGGTAATGAGCTAAGAATACCAGTGCAATTGCAGTATCTGGGGGCACAGGATTGAGTTATTAATAACTGGACTAAACTTATCGGATCGGGCCCGCGCCATTCATAATTAGGCCGCCGGATTTTGGACTGTGAACATCCGCAGCTCTTTGCCACCTCCCACGTGCATCTTGACCCTTCTTGCCTTAGATAGAGCACAGGCAAGGGGTACACTGCAATCTGTTGTTGCAGTGATGTTGCGCTGTTGCGCCCATCAGGAATGGTTGAGACGGATGGATGGGATGTGAGATAGTGCGTTGTGAGACCTGATTGGGGTGATGACGACAGCTGAGTTGGAGTGGAGCCTTTCGTTGTTAAGGCGGACACTGTTTCGGACGGACTTGCGAGGCCCCCGAATACGCCCATCGAAGCCACTTCCCGGTGCGCAGTCCATCCGGCTTTGTTTTTAAGTAAACTTACGTTCCTCAGTTTGCATCATCCATCTCCTTTTCCTCTAGTCTCCACTCGCCACCCTCGGCGGTGACGTCCAAGTCGACCTTATCTCTTCTTGGCCTCTTGTATCTTTTGTTAGGCTCATCCCTGTTGTCGCTGCCGCCATGGGTACACCTCTATCCACAGCTCAGTCCGCCCGGGTCATGTATAGTCTCAGATATCTCTTACCAGTCCTTATCCTCCTTGTACGTCTCTTCCGATTCATTTTGTGTCCTTGCATTAGCTCACCATCGTTTCTACCCGTTGCAGATCACGCTGCATTACATACGAAGCTTCTCGCTGGACGGAAGCTACTCTCGTTCTATCACAAGCTGGCGCAATAATGTAGATGCAAAGCTCGCACAACCCCTGGGCGAGGCCTCCACGTCCGATCTCATTGCCCTCCTCACAGACCGCCTCGGTAACGAGTCCTTCCCGGGCGTTACCCAAGAGACATCCGAGCGAGCCAACGCAGTGTTGGTTATGCTTGTTCGCAACAATGAGGTCAACGACGCGGCGGCAGCAGTTATGCAACTCGAGGATCGCTTCAATCACAAATACAACTATCCATGGGTATTTCTCAATGATGAACCGTTTGACGAAAAGTTCATTCAGTATGTGCCTTAAATTACCTTTCGGCCTTGGTGGATCAGAAGGTTAATAAATGCGTGTGACTTGTTTATAGACGAACGAGCCAGTTAGTCTCAGGCAACATTTCGTATGGTATCATCCCAGAAAGTCATTGGAAGCAGCCAGACTGGATTGACGAGGACAAGGCGCGCGCTGGCCGTAACAGGCTCATGTCGCAGGGCATCATCTACGGAGGTACGCTTTTGATTTCTTATGAAGGCGTGGATGATTTGACTGATGGTTTGGGTTAATCCAGGGAGTGTTTCGTGAGTACATCTTTTGGCAGCTCCGTGAATGAACCTGAAGCGATGTGATTGACTGAAAAATGTGTGGTGTGCAGGTATCGAAACATGTGCAGGTTTAATTCGGGAGTGCGTATCACCGATCTTTTCTAATTTGTAATTATTTATTGATATTGATCATCTGACTCTAGTTCTTCTATCGCCATGAATTGCTCAAGCCGTACCGATACTATTGGCGCGTAGAACCGGGCGTCAAATATTTCTGCGACATGGATTACGATCCCTTCCTCATGATGCAAGAACAAAATAAAGTGTACGGGTACACCATCTCACTATACGAATGGCAGCCGACTATCCCAACGTTATGGGACACCGTCAAAAACTTCATGAAAGAATATCCAGAACACATCGCAGAAAACAACTCAATGGACTTCCTCTCCAACGACGGTGGAGAAACTTACAACCTCTGCCACTTTTGGAGTAATTTTGAGATTGCGGATATGGACTTTTGGCGAAGTCCTGCATATACTGCATTCTTTGATTATCTGGAGAAAACTGGTGGCTTTTATTATGAGCGATGGGGCGACGCGCCTGTACATTCGATTGCGGCGAGTTTGTTTGCGAGCAAGGATCAGGTGCATTTCTTTAGAGATATCGGGTACCGGCACGACCCCTTCCAAAGATGTCCTTCGGGGCAATACCATCAGCAAGGGAAATGCTGGTGTGACCCAACTGATAGCTTTGGTGGGTACCTCAATTTTTCTTGACAATCTATTCTGGGTTACTAATAGGCCATCCTTTCTGAACTACAGATTATCGTCCAAACTCATGTGTAAAACGATGGGAAGAAATGCAAGATGGGCGATTATGAGCATAGACTCACTGTCATTTTCGGACCGTCATCCCTTTCGACCTGATATATTTACCTTGATCCATCGTGTACATCCTCCCACGCATCTCACCAGACCATCTCTCACTCTATTTTTCTCATCAATTTCACCCGCACCATCTTTCCACCTTACGTGCACTTGTGACATTCACACACATCTTGTACCCTTACAAAAGGCACATTTTAAACCCCATACATCAAGCACCTTGTTTCACTTCAGTTCACCTCATCTCACTAGCCATCTATCCGCACTCGTTCTCATATCAACCAATCTGTGACTGTCTAATTTTTCTTCGATTATATTTATCCGTATCCGTACTTCGTTCAAAGTTGTTTATATACGCAATTTTTTCTCTTTTTTTCTCTCTTTTCTCTCTTTTCCTTTGCACCTTCTTTCGCCTCTGCTTTTATCTCGATGTTCTCGATAGACACACGTTTTACATATTCGTCTGTCCTGTTCTATCCTTGGGCCTTTTTGGCTTAGTTTTCTTGTCGGGTCCTTTGTTGCTGAGTACGTACTATAAACGCATTGGACAAACTCTAAACTTGTACATACATACGTGCAAAAATGTATGAACTAAATCAAGCTGGACTGAGGCAACGTTGAAAGCAAACTTGCAGAGTTGAGTAGTTTGCAGCGATCTTATTTTGGGAGTTGAGACTTGCAAAGAATGTAGTCAGAATAATTAGTTTGGTATGTGTAGCAAAGTAGGGTTAGAGGTAGGATTGACATTTGGTTATTGAAAAATAAATACATCTGGTAGGTTACATTACAATTCAAGATTTTGCGTTCACACATCGCGTTATTCCTATGTACAAGAGGTCCAGAACGTGCATATATCCACATCTTTCTTCGAGCCGCGGGACCGAAGAGGTGGCTAGGGGACTCCTGGAACGAAGTGTGGTCGCTCTTCATGCTTCGCTATGTTGTCATCCGGCCCGGGAATCGGACGGGTGTGCATCATACCACGTACAGGAATAAATAACATTACAACATTAACAGTATTTGTGTTTCTTCTTGGATATATTGAACGGGCATAGGTGGGGCAATATCTGGGTCACGAGGTCAGGCGAGAGTGCTTCCACGAAGGGAAGAATTGTTGTCGCAGACCCATCAAACTGATTCGTTTGCAGGTGCTTCTTGGAGTCGGACCCATAGTCCACCCTACATAATCCAGTCGATACTCAACATTGCTAACAAGCAGAGAAATAAACACAACTAACCTTCACGTAAATCGTCAAATGACTCTTCGGCCATACCTTCTCCACACTCTTCCTTTCTCCAACAGCCTCCTTCCACTCCTTCGGTGGGAGCGTATCTTCGGGTTGTGCATCCTCTGCAAGAGATACACCATCGAAAGCTTGTAAGAGACGGACTAGCATAAAGCTTGCTTCATTGTATGCGAATTGCTGGCCGAGGCAGATTCGCGGACCGGCGTTGAAGGGGAGGAAGATGAATGGGTTGGGCGTGAGATATTTGTGTAGACGGTAATCGAGAAACCGGTCGGGGTCAAACTCGTTTGCTAGGAGTTCCGCTTTTTTAGCTTCGGTTTCACGGATAAAGTAACTCTTAGATTGAGCTTACCGTCAGGTCCCCACAGGTCTTCCCGACGATGCATGAGGAAGACTGAGTATATGACACTAATTTGGAAAAGAAATGATCTAGCCCATCCTGCTTGGAAAGAAGAATTCTGTTCCTTACCTGGTGTGCGCAGGGACGTACCAGGGTCTTGCGCCAGGTGTCTTATTAGACAAAGTAGTAGCTTTTATTGACTGGCGAACGTCAAACGGACTAGAAAAATTGAAATGGCGATAATGTCAGTAAAAAATATATGTGGGTATGAACGAACGACGAAAGCATTTAACTTACACAGGCGGATATAATCTCAACACCTCTATCATTGACCGAAAAGTTATCGGTTTGTCACTGAAACATATGCGTAGCGCCACCTACCATTTATAAATGCTCTCAAGTATTTCATTCCCTTCAGGTCATCATAAGACGGGTTTCGCTCCTTTCCGACGACCGATAGTATTTCCTCTCGCAATCTCCTCATCACGCTCGGATACATAGCGAGGCAATACATCGCAAATGTTAACGTTGCCGCAGTCTATATTGTATTTAGACAGCTGAAGAGAATCGAAATATCAAGGAACTGACAGTATCTCGACCAGCAATCATGATATTGAGAGTTTCATCCTTCAGGATCTTCGTATCTAACAAATACAAGGGAAAGGAATCAGCTCCTGAGTTGTGCAATCATAGCCTGGAGAGCACTCGCCATTCGTGAAATTAATCAAATGGTCTAATAAAGTCTCTCCTTCCTCGATTTCCTTCTTGCTATTAAAATTCAGGACAGGCCCTTTTCGTTTCGCGACTGCATCCTGCAAGATTGGCTCAATAAATGCATCGACGATTTTCATGGAATCTTGAGTCGCGTCCTTCCAAAATTCAAATAATGGCCACATAGGACCTAGGCGAGAGCGCATCGAGATAGCTAGCTGAGCCTCTGCGAACGCCTGTGCAAAGACTGTAGCTGTGTCGCGAGGTTTGTCCCTCTCCGCCCGAGATGAGGCGAGGTTGGGCGAGTAAGGTAAACCAGCGTGGAGAACATGCACGCAGTGTCCAAAGAGGAACTCTGTTGCGCTGTCCAATGTAAAACGTCCAACCAAATCTTGAAAATCGACTGCCTGGCCCTCACGCACGCGAGCTTTTAGTAGACCTATAGCCTCATCTGCGTGTCTTCCGAAGATTTCAAAGTGTGAGATACGATCCTTCGAAAAAAATGGTCGGGTCATTGACCGATGGAACCTAGATTTGTCTACTTAAAACGCTTGAATTTTGACCTTATCCATTCACGTACCTCCACATGTCTCCATCCGCATTGAAGACACCGTCCCCGAGAACACTTCGCATATGGTCTTTGAATACATCACCTGCGATAACACGGGAACGAGAGTAAAGATAAGCACGGAGATAATTGACGCGATTTGGTCAAACACAAGCTATTGATATTTGCGCACCTTTCTCATAGTTTTCAAATTCCGTAGCTAAAACAGCCTGGGAACATGTTGATGAGTACGATTTTAGCCACTGATACTCTATAATAGGACTGACCTTGACATGTTCCGGTTCTGTCGTGATAATCTATATACCATCAGCTCAGGTAGGAGGGTACATAAGTGGCATATCAACCTTATCCATCCAAAAGAGTCTCCAATTAAATGTTCGACCGAGGTCTTTAATATGAACCAAGGCGTCATCACCTTTTTTATAAAAAATGGAAGCCATGTCAATGACAGATCCGAACAACAATGATAGAAGCCGATTAGCAGCACTAACCTAGATACCCACTCCTCTCGTGCTCGAACACATAACGTAGAGTGTCCACACTGCCAGGCAGGTAACTCTTGACAAGAGGCGGAAGAATTGCGCCCATCCTCCTTGCTGCCCATTTGTTCCGTAGCTGCGTCCATGTCACCTGCACCAACGCGGTGATGGGGACCAATCCGAGCCCACCGAGAAGCTTCAAAAATAGAGGCCAGCGAAGGATAAAGCCGAAGTATTTCGAAGACCCATAATAAAGTAGAGCGATGGTTAATAGATGGGCAAGCAGCTTTGGAGATTTGACAAGTAGCAACTTGAGGCCGGGAGAGAGCATTTTGCGAGGGAGACTGGCAAGGTACGCCGCAGATCTGTATATGATGTATCATTTTATATGGACCCATGGGAACAATCAGGCTCAGGAGTCAGGACCCAAGACTTGATGGATGCGCATGATTCCCCGTATCGGTGAAGCGGAGTAGCCCGATGTTAAGGCACGAGGCAACTTATGACGAGACATCTACAAATCTATTGAATTGAATCCATAATCAAGCTTGGCTACGCTCTCCCATTTTGGGAAATTTTACCACGCAAATCGCATCTCAATCCGATCCTAGATTTAGTTAGTATTGCTTCCCTAATTTCTATGTCAAATATCTCATCATGAATACGAAAGCGAAGGACACATACGCAGCAGGTGGACTTCCATCCGATACCGGCATTGCACCACCCGCAGGTATCTACAGCTGTGAGCAATCAGATGAACTACCAGACAAGGACCCTACTGAAGTTCTAGATGAATTATGCAGAGTTGGTGGCATAACGGATGGAATGTGTACTTGATCAGCTCAACTAAATGAATGGCTTGCAAGCCTAGAAACTTTCAGCTAAGTGAAGTTGCAATAGGTCAGTGCGATTTATCGGGACATAAGCGAATTCCATCTTAGGAATGGGGTTCGGAGGTATTTGGAGCCAGGTTGATGTCTGTTCGTTGAGTGATAGTGGTACACAGAAGCCATTGTTCGGCCTGTACAATGCAGCATTAAGAAACTATAGGTATCATGTGTTAATCCGTCAAGCTTCTGGAGCTCCCAGTCGTTTTCTTTTTCACGTAGTCGAACCTTTGTAAACAGGTCATATTTGCTCCAATGATATCGTTTGCATGGATTGGAGTTTGTAACGCTCTAGGTTCAATGTGAGTGTCGGAATCCGAATGCTTGTAGAGCGAGAAATGAACTTCTGCCAGACTTGCTTTGTGAGGTCGGGAGTGAGCGTGAACGTGTGTGGAAAGCATCCCCCATACCAATTCTCATATTTTACATTTAAATGTAATAGAAGGCACCAATGCGTAGTTTTTCATTGTATTTCTATATACGCTGAGGATCTGTGAAGTTACATACAAATAGGCAAAACGCATTGATCGTTGCATGAATTTTTGAGTTATGCATATACTTACACAGGGTTTTCGATTCATTTGCATTCGCTTAACTCCTACCTTCATCTTGCCGTTCTCAATAGGCACACATACTATTTGTCCCTTTTTTCTTGATTCCTTGGCTTTTGTTACCTGGCATACACCAAATACTTGTTCATACATTTATATTTATCAAGATGACTGGCACGGGTAATGTGCGCCATGAAAAAGACGGGAGCGAAACGAAATTATCTCGGATTCTCAGACAGATTCATGTGCGGGTGCTTCGTGAAGTCGGATCCACAGACCGCCCTGTATAATTCAATAAATATTTGGCACTGCACACAGACATAAAGTCAACAGAGAAAGGAATATGACCTACCTTTATGTACAATGTCAAATGACTCTTTGGCCACAACTTCTCCACACTCTTCCTCTCCCCGACCGCCTTAGTCCATTCTGGTGGCGGGAGCGAATCCTCGGGCTGTGCATCCTCCGCAAGAGAAACATTGTCGAAAGCTTGTAAGAGACGAATGAGCATAAAGCCCACTTCGTTGTATGCAAATTGCTGGCCGAGACAGATACGCGGACCTGCATTGAAGGGAAGGAAGATAAATGGGTTGGGTGTGAGGTACTTGTGTAGGCGATAATCGAGGAATCGGTCTGGGTCGAATTCGTGTGCTGGAAAATTTTAAGTTATTTTCAAAGTCATGACGGGGTGATTTTTGGGATATAGCTTACCGTCAGGTCCCCACAAATCCGCCCGACGATGCATGAGAAGGACGGAGTATGAGATACTACGATTAAAGAGTCAGATCCAGCTTTGCGACTGTAACAATAAGGTTTTGTGCTTACCCGCAGTGCGCAGGTACATACCAGGGCCTTGCACCGGGTGTCTTATTTGGCAATGTAGTAGCTTTTATTGACTGGCGCATGTTGAATGGCCTTGGTTGGTAGGAACAAGCTGAGCGTTAGAATACCGGAGCGAGCTGACAAAGCGTCGCAGGAACAAAGTAACTTACACAGGCGGATATAATCTCAATACCTCTATCAGTATCCAAAAGATCATTGACTCGTCTCTACGAGGAACTGCGTGCCGCCTACCATTTATAAAAGCCCTCAAATACTTCATTTCCTTCAAGTCACCATAAGTCGGATTGCGCTCCTTTCCGACGACAGACAGAATTTCATCTCGCAACCGTTTCATCACGTTCGGATACATAGCGAGGCAATACATTGCAAATGTCAATGTTGCTGCCGTCTATATCATATTTAGCAAGAGCGGAATGGTTAACATGAGGTAAACTGACGGTATCTCGACCCGCAATCATAATGTTAATGATCTCGTCCTTCAGAATCTTTGTATCTAACAAACAGGGGGTATCGGCTCTTAGTTTTCATGACCATAGTCTGGATAGCACCCACCACTCGTGAAATTGATCAAGTGATCTAATAAAGTCTCTCCTTCCTCAATTTCCTTTTTACTAGTAAAGCTCGAAACAGGTCCTTTTCGTTTAGCAACTGCATCCTGTAAGATTGGTTCGATAAACGCGTCGACGATCTTCATGGAATCTTTCGTCTTATCCTTCCAAAATTCGAACAATGGCCACAAATCGCCCACGCGTGAGCGCAATGCAACAACTAACTGCGCATTTTTGAACGCCTCCGCGAACACAGAAGCCGTATCCCGTGGTTGTTCGTTCTTTTCTTGAGACAATGTGAGGTTGGGAGAGTAAGGTAGGCCTGCGCGGAGGACGTGTACACAGTGTCCGAAGAGGAACTCCGTTGCGCTGTCTAATGTGAAACGTCCGACGAGGTCTTGAATATCAACCGCTTGGCCTTCACGCATGCGTGCATTCAGTAGAGCTACAGCCTCATCTGCGTGCCTTCCGAAGATTTCAAAATGCGAAATGCGATCCCTCGAAAAGAATGGACGCGTCATTGATCGATGGAATCTGAAGTTTGTCAATTTAATGAATTTATTTTTTGACATGCTTGTCCGTTCACGTACTTCCACATATCCCCATCCGCGTTGAAGACACCGTCTCCGAGAACGCTTTGCATAACGTCCTTGAAGGTATCACCTACATGAATACATGTCAGAATAAAGAAGGTAGAATATAATAAACACGATCTAATCGAAGGGGTACCTCTCTCAAAGTTATCAAACTCCGTAGCTAATATGGCCTAAGGAAATGAAAATAGGGTAAACAACGGATTGAATTTAGCCTATAAGATAACTAACCTTGATGTGTTCAGGTTCTACCGTGACAATCTATTTATGTACAGTCAGCTTGAGCGTGGTAATACACAAACGATCATATATTAACGTCATCCATCCCGAAAATTCTCCAGTTGAACGTCCAACCAAGATCTTTTATATGGATCAGGAGGAAATCACCTATATTCAGCACGGAAGTCATGTCAACGGCTGATGTGTGCAATCGCAACTAGCAATGCTTACCTGTATATCCGGTTCTCTCGTGCTCGAAAACCGTGCGCAGAGTATCCACGTTGCCGGGTAGACGGCCTTTGATAACAGGCGGAAGGACTGCGCCGAGTCTCCTTGCTGCCCATTTGTTCCGCAGCTGCCCCCATTTCACCTGCACCAATGTGGAGGCGATAATCAACCCAAGACTGGCCAAGACTTTACAATATAGAGGCCAGCGGAGTTCAAAGTCAAAGTATTTCAAAGTCCCATAGTACAGCAAAGCGATAGCTACGAAGTATTTAAGCAGCGTTGGCAACGTTGCAAGCAGCAGCTTGAGGCCAGGAGAGCACATATTGAGAGGGAAGAAGGAGAGGTACGTCTCAGGTCCATTGTAGATGCATCTCAACCTATATGGGCCTGCGCCCACTGGATGGAGATATAAGCGTTTAAGCACGAGGCTCTGTATAATCGCTGCGGATCAAGTTTTGATTTTTCAGGTCATCATCTCAGCTCAGGATGACCACATCTAATAAAGCTCACCCACTTAGGAAATACTCCCACGCAGGTCGCATCTTAATCCGACCCAAAGTTATTCGTCCGTAATAACATCCCATGTCAACGACCTCCTCACCATGAATTCGAACTCGAAGGACACAAACGGATACAACGGACTCCCATCTGACGCTGAACTTGCACGTCTCGATGCTATGATAAATTCCGAGCAGGCAGAGGAAAGCTCAGAGAAGGATGTTGCTGAAATTCTAGCACAGTTAAACGACGCAGAGTTGGTGGTAGAACGGATGGAAAACAGCCTTGATCGGCTCAATGAACGACTGGATGGAATACTCGAAGGCCTCGAGGCTGCTCAGCCAGCCACGGAGACGACAACCGAAGGTCAGACCCAGAGCGATGTATCTGAAGCAAACCAAGCGCCGCCAGAGGAATAATGTTCGCGTTGCCTGGGTCTAGACTGCTGTCTGTCGGGTGAGGTACGTGAAAGCACTTCTTTGGCTCGTGTGGAACAATATTTAGGAACTATAGATGTCAAGGTGGACAATCCACGAGGCTTGAGGAATACGCGTCTCCTTCTGCACGCCACATCCAGTCGAACCTTATTGATCGGCTTCCTGCGTTACTTTATGTGCTTTGGGGTTCTGGAGCCTCTCACTTCCCAAGATCACACTGGAGCGTGGAGAAGGAATGACTGTGGAGCAAAGAAATGCGGTTCAGGACAAACGCTATATGAGATTGGGAATCAGCACTCTGATGCAAAGACTACTCGATTTCCAGACTCGTAAGGAATACATATATACGTCGTGGAGAGCATGTCGTGATAGCAGTACGTATTGCGGAGTATAAGGAGAATGAATTCCAAAATTGATGCAGGGGAATATTGTTGAACGCCACCAAGATTGCAAGTTAAAAAGGGAGGGTAACATAGAATGTCCGAAATTATGATATCTTTTCTCTAGTCGACAGTCATAGAATCTGCCCTGCTCACGGTTTGGATCACCTGTGTTCCTTTACGCGCAAAGACCAGCTTTTGATAAAGAGTCAGTTGACTGATCGTGGTATGAAGATAGATAGAGACATACCAAGTAAGGGTTTGCAGTGCTTCCTGTCGTATCTGCTAAAACCTCTGACTTATCCACAACGCTCACATCCGAGTCATTGTATTTGAACCATTCATCTGGGTGATCCGGTAGCCAGCGCTGATACACGAAGTAATGACCGAACGTTGGTGAAGAACCACGATGGACAAATACGCTTGTCAACTCGTATTCCGCTCGTTGCTCGCCTCGCCACACGTCCTCTAGTTGAGTTTTCAGTTCGCCGATCCGAGCGCGTCGCTCTGCGATCTCTCGTGCAACGACCTCCTTCTCGGAAAGCAAGAAATTCTTAAGCTCGTCTGTTGCATCTGGCAGGTCGAGCGCGGTTTGCTTCGAGAGGAAATTGTACGAGTCATCAAGGCTTTGTTCAAAAGGAGCGTGCTAGCAGTGGGGTTCCTGGTTAGTTGTCAATCGAGAAGATACAACGTCTATCTTACTTTGTCTTGTGTCAAGTGATGAATACGGTCTCGACATGCAGTTAGTTCGGCTTGGATCTCCTTGGCTTTCGCTTTCTTTTCGGCTGGCGCATCATCCAGGAAACGATCCATGCAAATCGTCTCGCCGAACTTGACATATGCGTGCGACTTGTATGGCTGGAGTGTATCCCGATTGAATTGTACGCGCTGAAAACAGAAGTCTCAAATGAGCATCACGGAAATCAAGTAGACGATTTCATACGGACCTGAAGTTGAATATGTAGGATAGGCGGTAATTCAACGAGGCTGACGTTCATCTTGGCTCGAGTCCCTTCAAAGTCGACATCATCCTCCATAGCGAAATACCCGCTAAGACCGTCATATAGATCGAAGCTTTCTTCCGACACGTTTACGGGTAGATGTGAGAAGTAGTCTTCCCGCTCATGCATAGATGATTTTGATTTCTTCGCATCTGGAGGAACCGAAAGCCGTTGACGGATCTTGCCATAAAATAGGCTACATCGTGAATCATAATAAGCACCAATACTATCTCGCGCGAAGTGGGTTCAGAACATACCTTTTGACGATACTCCTCTTACTGCTGTCATCAGGCCCTATCAATTCGCCAAATCGAAGAAGCGCAGTCTCGATCTGGAACATGCAGTTGTCCATGCACTCCGCAACGTCGTGTTGTCTACCAAACAGCATTTCCGAGCCCGAGTACTGGGGCGCCTTGAGGGGACGAGGCGGGAGAGGAGGCGCTTTTGTCGTCACTGCACTTTGCGTAGCAGTTCCTGGTTCAGACATCTGCACATCTCCTTCTGCATCCGGGGTTGCAGTCACAGGGGTGTTTGAACCTGACGGTTTAGACACCAGGACATAGCCATCCTTGTCCTTATCCTGGTCTTCTGTGGGTGCACCCTCCGCGGACTTTCTTCGCCCAAAGCTCCTTGGACGCTTACCTAGTACTGAAGAGCCACTTGGTGAGGGAGACTTCGGTTGAGATGACGAATTTTCTCTGAGAGGCGCAGGCTCGTCTACTAGTGTGGCATCCGTGCTGTGAGAAGAGTCTGTCCCTACTCGTTCAGGGTCGTCCTCCTCTTCGTCCTTGGACGTAACGAGAGCAAGTTTGGCAAGCTCAAGCGTGGGCGTGACCGCAGGTGTTTCGCTATTTTCAAGCTGCATGAACAGGTTTGCCAGTTGAGAAACAACTAAAGAATATGTCAGAAAATTCATGTACACACATCGCGTACAACGTAATGGAAACTGACATTTTCGCGATCGAACGACTTCAAATCTTGAGACCATACGTCCGCCAACGCGATGATTTTTCAGATCATCATCCTTGAGTTTGTCACTGTCCGTGAATTTATCCTCGACTGCAAGAGGAGCGATGGCATCTCGAAGATCCTTGATCGTATAGAAGTACTGCAGTAACGAGTTTAAATAACAGGTGTTTCCTAATTGGTTCAGACCCCGTGGCCATTCTGGCCTTGTCTGAGCAACAACCACGCCAGCTTGAAGGACAAGAGACTCAGTAACGGTCCAAAGAATGATATACTTATTACTTACGATCGTTACCGGTCTCGAGGAACCTCTGCAACCGTTCACTATACGTGAACTCGGCGATCACGCGCATTGCTTCACGCATTTTGTTCAGCGACGAAGGCTGATCTTCGACACGCATATTATACACAGTAATAAGCATCTCCTCATCAACACCCATCGGTACTTCGAGTGTGCTATACGCTTTATCAGGCGTCATGCCGTTGATCTGGTCATCTTCAAACGCTTTCACTAGCTCCAAACTGCGTCGGCTTTCCGCAAGGATCCGGAATGCCTCGTTAAGGTCACGACGTCGGGATGCACCATCGTGTTCTCTCCAGGAACGCCGAACCGCGTCACGCCACGCACTTTGCAGGAAATGCTCGTCAACGTCTTCGTCATAGTCCACCCGCAGGTCGTTGTCAGCGCCAAAACCTAGAGTTCGGATAGCCGTTTGCACATCCGAAACAGTGAAGCGACCGCGTGACCTTTCTGAAGCAAGTAAAGTCTCGAGGGATGAAGGAGATTGCATGACACTACGCAGTGCATCCACGACGTTACTGAGAGCCTGGAAATACTCAGGAGTGTTCTGTGGGTCACAGCGGCATTGGGCGAGGTAGGCGAAATGGAGGAGCTCTGTTTCATGATAAGCCTGGTTTGCATCGCACATATGAAGAGAATTAAGTAGACTTACCGCTGTCATACGTCGAAGGTGTCATGCCGAGCTTGTCCCAATCCGAATCAAACAGGTGAGCCTCTTGTAACGCATCGGGTAGTTGTCCGCGCTTGACTAGCAAAGACAAATCAGTCTGGAATGATGAACAAGGCTGAACCAACTAACTTTGGTCTGCGTGAGCACCAATAGCAGTTTGGTAAAATTCGCGGGCATTCTCAGTCTTAACCCACAGCCTATGCGGAGTGTAGTCTTTTGTTACGTTCGCTGAATGCGGTTACGTATCAAAAAATAAATGGACGAGTGTGAGGGCGTGACAAGATGAAAGAGCTTTACAGTACGCACGGAAACGGCGGCGGAAATCCGCAAGAATTGCACCTATCTCCACCCATGCACGCAAAAGGCGGTCGCGGTTCAATCGGCCAACCTCGTTCGATACATCTGTATCAGGAGGCTGTAGCATTGGAACAGAAGCCATGCCTTCTTTGGGAGAAGACATTATCATCTTGAAGCCAATAGATTCAAAGAGCTTCTGTCTGGATGAATACAATGATAAGGACATGTAAGACAGAACAAATATATTGATGGACTAACACATTGTTACTCCATCCCACTTTCGAGGAAAACGCCTTTCCGCCAACGGAAAGCATTTTATTATTGCCCTTCCAGAGCTTGTTTTCCATGATCCTAAAATAAATTAATAGGGTTAAATGATGAATCCGGAAACAATGGATTAGCATACGTGATAACCGTCTCCCAAGCCGCATGTACGGATTGTTGTTCCGTTTTCCCAACAGACGGATGACTGTTTTTCTCTGCAACGAACCCATCAAGTGTTTTGTAAGGAATAACGCTGGGGATCACGTCGGAGACGACGACATAGAACGAGCATTGGCAACAGACATAAAGGTCTAGCAGGTAGTGCGTTTCCTCCTCTTCCTTCGCGTCCGTAACCATTTGTGTCATACGCTCGCTTTGCAAATCCCCACTAACCGCAGCCGCAACCACTTCGGAGTCTAGGTCGTCTGAGCCGATCGTCATGCGTCTTCGGGACTGCTTTGAGCGCTCGGCTCTTTCCCATGCGCGCGGTGAGTATTTAGGCGATATGTGCGCCGCATCGACAGCCTTCTCGTAACGATGAAAGTGATGGGTCTTGTTTTGCGGTCGCCCGACAGGTGACTCCAGACAATTCTGCGTCAGCTTCCGACGGTCCTGGTCAGGCAACGGCGGATGCAGGTTGTTGGTAAATGACGGCGCAAGGGGTGGGAGCAGGCTCGACGTTCGCCAAAGGAGCAATACCCATCCGTTATGTCGTCTGCAATAATACGCGTGGGGGTGCGGAACCGCTTCCCGCAGCTCTTCGGCTGTTGGCGGAGCAGGGATGGACGCGCTCGATGAACGGCTGTGTGTACCAGACGTGGATCCTGGGGGAGGAGAATTGGATGCGGATGAACCCGCACTAGAGCTTCCACCAGGTATTGCACCTGCTGAAATATCTGGCGGAGTGACAGTGACACTAACGAGCGAGTGGTCGGGGTGATGCAGTGTGTCTGCAAGGAGTGGCGGAAGCATGCCAGGACCGGGACGTTGTATCCAGCTGGGTATGTTTTTATCCCACCAACGACGCTCTGCAGTCGTGTCCCGTCCATCTATCGGTGGCTCCGCACCAAACGCGTCCTCGATCAACCCCATGTCTCCCTCAGTACCCCAATTGTGCGCAGGCGTAAGACGAGCATTGAAGTTAGACTGACCACTCCAATCCGGGGTTCCGAAATTCGACTCGCCAAACGTCGTCGGCCAGACATTCGAACCAGCATTCCGATCGAACTGGTTCGACGAGGAGTTTCCTGGCATTCGCTCGTCATCGTCTGGTGGGACTAGCACCGGCTCACGATAGTCTCCTCCGAAAGAGGCCACAGTCGGCGGAACGTATGTCGTGTGCGACGAACCAGCAATAGTCTGCTGCCGCTTTGGCAATGCTGGAGGAGACACCGTTGGTGCTTGTACATTCACATTTGACTGCACATTGCCCGTCGTATGCCTATTATGTACGGTCGAAGAGCCACTCCCGTAGAAGGTCCTAGGGTTAACAGCACTCGAAACGCCCGAAGAATTACTTGCCGTTGGCTGGGTTGCTGAGTTACTTGGCTGTATATGCAAGTCGTGCGAGTCGTTGTCGTCGATGGTGGTCACCATTTTAACGGAACCGAGCGGTAGGGGCAAAGAATCGTTACTCAGGCTTGTACTGGAAGGGTCGTAATTTCTGTGCCACGCTGAGGGACTATGTCCAGCAGACAGCAGCACACGTCTATAAGAGCAGAAGGAGAGGTATGGAACGGAGGAGGCTCCGTCAAGGGATGCAAGTAACAAGAGGTGCACCAACTGACCTGCACTGACGAATGGCTACCTTCCCGAAAAGGAAAGAGCCTTAAGTACACTCATTCACAGTGCATCATCCAGTGCAACGAACTCATTCCATTAGATTTTTGTGCTCATCTTAGATAACAGATACTATCTTAAATTAAGTACTACCCTTCCAGATTTTCAGATGGCTGGGCGTCTACGTTCCGGTTTGGGAAAGCAATCGCATGGTTCTAAAATTTGAACACCTGAAACGGAGCATTAAGGATATTAACATCTAAGACGGCAATGCAATTTAATAGGCAAGCTCACTTGGTCTTCAGTATATCCTAGTTCCTTGAGAATGCCACCCAGCTCGCCCTGCTTCATCCCATCCTTCTTGCCCGCAAGGGAAGCAACCTGACCAGGAGGACCTACAAAGCAAAGTTTAGCTGCGGAACCAAAGTTGACTGAACTCAGTACTCACCGCAGACGAAGATCTTCACTTTTTCTCCACCTTCGGGTCCGGCTACGTATTTCTTCACACCCTCCTTACTAATGTAGCCAGTTTCACCTAAGCATCTTGTACGTCAGAACATGAGCAGGCGAAATGACTAAAGACAAGACAACAATACCTTTCCAGTCTTTGTCGCCTTTATCCAAATAGTAGACAACTTTTAAGGTTTCAGGGAACTTCTTCGCAAGAGCGTCGAACTCTTCGCGGAGCAAGATATCCTTATCAGTGACGTTTGAGAACAGCAGAGTGAACTTGGTCTTGTTTGATGGGTCAGAAAGTGCGTGCGTTAGAACCTGGTACAGCGGAGTACTGGAAGTACATCATAGTGAGTAAGGTAGAACGATGATACAAGGTTTTACGCACTTACACTCCGCTTCCTCCACCAATGAGCCCAACATTGTCAAACTCATGAACTTGACAATACTCAGAAATTTGGCAAAACAGCATGAAAATAGCAATACTCACTCTTGTAATCGAATTTAGGAATTGGTCCCTTGATGGACAGAGTATCTCCAGGCTTCAAGCTGTGTATATGTACAGATGCAAGACCCTGCGGATACCGTTTAATCAAGAAAGTGAGTTCTCCGGGAGCATTGGATGGGGAGATTGGGGTGTAGGGTCGGATAACAGGCTTTCCCTTGCTGTCCTTGAGTGCCTCGGGGTCAGAGGCTTTAACAACAACGCAGGACGCGACAGGCAAAAGAGACGCTTCATTGTTCGGGAGTTCAAAGATGAACCTGCATAAATATTAACGAGATGTATTCTTGCAGAATCTGATGCAGACAGTAGAACGCGTACTTTGAAGTGTTGTGATTGTAAGGCTCGACCTTCTTGAGTTTAAAGTCAACGAAATTGCTCGGATCGAGAGGGCTCTTCTCTTGCTTAGGAACCTGCTTCGTCGACGTTGCCTTCTCACTGGTTTGAAGATATGCGTAGCCGGCAAGTCCTGCAGCACCAGCACCAGCGACATATAGGGCCCAGTTTGACTGCGACTTGACTGGAGACTCGGGCGCAGTCGCGTACCGCCGTGCAAACTTCGTCTGCACGTGTTGAAGGCGCGTCAGTAAAACACTGAAACTCGAACAGACGCAAACGTACGGTTGCGCGTCTGCATGCAGCGATCCTAAGGAGTGTGAAAGACATAGTGGTTGTAATGAAGGTTGAACAAGGAGACGCTAAGAGTAGAACACCCCCGTCAGTCAGCAATTCCGACCGACGGAAAGCGCGTGAAGTTCGAGCGTCATCGCGTCATCCACTCAAAAATTCCGGTATTGCATCGGCATGGTCGCCATAAATAGAAGTCTAGTCCGGTATTCGGCTTCAAAGATGGGATGCAGCTGAAGAAGGTGAATTCACTTTTAAATGGCCCTTGCTCGTCTTCTGGCGTCTAACTGCATACATAAAAGCACGCGCCCTCTTTTCAAATTTCCTCTATCATCTCGTGTATCATCGTATCGATATCTTCAACAATCTCGTAAAATGTCTCTCTCAGTTGTGTCAACTCCAAGTGTGTACAAATCATTTCATCCCCATCGGATGCATAATATATCTGAATTGCATTGTAGATGCTCCTGGAGCTGTAGGCCCATACTCACAAGCCATCAAAGCTGGAAACCTCGTCTTCTTATCTGGCTGTATCCCAGTCAACCCGGCAACGTCGAAGGTCGTCGAAGGAGGTGTGGAGGAACAAGCGAAGCAAGCACTCGCTAATCTGAAAGCCGTTGTTGAAGCTAGCGGCAGCTCCATCGATAAAGTAGCCAAGACCACCGTATGCAATTTATTTGTTGTTCACGCAGAATATGTACTGATGATTGAACTCTGATTTTCTAGGTTTTCCTCCAGAGCATGGACGACTTTGCAGCTATCAATGTCATTTATACGGATTTCTTCGGTTCCCACAAGCCTGCACGGTCATGTGTTGCGGTTGCAAAGCTACCCCTCGGTGTTTTATTTGAGATTGAGGCTATCGCCGTCACAGCATAACTCCTAGGGCGCGCGGTGATAGATAGGACAAGTAGGCTCGTAGAAAGCGTATGTGTCAATCGTAAATGGATCTACAAATAAAATATGGACTGGAGGCACTCAATCTGTTCTCAATCTGGCTAAACTGCACAATCCTTGCATCATATGTTCGACTCGGACCGTTGTTAACTGTATGAGCCACGTGCTTAGCTACTCCCATAGGTTACACATGGGGCATTTCACAATTCCTTACCTTAAAAAATAACTTACATAATGATAAACATTATTTGAAATTTATTTTCCCATTTTTTGAC